CAATGAACAGCCAGCCGCCCTTCAATAATTCTCAACAAGACTTCAATTATTAAAATGATATAATATTTCAGAGACGATCCTCTCACCGTTGAAGTGTTAACGGGCCGTTGTGTTTATTATGGTGACAGTTGGAGCAGATCCGGTCGGTCAGTACGGTCAAACTAGAAAGGAACCGGTTTCAAAGTTCGAACTATGGGATGATGGATCCTGCTTGCTTGCAGGCCCAAGCCCAACCGTCGTTTTATGAGATTAGTAGTATTTTTCTTATTTAGGGCTTGGGGTTTGCTTGTGGGATTTGAATGAAGGATTTTATTTTTATCCCTCAAATTGAAAGCTCCAATATCATTTTTAGTTCACCTAAAATTGGAGGCGATAAATTTTTGGCGCCCATGAATTTAAAATAAATTTTGATTTCAAATTCATGGATTTCGTGAGTTTGAAATTTTCAATTCTTCCATTAAGAAATATCACCTCTTAAATTTGAATTTGATCAGACACCAGTTTGATAATGGACAATGCTCAACTATTGTCATTATTAAAATAAAAGAAAATTAAAAACATTGCAACGGTCCGATTAGTTCTGGAAGCCGAAGTTAAATCTATTTGCTTAGTGGGCAGCTCATTAAGCAAAAGATTATGATCCATGGGTGAATATTATGCGAGTGGTATTTGGTATATAGAATTATGTTTATATTAAGGGGTCGTTTGCTTCAAGGATTGTAAAATGAGGGTTTTCACTTAAACGTGGGATTTAAAAATCTAAGGTTTTATTTGGGATTTGGGGCATTTTGGATTTGGAAAAATCCTTTGTTTGTTTCTTCATTTTGATCATGGATTTAATAGTTTGGATTTTTGAAATCAAAACTTGCATTTACCTTATTGCCCTTTTTTTTAACCCATTAAAAAGGAAGGGGTTGCAGCCAGGCAGCCACGAATTTGTTTCAACATTTTTGGACCAAGCAAACAAAGGATTATATGTAAATCCTTAATATTTGGTTTTTTGGTACCAAATCCATGATGCAAATCCTTGAAGCAAACGACCCCTAAGCTTTGTATCTTAAACACTACTATAGTGTTTGGTACTCTTATAGGTCACATATTATTCCTCATCTAAGTTATCGAATTATCGTTCCACAAACTGGTTAGCTAAGTTATGTCTCGTCTTTATGTGAAATTCGATAAAATATTTAAAACATATCTAAGTTATTAAAATTCTTGCTCCACATATTACCTTCCCTTATATCTCGTCTCGTCAACGGGTGCAAATATAAATAGAACCTTTTGAATAAAAAAAAAAAGAACCTTTATCTATAACGTGACAGAACAAAAACGTAGTTGATTTATTTTGGTGAAAGTTGATTGTAAAGAGCATGATAACAAGGGAGATTCGTTCTTCCCCATAGACGAAAACCCATCTCTAACCTTTTTTTTGTCATATAAATCTTGGTAGATTTACAAGTCAAGGATAAGGGTAGCCACAAAAGCTCGGCACACTCACTTATCAAAAGACATATAGAACAAATAGGAGAAATCAAACAACAATGGAGGTACGCTAGGAAAGCATAAGGCCTGTTTCGCCACTAAACGGGTAGTCCGATTCGCATCTCGAGGTGTGAATTTTAAAACAACCTTTGGCAATTGAACGAGTAACGCACGAACCTCTGAATAAATAGCACCAGCACGTGCGTCCGATAAGTCGCCCGAAATAAGTTTGCCAATGACCACCTGGGCATCTCCCGTAAGCAAAACATCCCTATCGTGCCAATGCCACCACTGAATCAAATAAAGTGCTTCCCATATGGCGATCAACTCAACCAAGCCAGGATCAGAGACACCCCGAATAAAAGAACCAAAAGCGAATGTCGGAACACTCCAGTAAGCGAGTGTCGGAATCCATCTCTAACCTTTGTCATTCAGACCACTCAGTTGCATACATATAAGCCCATTATACGCTTTATTGGCCCAAAATTTTCGACACTGTTTCATTATTTGTCTTTTAGTGGAAAACCCTTCTTCAACCAGCTCTGCATAAGCCTTCTCGCAGCCAGCTACACCCAAAATTTTACCCACCCTTGCAGCTGTGCCCGCCCATGCTTCTGTATCCCCATCCCATCACCCTCAGTCCCAAACTCTACAATTCAATCAGCTCACGCTAACTCACAGCTCCGATTTGCTTCTTCGAGTGGTTAGCTCTTTAAAGCTGCTCCACAACGCCCATGCATTTGTACAGTCCTCACCATACTCCTCTGGATTAAGAGGAACTTCTCTTCTCCACCCGCTATTCTCGATTTCCCCACCCGCTATTCAAACAACCCTCTATTTCAACCATCGCCTGAACAGTGACCACCATGAATCTTGGCAATCGAAATAGGTCTGGATGTCCTCAGGGAAGCTCCGTCCGTCGCCGTTGAAGACTTGGAGTCAACCTGCACCACCATCCCCTTCGCCTTCCTCTGTCTCGGTCAGGAAGATTCAGATGCTCTTCAGAGATGCCTTCTGATGAACCCGTCCCATCCTTAACAGCAACGGAAGCAGAGTCAGGAGGAGGAGCAGGCTTGACTCATGCCCCCAATTTACGCTTCTGCAATCGTTATCGGCAAATGCAACCAAATGCTTCATACAGGTCAGGACGATTAGATCCCAAATTGTCGTCGATGGCAGCTTAATGGATAAGCACCATTGTTTCCGTGAGGATGCCTTCATCTCGCCGGATGTGGAGTACGACTTCGACGAGGAAGACGAGGAGCTGACGATGATGACGCTGGGAAGAGTTTCTGTGAAGCCGCTCCATAGAAGCCGACTAACAACAGCCTAAACTCGGACCGTAGCCAACACCTTGGAAACCACTTCAGCTTGCCGACTTATTTAAGTGACGTTTCTTGCTGGATTTCTGGTCACTCTGCGACCCGGTACGATTCTGAAAGTAAATTCTTATGTCCATATCCTTTGGTTAGTTCTCTTTATCCATTTTTCGATTGTGTGTCTGTATACATTAGGACAAGGCTCTTTACAATGCAAAAGCAGATAACAGGAAAGGTCAATATGAGAAGACCATAGAGGCTTATAACAGGAAGCAGGTACCAACTAATCCTTCTCTTCTTCAGTTCTTCCTGTTTTAGCTTTCTGTTTATGTTTCAAAATTCATTCTTACAGTTCCTTTCCTGAATTCAATTGGTAAAGAATAATAGGCAGTAGCTCATGAGGGTGATATTAAGGTGTGATGTGACGGAGAGAAGTTCTAATTTGCAAAATCGATGAAGTTGTTTTGTGGTTTTTCCCCAGTTGTCTGTATATCGAATTTGTCTGCTTTTCATGAAAAACAGTACACTTAACTTAAGAGACAAGCGAGATTGTCAATGTTTACTTACCTTTCCTTGCTATCTGCTCAGAACTTCTTTCTTTCTGTCATTGTTTGTACTTGAGATAGAACCACTGATTATAATCAGTCATGGCTTCCTATACATTTACCAGATCAGTCACTTAGTAAGCTTTTAGTACTTGATAGAAAGCCACCTTACACATTTCAACCTTCTTTGCTTTGAGTGTTGGCAGTTACATGGAAGTGCATTTGATCGGCAATTACCTGAAAGGCGTTCTGGTGGTAAGGTAACGTAAGATGGATCTCAACAACATTTCTTTCTGGTAGGCTCTGCTGATAATCATGGAACTTTCTAATAGGGAACATTCACATTTTCATTTGTTCTTCTACTATGCTTCCTGAAATAGTTTATGTAGACTTGCTGAACCCAGAAAATGTTTCTTTTCACACTTGCAGAGCAGCCGAACTGACGCCGAAACAAGTTTGGTTATTGAAAAAATTTCAAATCTTCAATTAGTAGAGAAAATGTTTGCTTCTTTCAAGTCTGTTATTACTTTTAGTTTGGTAGAGATGAATAAGCAGATGATGAACTACAATGGATCTCATTCCCGATGAGAGTAGTCGAAATTGTGTGGTGGATTGTGTAATTCTTGGGCCTACTCTTCCTGTCTCCTCTCTCTTTTAACTCCAAGCATTGAGGCGGAAATGAGAGAGGCAGCGAGAGTGAGAATTCATCATCTGTATAGGAGGGACGAAGCTGCAGCTAAGTTCCCTTTGATTTCTCTCTCGGAGCTTCGATTCTAACATTACATTGCTAATGTATTTTCGGGGTTAAGCTTTATTGATCTCATTTTGTTAATCTCTTTGGTTTTCACATGCCTACTGCTATTTGTTGGTTTATGTATTCAGATATTCAGTACTTACTATACTCTTTTGGTTTGTTTGGCTTATGAGCTAAAAGGAGTTAGCACAGTTACCGTAGTTCTCATTGTATTCTATTGACAAGTAAGCATTCTTCTAATACCATGGTGATGGATCAGGATGGAAGCTTTTACATGTTCACTTTTACGGTAACTTCTTTTTAGGCATAGCAGTAATTCAATGATGTATCTCCTAATATTTTTCTATTAATACAATTTCGTTGTGTACGTGTTGATGATGCTTCCCTTTTTTCTAATGAAAATTGCTGAAATTTTACCAAGATAACGTGAGTATGGATTGATATGATTTATTAAGTAATGAGCATTAGCTATAAAAGGGTATCATTTTGGGCCATTTTCAGCTTGAAATTTAGAAAGCTAACGAAGAGTTTACATGGGACATGAGGTAACTCTTTTATACTTATGATTTGTAGATATCAATATGATTGTAAATGCTTCTTGCATAACAAGAAAGTCTTAAATTTTCTAACATCACATATGGTACTTGCTATTTGTATTGTATTTCTAATTATTGTGCTATGAACATGTTTTTAAGTATATTAAACATTGCCAAATCTCCTGCGGCGTAGGCGCGGGTATTGAGACTAGTTATCCAAAACAACGAGCAAACTGAGCGAGCTCCCAAGTTGACGCTATATACAAAACTCCTTCGTCATTTCAAGGAGCTCCACTATGATCAGGCCATGGCTATTACAAAAACAAAAACAAAAAAAAACTTGATTGCATATGTATGCAACTGCAGTTGATTTATTTTGGTGAAAGTTGATTGCATAATAACAAGGGAGATTCGTTCTTCCCCATAGACGAAAACCCATCTCTAACCTTTGTCATTCAGACCACTCAGTTGCATATATATAAGCCTATTATCCAAAACAACGAGCAAACTGAGCTCCCAACGAGCAAACTGAGCTCCCAAGTTATATACAAAACTCCTTCGTCATTTCAAGGAGCTCCACTATGATCAGGCCATGGCTATTACAAAAAAAAAAAAAAAAACTTCTCTCTGTGAAGTCCCCTTTTCGGTGTATTTCTCAATAAGGACCCCAGCAACTCAAGTACATAACTTTCCTAAGAGACTCCTCCGACTGCTGAGCCTCCTTCAGCTTACCGGAGACCACTGCGGCAGAGGAAGGCGCGAGGCTCTTCGCCTGAGAGACAGATCTCACGTTGGTCTTGGCGTAATGATGAGTCGATCTGAGTACGTAGTTCCACCTGCAGAATCCCATTTGGTCTTTCAGTGCCTCCACGGCTCCTATGCTGGCTGCTACTATCCAAGCTTTGCTTGTCGAACTCATAGCCATAGTTATCTCTTGTTGCAAGGTCTGAAAAGGAATGGCTTTAGCTATATATAGTGTGGGGAGGAGACCAAATACCTGAGGCTTGCTGCTGCTGGTTTTCAGTGGGTGGTAGTAGCCCCTGGTTTTCTCTGGCTTGTTAGGCGCTGCTATGGCATTGACCATCGTTGGACTGACGTGGTCGTCATCCTAACTGTGGAACTGCTTGCTGTTTGTGTGACATCTGTGCCAACGTGGCAGATTTGGGTGGGATCCAGCACTTGGTTTCGCAAAAACCTCAGGGAATCTGCAGAGGACTCGTCATTTGAGGTTGATCCAGAGGAAAAATGACGACGAGCTGGAAAACCCAGTGAAAGCGTTCTTGGTTACTTAAAAGCTGCTGGAAATGAACTCAGGTGGTAACTTACTTCTGTTAGTAAAGTGAATGGTATATGATCCACGATTGAACTGTCAAGAACCAGTTGATCCCAACAACTCGAGTTATTGGGATCAACTGGTTCTTGACAACTTCACCACTGGGGCCGGCACTTTCACTGCTGTTATCATTCTTCTCGTTATCAACATCTTCAGCATCATCAGTGCAGTGCTCTTCTAGTCATTCTCAACTTTCTCTTTAGAAGTTACTGATTTGCAATGATTTGCTTCATATTGATGGTCTTTCCACCTGGTTTTCCTCCCATATCTGTTGAACTCGATTATACAAGTGACATACCTACCAATAGTTTGACAACTATGATGCGAAGCGCTGAGCTTTTCGGGGACAACCAGACATTACACCAGTAATAATGTCGATAGATCAAGCGCTTTGTTCTCTTTACACTAACAATTGTATGAATTCCACTACCAATAATACCAAGCAATACAGAGGAATCATTAAAAAAGAATTATGTGTAAGAAAAACCATTACAAGAAAAAACAAAGAAAGAATTAAGGAAAACACTGCCCAAAAAATGGGTTCCAAATGAACTATAAGGATGATAAATATTAATTAAAAAATATTAACTACAGTTCATCTAGTCGACATTGTCACAAGCAACATAAAGAAGCCATGGCACAGCGCAGTATTACATTTTTGAAAATGAAAAGAAGTAACAAAGAACACCCCACTTTTGCAGGTCCAAACCCAGATCGATGTGTAATTGGACAATGTTCGCTGGCATCTCGGTTGAGAGTGGCATAGCCGCCTCCTCACTCACTATACACTACTACAGCCTTTGGTTCTTCAGATGACCGGGGGGCAACGAAACCAAAAACACACGACATAAAAGCAAACAGCACTTACTGGCTGGTGTTGAGTTTCCGCGCATCTCTGAACGCCATGCTGAAGCTAGTCTCTAGTGCCTTCCTTCCTGGGGTTGCTGCTACACTTCCCTTTTGCATCATAGCCACGAACTCGTTGTAATCTATGCGCCCGTCCTACAGAAAGTTAGTGCATCAGTTAGAGCTGGTTTTCCATATCCGTGGAGTTGGAGAGGTAGTGAGTTGGAAGAAGAGAGGAGTAGCGGGGGAAGCTAGAGAAAAGAGGGTTCCTTACATTGTCCTGATCAGCTTCATTGATCATCTCTTCCAAGCGAACATCTTGTAAGCCAAACTCCTCGCAAGCTTGTTGAAGCTCATCTTGAGTGATGTAGCCACTTCCATCCTTGTCAAAGTACGAGAAGGCTGCAAAGAGATGGTCCTCTTTCTCGATTTTGTTCAGATGCAGCGTTGCAGCAATGAACTCTGCATAATCAATGGTGCCGCTGTTGTCTATATCCGCCTGCAGTGATGATACGACAACAAAAGGTGAGACGGTAGCAAAATTAGATGTGCCAATCGGATGGCTTGAGCGAGTAAGAAACATGATGGATCACTGCTGTTTCATAGTTACCCACATTCAGCTTGCAGCGTCAAACTGCACATGATCTATTTCAGTTTCAGATGAGTACAACAAGTAGTAGAAGTCTGCCTAGTGCTGTTCTTATCCGTGTACATATATTAGTACTTACTGCTTGCATTAGATCGTAGATTTCTGACTCCTTGAGGTTAGCCCCAACTCTCTTCAATCCAGCTTTAAGTTCATCAAAAGTGATCTGACCACTCCCATCGGCGTCAATCATCTTGAACATCTCCTTAAGCCCAGCAATTTCCTCTTCTGATAGGCTCTCCGCAATGATCTGTCAGCGAAGAACATAAAGTTAAATCTTGGATTTTATCAGAGATGTAGCATATGAAACCACTGCTTTGTTCTCCAAAGTAAAGTTAAGTACAGATAATGTCAAGGGTATTAACACTACAAATCATGTTCTTCTGTTTATATCATATCTGGATTCTTGCAGAGGACTCACTATAAGAGCCATTTTCTTGAGTTTGTTCATGGCTGAGAATTGCTTCAGACGACTTAGTACAGCAGAATCAAGAGGTTTGTCAGGAGCTACACCATCTTCTTGTACCCATGGATGGCCTGCAAAGATGAGAGTTAGCCAGGATTGTGAACAAATTGGTTATTACCGATACAGATTGGTAACTACAAAGGCAATAATAATGGCATTAAGCGAAGAGCCGTATAGTGGAAACTTCCCCAACAAGAGCAACCCAATCCCATATTAAGTAAAATTGATGAATCTCTAATTCTCGAACAACTATGTTTCCCACTTTGTACAACTTCAAACTTGAAAGACCACAATGAACACTCACACAGAACTTCATGAGCAGTTAGTCTCCTTCTGGGGTCTCGAACAAGCATTTTCTTAACCAAATCCTTAGCACTTTCGGAGATGTTTGGCCAAGGTTCTGTGTCAAAGTCAAGATCACCCTGGAGAACCTGCTCAAATATCCCCTGTTCGGTCTCTGAATATATTCATAGAAAGGGAAAATGGAAACTAAAATGGTTCAGTCCAATTGCATTGGAATTTTACGTATGTTCTCATTTAAATTAATAGTATATAACACGAACAACACCTGCCCAGAAGGGTGGCACTCCACTTAACAGAATATAGAGAATCACTCCAGCACTCCAAACATCAGCTTCTGCACCATAACGTTTTTTCAAAACCTCTGGAGCAACATAATAAGGACTGCCAACTACATCAGAATACCTTTCCCCTGAAACAATAGCAAAAAAACAAAAGGTCAGTGGCTCAGTGCAGAACAACTGAACAAGTTAGACTGAACATTGTAGAAGCCGACAGGAGACAGTTTTCGGAATGCGACTCAATATCAAATCTCATATAATAAATAGTGCAAAACAGATAACCAAAAACCCCAGCTATGCATTAATCAAAAGAAAATCTCTGGGAGCCAGCAGTCTCTCCTAATGATATTTCTTATAATGCATTGTTTAAATGAAAATTGAAGGGTGAAATGTTAGGCTGAACATTGTACAAGCCATCAAGAGACAGTTAAGATTTAGATTTTTTCCTGTTGCTCAAGGTCAGACATGCACATACTCACTCGAGAAAAACAAGAAGCAAGTGTAGCAAACTGCTTAGTCTTGGATTCTTTGAGTATATTAACACAGTTGGTGTACAAAGTTTGTGGATTGATATGGAAACAGCAATGACTAATGTATTCTAAGAATGGGCATACCCTGCTGTATCCTTCATTTTCCGCCTTAATTTGAACCCAAATGCATGCAAAGATAATACATTATGTACTCTTTATAATGATGAATTATGAACTTCACTATTTTGGTGAGATTTTAAATTCATGATTTCAAAGAGTCTTTAAATGCACAGATTCTTTATATTTAACTTGATCATGAGCCAATATGCCAAGTCACAACCCAGTACCATATGAATGAACAACTTACACAGCAGAACAACTTTAAAACAAAGGGTGTACCTGGCTTGAAGAAGATTGATAATCCAAAATCAATTGTTTTTAACAATGAGTCCTCCTGTTGGTTCACAAACAGAAAATTCTCTGGCTTGAGGTCGCGATGCATCACACCAAGTGAATGACAAGCTTCAACAACTCCAACTATCGTCCTAGTAAGCTGTGCAGCTTTCCTTTCTGAATAGTGCCCACGTTGAACAATCCGATCAAAGAGTTCCCCTCCAGCACATAGCTCCATAACAACATGAACGGCCACTGCATCCTCATAAGCCCCTTTAATGGATATGACATTTGGATGGCCAGCCAAATGATGCATGATCTGAATCTCCCTTCTCACATCCTCCACATCATCATCGGTCAACAACTTTCTTTTCGCAATCGATTTACAAGCATATTTGTTCCCACTAGTTTTTTCCACGCACAGAAACGTGGTTCCAAACTGCCCTTGTCCTAGCTTCTTTCCCAAGTTATAAAACTCCTTGAAATTGCCAGTTCTAGTCTGCAACACAGAGCTAACCCGAAGACCAGCACTGCCAACCCTCTTCATTTCTGGAGCTGGAAACCTCTTCTTAGGTTTCTCAGCTGGTTCAGCCTTCTGATCAGGTACAGGTTCATCTCTTTTCTCTGCTTTAGGAATGATGACTTGCTCTGGGGGCTTGTCCTGAACCTGGAAAGGTACTTCAGATCCTTTATTGGTCACCACCTCCGGAATCGCTTCTCCATTTCCCTGAGAAGCTGCATCATCTGGCACTCTGGTTCTCCACATTGCAGCAGAAAAAGTCTGGAGAAAGCCATTTTTGGCAGTGCTTGGCCCAACACAGTTATTACCCATCTAATCAAATCCTGGAACCCTCAGATCACCTCCAATAGAACCCAAGTGATTTCAACATCAAGATCTAGCCTTTTCACTAAAGCATACCGATTCCAAGCTGAAACCTCCCCACAAAGTAATCCTTAGGAAAGAAAACCATATGGTATTGCAAAGATCGGCAAAAATACTTAAAATCCCTTGCTTCTGCACTATGCAGTGAACTTAAGTTGACCAATTCAATACGCCAAACTTTGATAGATTAGAGACTTCCCCCAACTGGAGCAAGTCAAAACGAACTCAAAGAGAACGAACAAAACCAGCCTACGAGTGACAGCAATCTACAAGAACAAACCCAGCGGAAACTTCGAGAGTTATGGAAAACCCTTTTGTCCACTGAATCAAGGAAATCGTCACAACCAAAGAGACGATCAAAAGGCATAAAGGGGAACGTGTAAGATTCAAAGAGGAAAGTGGGGAAAGTGGCTAACCAATGTAGAAAAGAAGCAAAGAGCCCGAGCCAGAGCAAAGACGCGAGAAAAAAGGAAAGAAAAGGAAACCCTTTTGAGTTTTGAGAGAGCTGCCTGAGATGTTGAGAATAGAGAAGACAGTCCTTGGTATCGCAGAGAGGATCACAATAAAGCTCAGCAAGAAATCCGGAGGAAACAAAGGAGAGTTCAGCCAACGAGAACGAAGGAAGGTAAGATGGATAAAATAAAAGAAAACGGAAAGGAACAAGACTATTTTGGTGGGTTGTGGAGAGGGGTGTCGTAGCTCTCTTGTCTGTGTATGAGTTGATGATGATGAATACGTGCTAACAACTAACAAGTCTTTTTGATTTGTTTAATGTCCACACCACCAAGTTTGCGGAAGGAAGGAGGGAAGAAGAAGCCCAAGTTTGTATATTAGTAAATGGAGATTCAAAGCTGGAGACTTTCAGAGTTCAGACACAGACAGCAGGTTGAATCGAGGCAGGCTGCGGCCGCCTGTTCATTCTTTGCCATTTGGGAAGGGAAAATACCAGAGTTCGCCCAATTTTGAGACTCTTCTGTAGAGCTTGAGATGGTGAGACTACAATTAGCCAGTCCTTTAGAGGGTGACAACGTGCGCGTTTGGTTGCTGAAGGGTTGATCCAATTCCTTCAAATGGCCCCATATATCATCTTTGCGTCTTTGGTTTGGTTTGCATTAAACATGAAAAAATGAGTTCGTGAATAATGATGAGGCTCCACTTTCCGCCAACTCCTTGATAATTTAATACGGCATTATGATTTATAGCAAGTGGATTAGTGGAACAAAGTCAATTTCCGGTTAGAAATTTACTCCAGCATGCCCTGATTTTCTTTCAATTTTCACGTAAAAATATACAAAATATGATTTTGTTAATGTTTACCGTTTTAGTGGTAAAAATAATGTCTTCACTATCATTGTAGAACGAAGTTTTAAACGGGATTATGGCATCGTGTTGGGACATGAATATTGAATGTAGCATGCACCACAAGGTTGGAACACGGTGATTATAGATGATTCGTCTATTCCTTCTTCTCAGCAGGCAACAATCGACAAAGCGGCGCTTGATTGGCAAGGTCGCTTGTTAAGAGCATACTGATGAAGAGTAGTCTGTTCCACGATTGTCTCCACCTCTGTTAGTTGTTGAGATAGCTGTTGTGCTAGCTGTTAGTGGGTTGTTATAGTCCCACAGTTTCCTGCTTTCAGTTCCTTTATTTCAGCATCTAAATGTACCTATAAATGCATTCACTCAATAAGAGCAAACTCAAGCTTTGTGCTCGTTTATGGTATCAGAGCCTTACTCTCTAACGAGAATTCCTTTTCTTTCTTACCTCCCTTCGTTAGTTCTTCTCCTTTCTTTCTCAAATGGCCACCGAGCCATCCTCTGTTTCCTCCACCTCTGCCTCTGGTGATTCTGCCTCTTTGCCGACCACTACGCTGACTCTTCCTGCCAATCCCCAGCTATCCATCAAACTCACCCCTACCAATTACCTCTTGTGGCATGCCCAGATCACGCCACTGTTACGTTGTCATGGTCTCATGGGACACGTTGATGGCACTCTGCCAGCTCCGCCGCAGCTCGTCGATGGGCATCCCAATCCGGCCTATCTAACCTGGTATGAACGTGATCAGTACGTTCTTACCTGGATTAATTTCTCCCTCTCTGAGTCTGTGCTTCCCAACGTAATCAATAAGGTTACAGCTTACGATGCCTGGTCTGCCCTCGTTCGCATCTATGCGTCTGGATCCAAGCTTCAAATCCGCCATTTGACGAAGGAACTTCAAAATCTTCGTCGTGGTGATGCTGCGATCCATGATTATCTGCAGGCCGCCAAGGCCAAGGCGGATCAGCTCGCCGCCCTCGGTGCTCCGCTCAAGAACGATGATTTTATTGCCTGGTTGCTCGACGGCCTCGGTGAGGACTACCGACCATTTGTTCGCCACATCGAGTCCCGCATGGAGCCAATCAGTTTTGAAGATCTCCACTCCCTGTTGCTGAGCGAAGAAAGCCAGATCCGGCGCTATTCTGTTCGTCATGAATCTCCGTCGCCAACGACGTTCTATTCTAGCGCCGTCGTTCCTCGTGGACACAGAGGCGGCCGGGGTCGTGGTCGCGGGGCTCCAAGGGGCCGATTTCCTTCTAATCCCTTATTTTCTTCTTCTGGCAGGTCCGGCCCGAATGCAGGCCTTCTTGGTTCGCGGCCCAATTCTGCTCCGGTGGTGTGTCACAATTGTGGGGGGCGTGGGCATATAAAGCCCAATTGCCCAAGCCCACACGTTCCCAACCATTCCCATTCTGCCTTTCCTCCTGCTGCCGGCCCACCCACTCCCTATGGCCCAGTTGGTTCTACATATTCCAGCCCACACACCATGTTTGCTACTTCTCCAGCCCAAATGATTAATTCTCAGCAATGGCTCATGGATTCTGGTACTAATCATCATTTAACCTCTGATCTGGATAATCTTGCTCATCATTCGGAATATAACGGCACTGATCATGTTATGTTTGGCAACGGTAAATCCCTCCCAATCTCTCATCATGGTTCCTCTCATGCTTCTTTATCTCATACTCCCATTACCCTCGATAATATTCTCCACGTGCGCAATGCTCCTTATAATCTTTTGTCCATTAGTGCTCTTACACGTACTAATTCAATATCCATTGAATTCTTTGATTCTCTCTTTGTTATAAAGGACCGGCGCACGGCGAATGAGATTTATCGTGGTTATGCGGTGGATGGTCTCTATTCCCTTCCTCTAAATATTGTTCGCCATCTACCGCCTCTTGCTTGCACTGCGACATTGGATGTGTGGCATCGTCGCCTTGGGCACGCGCATGATCGTGTAGTCAAGCAAGCTCTTCGTCAACATCATATCAAATTTCTTCCCTCTTCCTCGTCATTATGTCATGGTTGTGCTGTCAGCAAAATTCACAAGTTACCCTTTGTTTCTTCTACCTTTCAAGCCTCTTCTCCTTTAGAACTTGTTTGCAGTGATGTTTGGGGCCCTGCTCCTGTTCTGTCCTATGATGAGCAATCGTATTACATTCTTTTCTATGATCACTACAACAAATTTTCCTGGATTTACTTTGTTCGATATAAATCACAATTGCTTAGTGTTTTCATTCAATTCCGGCAATTGGTTGAAAAATATTTTGGCACTCCAATTAAAACTTTTCAGTCCGATTGGGGCGGTGAATATCAAGCTCTTTCTTCCTACTTGAGTAAACATGGCATTGCTCATCGCTCTTCCTGTCCCTATACACCAGAACAAAATGGGTGTGCTGAACGCACGCATCGTCATATCGTGAACAATGGTCTTGCTCTTTTACACCACTCTCATGTTCCTCAAAAATACTGGTCTCTTGCGTTTGATACTGCGTGTTATCTTATCAACCGCACTCCTACTCCACTACTCCAAAATCGTTCCCCCTTTCATGCTTTATTTCATCGTCCTCCTGATCTAGCCAATCTTCGTGTTTTTGGTTGTTTGTGCTACCCATGGCTTCGCCCTTACGCCTCTTCCAAACTCGACCCTCGTTCAGTTCCTTGTGTTTTCTTGGGCTATAGTAAGCTCCATAAGGGATACCGTTGTCTACATATTGAAACTAGTCGTATATATATCAGTCGCCATGTATTATTTGATGAGTCTCGATTTCCCTTTTCAGAACTATCACTTTCCCATGTCTCTCCTCCCTCCCCTAACCCGTCCACTCTTCATTCATGCGATCTCACTATCCTGCCCACCCTACCCTCAATTCCTCCTCACCCCAGCCCTTCTTCACGACCCACCTCAAACCCCCAGCTCTCTGCTGTCTCATGTCCTCCATCGGGCCCACTCACTATACGGCCCACTTATTCACCCCATCCCTCTAACCCACCTTCCCCTAACCCAATTCCCAGCCCAACCCCCTCTGGCCCATCTACGCCCTCCACCCCCTCTGGCCCATCGTCTTCCTCCCCTTCCCCCGATCCCCTGCTGCCCTTGCCGCACCAAGCCTCACCTGCCGTCCCTCCTTCCAAGCCCTTAATCCAATATCAGCGCCGCCGTCCAGTCACCACTACCACCACCATTCCTTCCTCATCTACTGTCCCTATTTCCCCTTCCCAGCCACCATCAACGAGAAAACCCCCCACCCCCTTGCCCCCTCGCCGTCCGCTTCCCTCTCGTCCCCCCTTTACCACTTCGCCTCGACCTCTCCAAATTACCAATCCCACTTCCTCCTCTCATCCAATGGTCACTAGAATTAAAACTGGAAATCTTAAGCCTAAAACATTGCTCTCCCACCTTCCCACAGATGGCACTCCCACCTCGGTAGCTCAAGCTCTCAAGCTTCCGCATTGGCGTGCGGCGATGGCAGAGGAAGTCTCCGCCCAACTTCGCAATCAAACCTGGGAATTAGTTCCTCCCCCACCAGACTGCAACATTCTCACAAATAAATGGGTTTGGCGTACAAAGATTCATCCCGATGGCTCTCTTGATCGGCATCGGGCGCGTCTGGTGGCTAGGGGATTTCAGCAGATCCCTGGCCTGGATTTTCACCAGACCTACAGTCCCGTCCTCAAGCCGGCCACGCTTCGACTGGTTCTGGGTCTCGCCGTGACTCAAGCATGGCCTCTTCATCAGATTGATATTGCTAACGCCTTTCTTCATGGTGAATTACAGGAAACAGTTTATATGCAGCAGCCCCCAGGCTTTGTGGATCCCGACAAACCTGATCATGTGTGCAGGTTGCGCAAATCCATTTATGGCCTCCGCCAGGCTCCTCGCACATGGTTTCATTGTCTTGCTGATGCTCTGCTTCGCTTCGGCTTCGTAGTATCTCGCACAGACCCCTCCCTTTTTATCTACAAGTTTGCCTCTGTGCGTCTGTACATGCTTGTATATGTCGACGACATCGTCATTACGGGCAATGACACTGCTCTTATCCAACGGCTAATGACTTACCTTCACGACAATTTTGCTCTTCGAGAATTGGGGCCCCTATCCTACTTTCTGGGCATTGAGGTTCATCGCACTGACACTGGCATTATTCTCAGTCAGCGTAAATTCATTCTGGACATCCTAGATCGTGCGAAGATGGCGTCTGCCAACTCTATCTCTACTCCTGTCACCGCAGACATACTTCAGCAGGCTGCTTCATCTTCTTCGCCACTGTTCCACGATCCCGGTCTCTATCGCAGTATTGTTGGCAGCTTGCAGTATCTCAGCTTTACCAGACCTGATCTCTCCTACGCTGTGAACCTCGTCTCTCAGTATCAGCAGAGCCCCACGGAGGTTCATTGGGCTGCTGTCAAACGCATTCTGCGTTATCTAAAGGGCACCGTCACTCGGGGGCTCGTGTTCACTCGCTCGTCCTCTCTTCACATTCATGGGTATTCTGACGCATCTTGGGCATCCTGTCCCAAGGATCGGAAATCAATCACAGGTTTTGCTGTCTTCTGTGGTCCTAATCTCATTTCTTGGTCTACTCGCAAGCAGAAGTCCGTTGCTCGCTCTTCTACTGAATGTGAGTACCGCGCTCTTGCTACGTTAGCATCGGAGGTGTTGTGGCTTCGCTCATTATTGGAGGAGTTGGGACAGCCGATTCCATCGGCACCGGCTCTCTGGTGTGACAACCTTGGCGCCACCTTTCTTGCCCACAATCCGGTGTTTCACAGCCGTTCCAAACACATGGAGATTGAGTTTCACTTCGTTCGGGATCAAGTCAGCAAGGGTCGGTTACATGTCCACTATATACCTGCTGCCGACCAGCTTGCAGATATGCTCACTAAGCCACTTCCTCGCGTTACCTTTCATCGGTTTTCTACCAAGTTTCACCTCACGGAGCCTCAACTTGCGGGGGCGTGATGAAGAGTAGTCTGTTCCACGATTGTCTCCACCTCTGTTAGTTGTTGAGATAGCTGTTGTGCTAGCTGTTAGTGGGTTGTTATAGTCCCACAGTTTCCTGCTTTCAGTTCCTTTATTTCAGCATCTAAATGTACCTATAAATGCATTCACTCAATAAGAGCAAACTCAAGCTTTGTGCTCGTTTACATACACCATACACCTGGGCAGTTGTTCCATCACTCGTGCAGACTTCAGAGGGGCATTTAAGGGTCTCTAGTTGATCTGGCGGTTTGGACATTGGAAGGTACGTAGCCCTACATATGGACTCGACATCGACACTTTCCATCCTGATTCCTGCAAGCAATGAACAACTCGTGTCATCAACACATGAGCTTAGCTCTCCAGCTCAGGCAGCTCGTGTCAATGGAGTGTGAGGTTCGCTTCTACCATGTTTTCAAATAGGGCAATTTCTTAATCGATTGTTTGGCTCGTATGGGATCTCTATTTCCTTTGGCGCTCACTCTCCTAAGCATGATCCTAAAATCTGTTACGGGATCACGCATTAACGCTTTGGAAAACTTTACGCCTACTTGTATTAATGTTATGAGGTAGTGTTGCTTTGCACATATCAACCCCAGGAGGCATGAACCAAACTTCGAAGATAACAAAACTGGGCCACAGTATTGGGCCGCTTGCTTAACCCAGAGAAAGAGATGGGAAGGCCGAAGCCACTGGATCGACCACGAAGATGGGTCCGAAACAGGGTTATAGTTTGACGAGAAAAATACAAGAAAGCATGAAGTCAGCCGGCCGGAAAATCGGGAAGTCAAAGAATACGTCGACGGCGGCATTGCTCATCCAACGCTTCTACTTGTCCGGCTAGCTGCCCATGTACGTCAACGAACACACATCACTGTTGTTTCAATCTAAAACACTCACCTCCCTTCCCTCCCCTGTTTCCAGCTGTCCTCCCCTTCTATGCACATTCAGCCACGTCCAATTCCCATCCCTTCTTCAGTTCTTCTTCTTCTCCTTCATTGATCCATCTATTTATAAGTACTTACACTCTCTAATACACAAAAATCACAACATTATGGAAGGTGAACAGCAACAGCAGCAGAGGAAGAGCAGTTGCAGTGAGACTACTCGAGTCCTGCTCCTGCCATGGCTAGCTCACGGCCACATCTCCCCCTTCCTAGAACTAGGGAAACGCCTCGCCGCTCGCAAATTCATCGTCTACTTGTGCTCAACGCCGGTCAATCTTCACCCTTTAAAACCCAAACTCTCTTCATCACCAATCACACTGGTGGAGCTTCATCTCCCATCCTCCCCACAGCTCCCTCCCCATTACCACACCACCAACGGCCTTCCTTCTCACCTCATGCCCTTACTCAAGTCCGCCTTCGACGCCTCCACGTCAGCCTTCTCCTCCATACTCGTCTCCGTTTCTCCAGACCTCGTCATCTACGACTTCCTCCAGCCCTGGGCTCCACTCCTCGCCGCATCCCTTCTCCACATCCCATCCGTCGAATTCATCACCACCAGCGCTGCACTGGCCTCCATGGCTTCCCATTTCTACAGATTCAATGCGGAGAAAACGCCAATCCCGTTTTCTTCAATTCAACTCCGGGAACGGGACCAGGAAGCGTTCGCCGAGTTGATGGAATCCGCCACCGCCGACGGGATGATGGACATAACTCGCTACGAGCGCTGCACCGAGCGATCGTCCAAGATAGTTCTCATCAAGACTTTTCGAGAAATCGAAGGGAAATACCTTGACTACTTAGATCATCTCACCGGGAAGAAGTTCGTCCCCGTGGGTCCTTTACTGGTGGCGGATGATAAAACAGAGCAAGACGGGAAGAACAGAGACGCTGTCGTTGAATGGCTGGACCGGAAACAGAGTTGCTCCGCCGTATTCGTCTCCTTCGGGTCCGAATTCTTCCCTTCCGGTGACCTAATTCGGGAAATTGCACACGGATTGGAGCTCAGCAGGGTCGATTTCATCTGGGTCGTCAGATTTCCGTTGGGGAAGAGAGTGGATTTGGCTGACGGTCTGCCGGAAGGGTTTTTCGATAGGGTTGGAGGCAGGGGAATGGTGGTTGAAGGATGGGCGCCGCAGCCTGCGATTCTCGCCCACCGGAGCGTGGGAGGGTTCGTGAGCCACTGCGGGTGGAGCTCCGTGATGGAGAGCATGTGGCATGGAGTGCCGATCGTCGCGGTGCCGATGCATTTGGATCAGCCGGTGAATGCGAGAGTGGTGGAAGAAGTCGGAGTTGGGGTGGAGGTGAAGAGAGATGGGGATGGGAAGCTTGAGAGAGGGGAAATCGCGAAGGTGATTAGGGAAGTGGTGATGGAGGAGACTGGGGAGAAGGTGAGGAAGAAAGCGAAGGAGATGAGTGAGGTGATGAGGAGGAAAGGGGAGGAAGAGATGGATCGCGTTACAGAGGAGCTAATAGAGCTTTGTTTCGATCGATCTTGTTAGTACGGGCATGGCTGCTTAATTAGGTTTAGCTTTATACATTCCCATCGCCGACTTCTACAAAATGAAAATGGATAATAAAGATGGGCTGGCAGATCGGCCCAGGCCCAAGAAAAAGCCCAAGCCCATACCGAAACAGTATCAGTGATCAGTGATTGCTAATATTGCTATCTTCCGTCGTCTCTGCATTCAAACTGAAGTTCAACCAAAAGAGCAACAATGGCTAAACCCTCAAACTGAGAAAGTATTGCAAAAATGAACCAACCGATCGATTGCTTCATCAATCTCTCTATCCCCGTTCTCCACCAAACAATCCCTAATCTGCCTTGCCTTAACCCTAATCCCGTTACCACTTTCCCCAGTCACAACCTGTTCAATCACCCTCGCCACCTCTCCCCTGTCAATCCGATCAACCTTCATCCCGACCCCAACTTCCTCAACCAACCTCGCATTCGTCCCCTGGTCATTCTGCAGCGGCATCGCCACGATCGGCACTCCGTACTTCATCCCTTCCGTTACCGAGCTCCACCCGCAGTGGCTGACGAACCCGGCCACGCTCCGGTGCCTCAATATCCTCCGCTGCGGAGCCCAACCCACCGCCACGTATCCCCTCTCCCCCACCGCCTCCAGGAACCCTTCCGGCAGCGCATCTGCCGGACCCATCTCTTCCCCTTCCGGAAACCTGAGAACCCATATGAAATTCAGCCCTTTCGTCGCCAGAATCAGCAGCGCCTGCCCTAGTTCTTCCCTTTCCGCTCCCGATAGATACGACTCGCTCCCGAATGAAATGTACACCACGGCTGTTGAGGGGTCTTTTTCGTTCAACCATTTCATCACTTTATCAACTGATTCTTCACGATCGTCGTCGTCGTCGGAATCATCCGGCACGAGGGGGCCGACGGGGACGACGTCCTTTCCGATGAACTCCGAAACCCGGTCAATGTGCTCTGCTTCGATCTCTCTGAAACTCTTGACCAGTAGCATCCCAGAGGACCGCTCCAGGGACCAGAAAACGCGGTCCTTGAAGCTCGGCGTCTCGTGGGTATCGTAATCGAACATGTAATTGGACGGGAGAGGGAAAACCCCGTCGAATCTGCCGGAATTTTTCATGGCTGTGAAGGGAAGAGCAGTGGAGAAGGCAGCGTTGGTCATGAACAGAACGGTGGGGATTTTGAGGGTCGAGAGGGCGAGTTCTGGAGCCCAGGGCTGGAAGAAGTCGGTGATGAGCAAGTCCGGCGACAATCTGGCCAGGATATCCGCGAACTCGGAGCTGGCCATGTCCAGAGCTTTGTAGAGAGTTGTTAGGAGGTTGGTCTGGAGGCCCTTGGTGGTGTGACGGTTAGGAGGAAGGTCTGGTAAGGATGGGAGATGGAGCTCTACAAGTTCGATGGCAGGGTATTTTAGCTGGATATCTGAGATAGAGGCCAGATTGACCGGAGATGAGCAGAGATAGACGTGGAAGCTTGGTTGTTGCTGCCGGGAGACTAGCTTCTTGGCTAATTCGAGGAATGGATAGATGTGTCCGTGAGCTAGCCATGGGAACATTAGAACCCCAATTCCGTCGCCGTTTCTGGGTTTCATCTCTTCGGAGATCGGTGAAGAAGATGAGTCTGAATTGGGTTTGCTTGGTCCACTCTGTTCCTACATGGATTGATAAGAAGTTCATCACTTCATTTCACTGTTCAATCCTCTGCCACATACCCACGGTTTGTCCTTTGTGATACAACTAAGTAACCATCTCTTTCCTCTCCGCACCTGAATTTCATGTACAAATTTGTGATGAAATAATTTCAGTATTATATAATATGGCCGGAAAACGTCCAGCTCATCCTTCAATCAAAGCAAACTGACTGCTACGTTCACGAATTATTTTATCACTGGGACCTAACTCGTTTTGGTTTTGGTTTTGGTTTTGTTTAATGCAGAGAATATTGGCGACGAACAAATCAGCATCCAACCGCTCATTATTTACGCAACGAATAATTGGACCACATGTTTATCTCTGGGAAGGGATTCGAAAGGAGATCAATGGTGGGGCGTTTTTCTTCGTTATTATACTGAAGATTCGTCTGTTCGCCTCTCTCTTTCTGGTCCTCGCCATAAGAACCTCAAGCAGTTGGTGTTGCCTGAAAGGAACAAGTCAATTCCAGCTCTGGAAGGTAGTTAGAAAGGAGGAAAAAGCTTGCTTTTCCGCTCAAACAAACTAAGAAATGGGGGCATCAGGAATGATGTGCGACGCCATGGAAGCATTGGAGCAAATTGGGGGTGGAGCCATCATCAATGGCGTCTGCAGTTGGGACGGAATTCCGCACTCGACTCGCACAGTCGACCCAAAACTCAGCCTCCCCGATATTTCTCGTCGTGTTATGTACGTACTTTATCCACTTGTTTTTGTTTTTGTAGAAATTTTTGCTCTGATTAAGTGATTGCTCTGTTTTAATTGATTCACTTATCCTTTATTTTTGGTGATGTACTGTAATTCTCATATCCACGGGGAACAGAGCACAGAATTAATGTCTTGTCTGTCCATATTGCTTTCCAGAAGAGAATTTGCCCAAATTAGAAGGAAATATAATGTCCACTATCTTGTTACTTCTCTTTTGCCTCTGTTTCTCCTTTTAGAGCAAAACCGTATTTCCTCTGTTTCTTCATTATTTTCTAGAGAGTTGGCTTTTATATCTCAGTTTTGTTGGGTGAGTACCCTTTTGTGGTGTTGGTGATTACTCACTCTGGAGTCTGGACTGACAGGGACTTGTGCAAAGAACTATTCAAGGGATGGTCTGAACTTGATGACTGTTGCTTCACTGTTGAGAGAGTTTCTGGCGGTATAACAAATCTATGTGAGTACTCGTTCCCCCTGGACCTAGCTACGTGCTGACAGACTTGTAATGCTGTAGCTAGTGATGAGGAATTGTAATGCTGTAGTGCTAAAGGTGTCCGTTAAGGATGTCAGTGGAGACGAGAGCAGAGTAACGGTTAGATTATACGGACCAAACACCGATTATGTCATTGACCGTGAGCGCGAGTTGCAGGTTCATTAATCACTTTCGCTTAGACACGAGGTTGGATTCTGTATATAAGTTCTTCTTCTGCTGATTCTGACGGCATTCTCCTATGTTCATAAATCACAGGCTACTAAACACCTGTCAGCTGCAGGATTTGGTGCGAAATTGCTTGGAGTGTTTGGGAATGGTATGGTGCAGTCTTTTATCACTGCACGCACTCTAAAACCAGCAGGTATATGAGCACGATTGATTGCTATCGAGTGGCTCTCATGATCCTTCGACATGCATGCATGGACTTTATATATTGTTGTGTCTGAAGAAGTCTAATATTTCTGCAGACCTGAGGGTGCCAAATTTGGCTGCTGCTATTGCTAACCAACTCCGCCGGTTTCATGCAGTGGAAATCCCAGGATCCAAGGAGCCTCAGTTGTGGAATGACATATTCAAGTTATATGAGAATGGTTTGTTTGTACTATATAACCTGTTGAGCTAGCTGCAACATTTTATTTTTCTCACAACTTGCAGCAGCACTTTCCACTTTGGTTCTCTGTTGTCACTTTGCATTGCTTCTTTAGTTTATTTACTGCTACTTGCATTCTCCAGCATCCATTCTGCAATTTGCTGATGCCGAGAAACAAAGAATCTACGAGACGATCTCCATGAAAGACTTCTATGGTGAAATCATCGAAATCAAGGTAACTCTCTCTTAGTGCTGCTGTCCTTTAAGGACTCTTTACACATGACTTCCACCTTTATATACCGTTGTCCTTCAATCCATTTAAGTACTGGGACAAAGATGTTTCGCTCATTATTAAATTGAGATTCCATCTTTGGATAACTCTTTTCTGTCATTTGTGCTGCAGCACTATTGAACCACTTTCTGACATTTCTTTCCCTGATAATCGAATGAAACAGGAATTGACAGCACTTGTGAACTCTCCAGTGGTGTTTGCTCACAACGACTTGGTATTCGGGAATCTCATGTTTAATGATGAAGAAGGTAAGAGTTCTTGACATGGATTATTATTGTGTTATGAATTAGGATCCCTCTCTACAAGATCTATTCAGTATCAGGTTAACTAACATTTCGCAAAATATGTAGTTGATCACTTTTGATCTTTTGGTTCCTGTTTGTTTTATACACTCCCAGAGAAACTCTACATGATAGATTTTGAATATGGGGCATACGGTTATAGAGGCTTCGACATTGCAAACCACTTCATTGAGTATGCAGGCTATGATTGTGACTACAACTTGTATGTCCTCTATAATCAATCAATTTCCTTATACCTCCTTCCTTGCTGTAGCGTTCGTGACCAAGTAGCTCGCTCGCCTCTGATTCTTCTATATGATGTTGAATGCAGATACCCCAATTTAGAAGAACAGTATCACTTCTTCAGGCATTACTTACAACCTGGGAATCCGCACGAGGTAATTGTAGAAAACTATATTGGGGGATCCTTGCAAAGCTCCACGCACAGTTCTAAAAGTTCCTCAATGAAAAATGAATCATTGATTGTTTCGAACCGGCAGGTGCCCGTAGAGGAGCTTGAAGCACTCTATGTAGAGTCCACCACTTTCATGTTGGTGTCGCACATATTCTGGGCACTCTGGGCGCTAATCCAGGTAAAACACACCTATTCACCTCTTTCATATCTTTAACACAGAGCCGTAGAACATTCTGGGCACAACTGAACCAGTTCTTGTTTTTGTGGGTACTGTAGGCGAAGATGTCGCGGATCGATTTCGATTACTTGGGCTACTTTTCGGTGCGATACGAGGAATACAAGAGGCAGAAGGAAACATGCTGTTCACTGGCTCGATCTTATGTTTCAGGAATGCCCAGAAGCCTGTCTTTCTGAGTATTGTTTCATTATTGCAATAAATTGTAATTGTGTTTCAAATAGAGTTGGTAGTAGGCAGGACAAGCTGCTAAAAGCTCAAGCCAACTTCGTTCTGTTAATAAGCCAGATCTTGTGCTACTGCAAATCTCTGAAATGTGGCGTGCACTAATAAAATCTTCTGTCGCAACGCCCAGTTCGCATTATTTCTTGCTAAGCTAGAAGTTTGATTCTTGGACAATGATATAAATCTATTAGATAGTGTCTTCTTCTGACTTTCCTATGAAAAAAATTGAAACCCAAATTATTATAAACAACTAGAATGAATACCCACGGCGGCTACGCAACGCCGTGAAAACAAAAGCAACAATAACATGATTGTATGGTGTCTGATTTAGACGAAGGCAAACTGGAGGTCGTTGTGCTACTGGCAAGAAAATGTGTTTAAAAGTTTTGAAAGATGAGAGGCTAGAGCTGTTGAAATTTAATCCCCTATGAAATGTTGTGTACCATCATTATAATAGATCATAATTAAGTGATGAAATGATATAGGCAACATTAATTAACAATCTTCCTATTAATCCAGTTAGTAGTCGAATAATAATCATACTCTAAGAATCTCCTATCGAATTAGACTTATTTACATAGTTCTACTCAGGGTGCCGAGAGCTTACAAACTTCTATTCAGTTATGCACTTGCATCTCTTGTTTCAACATGTCTTCATTTTTTTTTTATCCAAATTTACAGCAACATAAACTTGCAGATTTACATCTCCAAGTTCAACATTGGATTTCTTCACCTATTTTCTTTGGTTTGTCCTTCCATCCGCAACATAGTTAGTAAAATACGGTACGGGAAAGTTACGTAAAAAATACATACGGGTATTTTACGTCGTCTCTAAGTTAAAGGTACGTTTAATACCACGTTAATAGTAATAAATATTTAAAAATAAATTATTTTAAAAATAAATAAATATATAAATAATAGTAAAGTTCACAATTTAATTCATTAAATACGGATATTAAACGTGTTATACAGGTTTTATACATGTTTAATACGGGAGCCATCCAATGAACGGAAAAAAATGAAACGGCTTGACAATAATACGGATACGAAAGTTTTAAACGGATAAAGTACGTACGGTACATATACGTGTATTAAACGGAGTATTTACTAACTATGATCCGCAACCTTCACCTTCATGCTAATCTCCTTGGCTTGCATAATCTCAACAACGCCTGATGATTCCTCTCCATATGGGATTACCACCACCACTTACATTTCCCTTCTGACGTCAACTGCTACTATTTGTTGTCAAATGTGAAGACGTCATACAATGAGGCTATTAGCCCGATTGTTGCCTATGCAAAGAAGAATGTCTCGTTGGCCCAAGAGACAAAGAACTGAGACACAGTTGAAGACAACAAACATAATGAGCGAGCAAAGCAAATGATTTGATAGATAACCCAACATCTACGTAGCCTCATATAACAAATGAAGCTTATACAGGAGGGCATAGCAGATAGAATATTACAATATTGAAGCACTGAACTCAACAACTCATAAGTCATAATGGAGTTGATCTGGCATTTGGATCCAATTTACCTTGGTATAACTATGACAATGGTTAATTGACAATTTTAAGGAGTTGAAGTTATCTTTCTTTCATGATCTTTTTTTTACAATAACTTTCATGATCTTTTGAGTGCAACTAATCCTACTGTTTTACCTCAACATAGAGTAATGATGGATTTAAAGAATGAAAACAAAATAGGATAAGTAAGATCTTAATATAACTTTCATGTTTCCTTAGAAGTTTTCCAGGGTATGATATATATACAACACACATACAAAAACAATGAACACTAATAGAGAGAAAGGGAAATGTAAAAAGATTATTTTTAATAGCTCAGTTGAAATTGAGTCATCTCAACGTGGCAGTGGGCAAGTTGTTTTCTAAGAATTCAATATATGGCATAGGAGACGTCAAGCAAGTAAAACAATAGGTGGCATGAAATCAACTCCTTAGTTGATGTCACTATAACAGACACAATATATTGAATTCTTAGAAAATCATGTATGCCACCTCTAGTTTTAAACCGTGAAAACCTTAGAAAACAACTTGAATTTAAGCATCATTATCCTTCTGACCTTCCTCTACTTCTCTGCATTTCCCTCAGAATGAATCATGTTGCTGCTGCTAAATTCAAGTTAACCCTGCTGTCTGTCGGAAACAATACCATTGCCTTCTATAACAAAAGTATCCTCTGCATAGGCTGATGGGCCATCTGGATGAGTTCTTAATGCACTTGGTCCATTTCTAGATTCCTTGTATCATGTAACCTAATCCTAAAGTTGTTACTGTAACCCAATATGAATATGACACAATAACAACAAAAGCAAACCCAAAAGTAAAGGAAAACAGCTAGATTCTATAGGGAACCCATCGAAGTTAGTTGGAGGCAAACTGTGGGCTTGAATGCTTACCTAGTTTGGAGAACTCGAGAGGAATATGCAGAGGAAGGCCAAAGCAGTGAGATGAGCTCATCCATCATATTGTCTCTGCGGGTTGTTACTGCCCTGAATACAACAGGTTCACGTTCTGGTGTTGTGTTTTTGGCGAGAATCCAAAACCTGAATGTGAATCATTAAAAATGAAATACACAAAGGCAGTGACCGTCATCGATCATTTTATTTTCAGTTGACAGTTCTGCGCATGAAATGCACCTAACGCAGTGAAGAGGTACCTGAGGATCGTCATTTTCCAATCGCTTATCAGATACCGGAATCAGAGAAACCTCCTGCAATCTTGATGATGTTCTCGATTTGTCATCATCATCAAACTGTGAAATATGATCTGGTCACATAAATCAGCAAAGGAATAATTTAAAGTTTAAACCCATGAAAGCAAATACGAACATTGCATTCAGATGAACAATGAAAAGGAATTCATGAAGGAAAACAAACAACAACCAATACCAACAAAGGAATGCACTAAAAACAAAGTTAGAGAGATTCCTGATGTAAGTTAGTTAAAGCATGAGATTAAAACACTACTGAAGTTCATTAACCTCGGTCTTTTAGTTGAGAATGAGGACTTATTTCCGCCATGAGCACAAAAAATGGTACTTGCAGTAAACAAAAGAGAAATCATGAAGACAACTTAAGAATAAAAATGATGATTGAATAGGAATCTAACATAAATATATAGCTCCAGAGGCACATACGCAATGGAAATAGCGAGAAGTAAGTGATCAAAGCAGTTCTTGTATGTACCAAATGGCCTTTCCTTTCAAACCTGCAAATCAAAAGTGAAAGTCTAGCATAAACTATATCCTAAAGTAGAGAGGGCACAAAGAAGCCAACCAATAAAATTGAGTATAAGCTAAAAACAATACATATACAACCCCACAAAAATAAAAGGCAAACTTCATAGCTGCACATATCTAAAAGAAATGTTCTAAGCGACTTGGATTCCTACCCGGCTCCCCTGTTCTGGAACCAAATAGCAATTTGCCTAGGCTGCAGATCAAAAGGTCTAGCCAACTGCATTTTCCCGTCCGTTTCAAGCTTGTTCCCCAACTCAAAGTTCTTCTCCAATGTCTTCACTTGTTCCATGTTCACCTCCTCCTCTTCTCCCCTGCCCTACCTGTGACCCATCATCTGACAGTTCATCAAGCTGATCCCCGCCATTAACACCCGCCTTCTAACTCCTGATCTCCAATCCCTGAACATGACATGGATCTCTCTCCCCTGTGAATTTTGCCATCCGTAAAAGATAAGAAATCAATCAGCCAACCTAGTTCAGAAGTACCATAAAGGAATCTGGAGATAAAGCTTAATTACCATAGAAGTCCTGCAGTGCACATTGGAGTCGGAGCTTCTCCTTTTGCTGCAGACACGACTTTTTCCCATCGCCAAAGCGTCGCCGACATCCTCTTCCACAGCTTAAACCGGATGAAAAGAGGGAGCGACAATTGGAGGTGGGTGCTGGATTTTTTATGGAATAGATAAGAAAGGGATGAGAGGCAAGGGGCTGTTCTGTTTCAAGCTTTCTGTGGGAAGAGGAGACGTTGGATGGAGGTAAAGAAGGAACAAAGAAGCATGGGAGAAGGAAAGGGAGAACTGCTGGTGCAGACTTGAGTGATTGAGAGATGATTTTAATTGGAAGAAAATTGGGAGTGATGTGATTGGAGAGGGAAGAGTATAGAAAAGAATTTGGCAGGGGAGGGGGCAGCAGAAAAAGAGGTGACAGCCTGACAGGCTATTTTTCATCTCTTTTTAATTTTGAGTTTTGTATTTTTTAGCTCTTTTAGTGCTAGTGCGGGATTGGGGAAGACCGAAGTTGGGAACTGAGAAGCTCTTTCACTAAACGCCAAATATTGAAACAGTAGTAAGAAGTGTGGACAAAAAGCGTACCCACTAATTATATATAAAAAGAATGAGTTATAATTCGTTATATTTTAATGAAAAATATAATTGTTTAACTTAAGATTACGAACATGATGTGAATCCAAAGTTCCAAACCAACTCGTAGTTTTCTTTTCTGTTGATGAATTTTGTTATATTTTTCAATTGAACAATTGAAAACACGTATAATCCAACACACTTAGTCACATATCACCCAAAAATTTTCTTTTTCATAGATAGTGGTTTCACATAGATAGATAGTCACATACCACCACCCTAATTGGAGGCACATAAAGTATAACAATTTATCAAAAAACTAAATAATCCAATGATTTCACGCGAAAAATTGCAAAAGATTCCGTGCCCATATTTGACGGTGACCGCCGGCAATACTTTATAGAGAAAAAGCTCGACCGTCGATCAAGCGATGGACGGCATCTTTACTGACCATATCGGATGTGCACCAAGGACCAATGTACTGATCAATATCGCGAGTACTAACGCGTACTAATATTCTCCCATTGGGAGTTGTTTGCGTCACGTTCTGGCAAACGCAATTACGCAATAGAGAGAGAGAGAGAAGGAGAGTTGGACCCAAATACCGTTCTCCTTCCAGCCCCAACTCGTTGCTATAAAATCCCCCAACTGCAACCTTTGAAAATCAACGACAGAGGGAAAAGGAAATAGAAGAGAACCAAGTCTTTGTTGCGATCGTCTCATCGGTTTCTCCTCCTTCCGTTGAATATCTTCTACAGAAACCATGTCTCAGGTATCAACTCCCATCACCGTGCCCCTGATTCGATTGGGTTGTTGTGTTTATCGTTGCGTATCACGTAGTCGATTCGCTTGTTGATGTTGTTGTTGTGGTTTTTGGGTCTGGATATTTGATGGGCGAAGCTTAGTTAGAGGTTGGTTTGTTGTAATCCTAGGAAATTGAGTTTCTTCTGGAGGGATTATGTTCTGGGTTGTTGGGTTCCTGATAAATCTTTTTGTATCCCCTGCTCCACAATTTGATCGCGTGAGTTGTGGGGAAAAGGGTACCTCACTCCATTCGATAACCAGGGGGTCTGGTGCAAGTCATGATCTTGTCTTGGTGAAAGTTACATTTGGGCGGAATTCTTACTTTGATTACATATACCGTGATTAGTTGTTCGAGACCTTGTTTGTTTTTTACTGAACTTGAGCTTTTGGTTTGTTCTTGGAAAAATCGACTGGGGGTTTGAAATAACTGCATTTTGTTAGGTTGTCAGCCCAGTGGTGGGTTTACTTGATGTTCTTGGTGCATCACTGTCATTTTTGCCCACACAGGCAATCTTATTCATGATCTGCTTGAGAAATTTGATGTTGCAAGGATAAAGTTCCGATCTTGAGAGTTGTGGTTTCTTATTAGTGTACCCTGAGCTGTTCTGAAGCTATGGCGTTCTTGATTTTGCGTCTTCTCGTTGCTGCACGATGCAGTAGTCGACTTTATTTGTTTGACGTCTGATTTTGCTCCATTTGCAGACCGTTGTGCTCAAGGTTGGAATGTCCTGCGGGGGATGCTCCGGGGCTGTGAAAAGGGTGTTGACCAAAATGGAAGGTTGGTTTTAGACCTCTCACTTACCTGCAGCTACTGCTCTTTATCCCGATCTGTTAGTGAAACTCAATGAATCCAAATGTTGAGCTGGGACGATGGCTTATTTGCTGTGCTCAGTATTGCAGTATGATGATCTTGTCTTGTATGACATTAAGATGTTTGCCAAATTGCGAGGGTCTGCTTTTTGGTTAGAAACTTTCTACGCTGTTCTTGACTTTAGATTCAGCTTTTAACCAGTGCTATGAACTACGATGCGTTCAGGGGTGGAGTCTTTTGACATTGACATGGAGCAGCAGAAAGTTACCGTGAAGGGAAATGTGCAGCCGGATGCGGTGTTCCAGACTGTGTCCAAAACTGGGAAGAAGACTGCATTCTGGGAAGAAGCAGAAACAAAGCCCGCCGAGATAACCGAGGCTGCACCTGCTGCTCCTGCTCCTGCTCCAGCAGAAACAAAGCCTGCCGAGACCAAGACGGAGACTACTGTTACTGCTGCATAGATTGCTGGTCTGACTAATAATACAGTAGAGTTTATTTACCTTGCCATGGAAGTCGGGGTTCTGTACGGTTTGATGATGAATGTGTTGTACTACTAATGCTCTATAGTGGTAGATGTAAGCGGTACCCGTTGATGAAATGTAAGGGCCGACAATAATCGCCTCAGTTCTATCTTTTTACGGTCTGAAGTTTGGGTTTTTGTTGTGAAGCAACGATGTGTGGTGGACTATTTCAAATATACTTGTTTGGGTTTGTGCTTTTGCAAATAATGTTGCCTATTTGTTCTATAGGCTAGCTTGAGAACGCCATAATGATAATCTCGCCTAGTTGTTATTTTCTTAGTTGTAACAGAAAAGACAGAACATTCATAGATAATGTACAGACTCCTTGAAAATGAGCAAAGCGAGAATGGCTTTCTTACGTTATTTTTAAGTGCAGTATGTTTTCTTAGCTGTTCTGCTTGCCTCTGTTGTCTGTATGCATTTAGCTTTAGGCTATTTCAACTATATCATCATCTCATGAAGAGAAGGTTTGAGAGTTTGATAAACAGCTTGCCAGCCATTCTGGGCAGGATGAAGCATATCCCAGAACATTGACAGGCTTGGGTTGTTGCAAACCACATATTTCTTTGCTCCTCCATTGCCCCCCTTCTCGTCGACATCTCCACACGAGTGATCACTGCTCACCCCGATGCAGCATGGCTTCAGTGGGTTGTCACCAGAACCTGAACCGTTCGATTTCTTAAACTCAGCCATGAATGCACTGAATGTGTCCAGGATTCCGAAAACATTACTCTTGTTGGTCCTGTTGTTTAACGATTCCACTGCTTGTTGCAGCAGCTGGTTGTGGTACTTGGCTGCAGAGTTCCAGGTTTCATTGCAGTCCCGGTACGAGTTTGCAGCAGCCACCACTGGCAAGCAACCAATTGGTGGCAGAGTGGTGATTGCCACTTTTGAAACTCCTAAGCCATGGATGAGGTTCAGGTTTTCAGAAAGCTGAGCGATGATTCTCTCAGTCAGACCTGGTAATTCCTGTTTTTTTTTTTTTTCATGGACACAAACTAAACATTACTATTAGGAAGGAAGGGGGACAGGTGGGTGACCCAAAACAATAACAATTATTCACCTGGGGATTGCCCTTTTTGTTGGCATAGGTCAAGTAGTCATTGCCTGCTATTGACACCAAGGCAAAGGAGGAGTTGAGAAGGTCTTGTTTGGTGTAGACTTTTCGTTCCTCAATAATCTTCTCAAGCAGATTGATCTGGACAGACATGTTTGGTGCAGGGATGAAGGTGTCAAACACTCCTGTTCCTCCATAAGCAAAGTTCATCCCATACTGAAGATGACGACTGCGAGAGTCCTGTGCAGTCGCCATTGCTGTCGTGTAGGGTATTGGGGATTCTATTCCCAGATATGAAGCTGCAAACGTACAATGAACAGCGATGAAGATCATCATAGTTCAAGAAGTTTGCAAGACATGATTACAGTATATTGTTTGTTTATACCTACCTATATAATCTGTGAAGATTCTGCCATCAGAGAATCGACCAGCTGGTTTTCCAGGAAATGTGATCCCATAGGGTTCCTTCCAGGAGCTAGCTGACTTCCCTGAGTTGCCGGTATCAGCATACGAGTCCCCGAACACAAACAGCTTCGGAGCAGCATCAGCTTTCGCTATACCTGATCAACAAGATCAAGTCATTAATGAGCAAAGCATACATGATACATAATAAAGGATTAAAACAGCTGTTCATCAGGAAGGAAGCATAGGAGACCTGCAACAAGGAAACAGAAGAGTACAGTGGGGAAACATTGAAGAAGTAGAGTTGCAGAAGCTTGATGATACTTTTCCATGCCTTTTTCCCTTTTCTGCAGGATGTGCCTCACTGCTTGCTGTGGGTGTGCAACTTGTGGTTATGGAAGTGTGTATATATGTGATATCTGCTTAAAAATATCAATACTCAGTACATTTCAATTTAGTTGTTAAGAATATAAAATGAATAGTAGTTAGGACACCAACTAATGTTTCACTTCATTGGCTGCATGTCACGTGGATAAACTGGTGAGAAAGTTGTATATAACTAAGGTTGGATTCCACATTTGGGTATCAAACTGTACAAGTTGTACTATGGTCTCCCTCAACCTAAATTAGGTTTAGCTTACAAGACTATTCATCAACTACCATTAGGGGGTGGCGGTTCGGTTAACCCAACCGAAAATCATTAGAAGTCGAAATTTGAATCAGCCAATTGCTCAAAATCGATACCAGAATCTTTAAGAGCTTATAGATTTACGGTTTCACCAAAAACCGTTAGGTCCTTGATAGATTCGGTTGTGATCATAATAATCGAAAAAACCAAAAATGAATCTTTGATTGCGTTAAGGATTATATGGTTTTTTATCAATTTATCAACAATTTTCAGTTTTAATTGAAGGGGTTAAGGACTTATCGGTTGGTGAAAATTGAGAAATCAAAACCGAACCGCCTGCCCTAACTACTATGCCTGCAATTTCCAATATCGTGGGACATCACTAGTACCATGCTGGAAGTGACACCTTATCTCGTGATGAACACTATTTATAGCCGATTATATTAAAATCTAACAATATGTTCAAATACTAACATTATTTTAATAATGATAATCTTTGCTCATTCATACGTATATACATAATAAGTAGTCGAATGCACGACTTCTTAAGTTGTATAACGTATACATACACCTTTACTCGAATCTAAAATATGTTGAACATAGCGAGTATCCCTAATTATTAGAGGAAGGCCACAAGCAGCAATGACATATGTATTGTGGGGTTGAACTAACTCATTGAATCCCCGAGGACAAGGAAGCTTTCTAGTTTCTAGTCAATAAAATTTATCAATACTTGTTTACAAGCTATGGATATACCAAAAAGTCTAATGCTAAGCTTAAGAAATAATCCACAAAATGCTGCCGGAAGAGACACAATTTGTCATAGATAATGACGAGGTGAATTTGTCCCACAAGATATGGACATTGGTAATGAGTATTTCTATCTTTATCGATGGTATGTAGGCTGGTCACACAAGTATCCTAATCGACGGTGAAGTAATTCCAACATCGAAAAGATATCATCACGAAAGGTATGATTTTTTTGTTGTAACGTGCATTTTGTTATGATCAGTGTTGTCGAACGTTACCAACGGTTATTAAACTGATCACGAGTATACTTATGACCGGCGGAGTATTTTCATTGAAGATATTGATAACTCACGAACTTTTGTGACCACATTTTTGTTGCCGATTTTGAACTTTATCAGCGAAGCGGAGGGGTCGTCACAAATGATTATGATGCCGATTCCGGGGAACCGTGAATTAATACCGACGGCTGTTTCAATACGCTCCCTTCAGAAACATCCGATAAAATTGGAACGATACAGAGAAAGACCAAATGGTTGTTTCAATACAACATCTAAGAGTGCTCACAATCTATGTCAACATTAGTGACCACAACAATGTCGTCACTAAAACATTAATTTTTTTCTTACAGGAATTTGTTAATCTTCACTAATAAGTTTTGATCGGCAATTAAACTGAGGTTGATTGATATAGCTTGATTACAAGCATTTCAAGGCAGACATATTCCATGAAAGCTTTTCAAGCGTATACAAAGAGCCTAAATTGCACGTCATGAATGGTTTGACTTGTGTGTGTGTGTGCAAGGCAAGGCAAGTTCGGGAAACTGAACTGAGGTCTTTGCCTAAATGCAAGAACAGGGTAAATCCCAATGGAATCATCTGTTGATGTCTTCATTCCAATTTACAACTTGAAGATCGATCAGTAACAACAGAAAAACTCAGAGAATCCATGACCATATATATGTTCCTCAAGGCAGAGACAAGCTGTTGTACAACAAGAAGAGAGTTAACAATCAACGGTTATTGGAGGAGTTGACTACATCTGATTTGGAGCTTGAAGAAGTTGATCCATGATCTTCATTGTTATTCTGGCCCTTGCTGGAAGAGAGCTTGCTCTGGAGCTCGTTAAGCAGGGCCTGGTTCTCCTGATTCAGCTGCTGAGCTTTCCTCCTTAGCTTCTCGTTCTGCTGCAGTATGTAGCAGTTCTCCAGGTACAGCTGCGAGTTTATCTTCTCCATGCTCCACCACCTGTGATTAACAACAGCATATGATCTTTCATTACCTGATTGAGCCTACAACGTCGCCGCGGTCATAGACGATTGATTACACACACGAGTCCTTACCTTGAGTAGCAAGCATATGTGATGTGGTGGAGATGGGTAGAATGGATCCAGGACTGAGGACATGATTATGATTATATAGAGAGTGACAGACAGACAGACAGACAGCAAAAGGCGAGGAGGGGGATAGATATGATGGAAATGTGGGAAAGGCGGAGGCTTTTTTGAGTGCAGAAATTGCATGAAAGGGAGGAAACAATACATGTGGCTTTCCTTTAACTGCCGCGCTGAAGGAGCAGGTATACATGCTACCAAAACAACAGACGCAACACAACTCTGCCTTTGCGGGCTGGGCCGCGTTCCTTCCTGGGTTTGCCCAGCGGTGCACGTCAAGGAAGAACTTCTACTATCTAAACTTGCTTTACTGCGTTTTTTGGCCCCCCTTTTCCTCACCCAAATCGTGTGTTCCTCCTTTCTCTTTTTGTCTTCCTTCTTCCTCGTTTCTTCCTGTGTGTTCCGAGAGGCGCAAATGGGCTTTTATTGGGGCCCATTGGGTTTCTACAATGTTTGACATGGATCTAACCATGGTTTATGTATGGTACTGTACTACTGTTGGTATGGGTTGTTGAATCACAAAAACTGCTTATTGCAAATCACGACCATGGTCCATAAAATAATACCAGATATCATACCGGAAAAGTAAAGTTAGCGCTAGAATATTTTGTATAGTTCATCCCTTAATACCATCAAATACAACCTACCAATTTAACTTCCAATACTAATATTTTGTAGTTGAACCACAACTAATTTGCCTCGCACGATCTCTAATTCGATTCCAATTTCACAAATATCAAAATATTCCCGCCATCCTATTTTTGGAGTGCATTAGGCATTTGCTAGTTGCCACATGAAAAAGAACAACAGAAACCAGGGGGGAAAGATGGTAAACCAATCAAACTCCATTCGAAGAGGGCAGGAGGCAAATATAACATGTTGAAGGCAGCATTTTTCGGCCACCTGGTTCTCAAGGAAAATAAAGCAGCAGGTACAGTTAAAGCAGAGATACATTCATATGATAACAGTTTTAAGCGATTCAATACTGCTGGACTTGCACAACCTTGGAAGCGCATTGCAAGCAAGCGGGAGAGTGGAGACCATCATTCTCAGGGGAGGAGAATGGAGATCCACCACCAAGGCAGACAGCCCAGTATTTCAGATGGGAGGAGAAAGCAAACAAGGTGGAGTCCTTTTCGCTTTCCAACTGTAGTGCCTCTGTTAGCAAAGAGAAGGTATGAGGAAGCAGCAGCACCACATATTCATCCAATACCAGAACTAAGACCAAACCGGTAAAAGGGGGTTCAATGTAAAGGGAAAAGGGACCAGATAAGGCAAAGTAGAAGATTCTACCTGCACCCAAACAACTGAACAAGCAGACGTTTTCATCTCCGAGAACTGTTCGTCATCATCATCCGTAGAGCGCAGAGAGCCTAATATTAGGCCACCTACCACTCACAAGGAGCCTTCATTGCTTTCAAGAAGAAGCTCCCGCACGAACCCGAGGCTGGCTGACAGGACCAATATTGGATGTTCATAACAAGATACGTCCAGTCCTGATCAGGCCTCGGGTTTTTGCCTGCACCCCCGCCACTTGGCACACCAAATGTGGCTGTCTGATCAAGCCCATTACAATTTCAAGCTCAAGCACCAAGTGGCAGGGGGCAGGCATGGCCCAAGCCCCTCACCGGGGCCGGGCTAAACCAAAACTGGCATCAGATTGCTGTTGATGAAACTGCACAATGACAACATGCTGATGCGATGAATAGGTAGTAGAACAGACAACTCAAGATGAGAATCAATTCAGTCAACTGCATGTTACTCATTAGGGATAACATGTCCAAATCAAGACCGCCAACAGTAGCTACAGTAAGGAGAAGATCGAATTCCAATACCTGTGCGAAGGGTTGAACATGGTCATGATGGCCGATGAAAGGCATTCCTGGGCGCTGACAAGGATATTGAGAAGAATGCAGATATAGAGCGCCATTGGACTGTATACCAACATGATGCGGACTATAAGGTGGCATCATTGTGTCTGGATGACCATACCCTAATCCAGCAGGGGCAGATGGGGCAGCCCATTGCCCAGCTATATGTTGTGGGAGAGGATGTGGCTGGTGCTCTATGGGCATCTGGGGTCTATGACCAGATCCAAGTTGCGGAAATTCAGTGTTGTAGTTCAATGCAGGGGCGTACATAGGTTGGATGGTGTAAGGCCCTCCGCTGTAGCCGAATCCGGTATCAAATCTCTGTGTGTACCTGACAAACAGTTTTAACCGTCAATCTCTTTCTAATCACTAAATAAACACTAGAACGAAACCAAGCCTTACACATATTCAGAGGGCCTCTACGTACGAATTGTATAGATAGTTCTATACCGACCAACTAAATATTGCCCTTGCAATTGTACATCTATCCTCTATTCATTCATCGGAAAATGTGATGTTTCGCTCGCTAATGGCAAAATGCAAATCATCCATGGAATGAGAAATCTGCACTCTTAATGATGTAAAACATTAAAAGAAGAACAGAACTTCTAACTGATGAACAAGCAAATGAGATTCTAGTACTATGGCTGCATAGGATGATGCAAAAAAAGCCGCACAGTAGAAAACAGATTTTAGCCACGTCAGTCAGCAATTCACTTGTCCTAGTACATCTAAACAATGACATAGACCATACCCCTCAGACAGATTGAGCTAAGACATCTGCCAAATTCCAAAACATTCATGCTTCTGAAAGGGAGAGGGGGAGTTGCAGAATAACCTAACCTGTCATAGCTCCTGTCATAATCAGGATCCTTCCTTTCAATATCACGATCCCGAAATATGGCCACCCTATTATTTGGCCTAGGCCTACCAATTGGCTCCTTTTCTATCCTCGGTCTAGACAATCTACTGTTGCTTGTAGAAGGTTCAATTACACCTCTTCCATAATTACTATCAGAAATCCCTGAAGCCAATCTATCATGGGCCTTCTCTGAACCAAAAGAACCCTGGTGCAGGTTATCTTGTGACCTTTGTTCAGTTTCTGCCTTTATAGTAGAACTACCACTATGATTGGGGGAACTGAATATCCGAGCTCGTGCCTTGTTGTATTCCTCTTTCCTTTCTTCCATGCTCTTGGAACTATTCGATTTTAATGAATTTGAGTTCGGATTGTTGCCATTGTGAGAGTGTTTCTGTGGCCTCTGCTTAATTGCAACCTTCACAGGAGTACAATCTTCAGATGGCAAATTCACAGGGATATCAGCTAAGCGAATCAAAGGAAGCCTCCATCCAGCAGCCTTATGTACGATAATTCTTGAACCAGAACCATCAGGCAAACTGTTGTCCAGCAAAACCATTGATTGAAGTGAATAATGCTGTGCCACCCGGTGTGCAGCCAACCTCAAGTATGAGGTGGGCAGCTGCTGAAATTCCAATTGCTTCTGCGATGGATCGCGTATAAACTTCTCAATGTCTTGCTCCATTCTCAGAACTGATAAAAAAACCATTAATACATTGAGTTTTCCATAGTGAATAGAAAATATTACACCAACTACATATTGTACAGAAAAGTGAGCAGACTTGTACAAGCAACAAATCTATCTGAAATCTAGTACAGGACATCAGGGTGGAGTCAACAGAAGGAAAGAATTTAGCAGCTATATCTGAGTCCAGATGAAGAATTCCTCATAAGTCCTAGCATGAAATTCTACTTATCAAATCAACACAAACCTAGAGCCTTCATGTATAATTAAAATCTAGGAGTCTCCAACTGCTTTCTATGGAAATCGAGGGAGGCACAAAAGCTAACGTGGGAGTTCAATTCATTACAAGAACAACTATCATCCATCCAACTCGTACTAAAGAACTCGATTAGGAAAACCCTAATCCCAGAAAGAAGACATTGACGCAGGACAGGTCAAGCATGGGAATTTGCCGGCCTAATTAAATGAAAAACTAAATTGCAGCCCAACCCACAGTGCGGGGAATTGATTCTAGGAAAGGCGCTGGCAAAAGTACACAACCCCAAAACTGAACTAGCAAACATTACATGAGAATTATGACGGATTTACATACCAGAGAGACGCTCGCGAGGGTTCTGCAAGGCATCCCTCAGGAACTGATCGACCTGGCTGATAGCATCTTCCGATACTTTGCTTCCGCCCAAATCGGTAGAGCCGGAAGCAACGCCACCTGGACCCAGAGCGAAATCATCAGGGAGCTCCTGCTGAGCCGGTCGCTGCTTCGAGTCCCTGAGCATCAAACGGCTCATCGTCTCGTCCAAATCGGCCACCTCCCATGATTCCGGGGCTCCGAGATCATCTGCCACAGAGCCCTCCATGAATTTCCCGACGGTAAGACGGCAGTGAACAGAGAGGGGGACTTCGGGAAATTGCGCGTTACGAAACGATGAAAGGATGGAGGAAGAATCCGGAAGACAAATCAACGGTCGCTAGGGTTCGCGAGACTCTAGCAATTTGACGATGGCCATCGTCATATGAGTCGGATGGTAGAAGATTGCGATTTGCCTGAGGAATCCACGGCGTATATCACACGGAAGAGATGATTCGTAGGGTTTTTCTTCTTTCCGGGGAGGATAATTCGCAGGGTTAGGGTTTCGAGTTAAGGTGCGAGCTATGTCGATTGAGAGCAGGGGGAGAAGGATAGAGGTATAGACGCGAGGGCCGAGGTGGGTGCGCGTGGCTTGTCGTATATGCGCGTGTCGCGTGAGCCGAGAGAGCCGATCGCAAAACAAACAAAAAAACTTCCACTTATTAGTTGGATTTGGAAAAGAGATAATACGGCGAAAAATTAAAATGACAACTATTTCTAAATTTTTGTCAAATTCGTCTTAATAATTGGAAAGTTCATAATAATTGTCAGTTTTTTATAATTTGGGTCATAGTTATCCAAACGTTGAAGTTCATATCATAATAGGTCCTTTTGAAAAATGAAGAAGCATACCTATCTAAAAAAAATGAAGAAGCATATGAAGTTCATATCATAAGAGGTCTTTTGAAAAAATGAAGAAGCATATCAAATTCTTGGATATAAGAAAATATTATAAGTTTTGCTCGATTTACCTACTTGATCATATTATCATTGTATTTTACTGTACTAGTTTTTATATTACTTGATTGATGATGAATTTAGGTCATTATAAATTTGAAACTTAATAGTTGGGTTAAGTATCGATATTCTTCGCCTGTGACTCAAGGTTCGGTGCTGATAGGGTTGCCATGTGTGTGCCACACAACCTCTTCATTTTCTATCATTTGAAAAAATATTTGGAAAGTAAGACATATTCAAAACCAAGTGAAGATTCTACCCAAAAAAAATCAAGCCACTAAAATTGAATTTGAAGCTCGATCGAAATCGTGGTCTCAATATCCTAAGTCTGTCTTTCAACTCCTATTCACACATGAACACCCTCGCTGGAGGCCAAGATTTTAAATATCTTGAGTTTTTTAGTTGGTAAGTTGAAAAACTCGTTTGACACAGTCGATGAACTTGATAGAAAGCTCATTTAACGGTATGAGACGCACATGAGTTGGAGATGGTTCAAATGACTTTATTGTGTGTATTTATACTCCATACACTCATATAAAGGAGACTAAAGTTATCTTTTGGTACTTTGAGCAAGCTTGTATGATCTTATGAGGAGCTCAATGAAATTTTCTACAACTAGGAAGGTACAAAAGTCATTTTTTGAATAGCTAAACTGCAGTTTACTGTAACTAGTTGTAATTCATTCCAGTCAACTGAAAGTTTAGAGTTGGATAACAAAATAATTTAGTTCAATAACAACGAGTAATATTTTAAAAGGAGGAAAAAGTTAACAATATAATCTGTGTTAGATAGTTTCATTTGGTGCTTTAATTTAGCTTGATTTTTATATTTGACCCCAAATTTGTATGGACAATCTAATCATAACATACTTATCGACCATAATAAATAGTATAGATTGTTACCAAATAGATAGATATGTAATACATAAATATTATGACAAGTTTGTGTTCGTAATTTAACGTGGTCAAAGTAGAAACCAAAAAACAATTGATTGATCTATATATTGATCAACTTATTATTTTATTGTATTTTTAGTTTTTTACAACAGTATTACAAGGATTTATTTTTTTTGGAAAATTAAAATTAGCTACAAAATAGTGGGTGAAAAATCAAAATTATTCATCTCCCATCATCAATCGACAATCAGTCTTCCTCTTCATTCATTCATTATCATCTTCTTCAATCATCCGTCAAGACTCCAGTCACTTGAGGCTTAAGTTAACCCATCCCTCCAGTTGCGGCCTTGTCCGATTATTTTCCAAAGCTCCCACTCCAAAGCTCACCAGACACCAAAAAACGAAGCTTCACAGGTTCAATCTCTCTCCTTCCTTCATTTTGATTCCGCGCGAGTCCAATTTTTCGGTGCGATCCACTTGTTTCAACTTCCTCACTTGCGAGAATTTTAGCGGATACCCTCCGACGCTGGTTTCGTCCTCATCTATCGCTATTCGACGCTTCTTTTTGTGGGTCTTTGCTACATACCAAAGCCCCTCCTCCCGATTTCTTTTCAAGGTTTTGGTGTGCCTTTTCCCGGCTTAATTTCATCGGCGTCCTAGCTTGTGAGATCTGCGCCCGGTTTAGATCGGCTAACAAACTTACCTGGAACCTTACCTTGTTTTGTCCGTACATTTTGATTCTGCTAGAATTGATTAGCTTCGAAAGTATCGTCACTCAGAAGCATGCTCCTGTGTGTTTTACTGCCTGAATTTGGATGCTCACTGATATCGATTGGACTGATGGTCTCTGTTCTCACTGGTGAGCTTGTTTGGATTGCGGGGTTTGGCAGAAGTCCCTGAATTGAATTGGGTTCTTGCTAATTTTGTTAATTCTTTAGTTTTTGTTCAGGGCTCAATTTTCACTTCGTGAAGTTGGGTTCTTTTTGTTGGTTTGGCAGGGGATTGATGCTTCTTGAAGGAAGGATTTGAAAATGAGTGGTAGGGGTTTGATCTATAGCTTTGTGGCCAGGGGAACTGTTGTGTTGGCGGAGCACACATCTTACTCCGGGAACTTTAGCACCATAGCTGTTCAGTGCTTACAGAAACTTCCTCCAAATAGCAGCAAGTACACTTATTCATGTGACGGCCACACTTTTAATTTCCTCAAGGACGATGCATTTGGTATTTTCAAATTCTCGGTCAGTGTGAGTTTTGTTTCTTTCAAGAAAGTGAGAATTGCTGCTAAAGAATTTTCTTTTGGGCAATGCAGTGTTTCTGGTGGTTGCAGATGAGACGGTGGGCAGGGCAGTGCCCTTTGTGTTTTTGGACCGTGTGAAGGACGATTTCAAGCAGCGCTATGCAGGAAATATAAAAAATGAGGAACACCCTCTCGTTGATGATGACGACGACGACTTGTTCGAAGATCGATTTAGCATTGCTTACAATCTTGATAGAGACTTTGGGTGCGAATCCTTCTGTTTTTATCTGCATTTTCTCACTTATGCTCCAGTTCTTATGACCTTTTCTTTTTTGCTTCATCTATTAGGCCAAGGCTTAAAGAGCACATGCAGTACTGCATAGAACATCCTGAAGAGATCAGTAAGCTGTCCAAATTGAAAGCTCAAATCACTGAGGTCAAGGGAATTATGATGGACAACATTGAGAAGGTAACTATCTAGCTCGTTTGTGGGTAGTGACCTTGAATCATTCATGTTTGAATTACTTGCTTCAGATTATTTTTTTTATAGTTCACTAATGTTCTTTTGACGGAACTGGTATGTGTGTGTATATGCCATTTTTTTTTGTGTCAGATGAGATGCCTGTATGCAGACAAGGTGTAAGGTTATGGATTGATCATACCTTCTTGGAATAGTATCTGCAATTCAATTGGTTTCCTCTTCCAGAATTTAAACCTTATGTTGCCTGAAGTGGCACTGGTTTGCTGTAGTTACATTACAACTGATAATTAGGTGAAGACTATAGCATGCTGTTGCTGCATATATGCCCTGAAACCCACAAAAAAATGAAACTTGCAAACCATTGACCAAGATTCAAGTTGTTATCGGAAATGAGAGTGTTATGAATTTAGCTAGTAGTTATGCTTAGCAATCCAAGTGTCATAATTCTCGTGAACGTCTACTGGTCCATGATTGGCAAGGATTAAAAAGAGCTTTGACGTTCTTGATCAACTGCCATGCGGTGTGAAGAAGGAATAAGCAATGCTGAAATAGGTGAGAGAATCGAAGGAGAAGGCCTAGAAGAAAATTAGATGCCAAACTGTGTTCAATGTAAATCATATATGTAGTATCTATCCTGTGTCCATGTAGTTAGATTGTCCTTCAAGGCTGCAGACAGCTCCATTTTGACCTTGTGCAGCCGAAGAAATGTGCAGTATTCTGTGACTGAACGAAAACATGTAGCTAAGAATTTGACATGCTGACTTGGCAGGTGTTGGATCGTGGAGAGAGGATCGAGCTCCTGGTTGATAAAACAGAGAATCTGCAGTTTCAGGTACGCTGTGTTATGTGCGAAGAAGAAATAGTTTTGAGATACAAGAAATGCTAAGAATTGTTCTATATATAGGCGGACAGCTTCCAAAGACAAGGAAGGCAGTTGCGGCGGAAGATGTGGTTGCAGAATCTCCAAATGAAGTTGATGATCTTGGGTGGAATACTCATCCTAGTTGTAATACTGTGGCTCCTCGCTTGCCGTGGTTTCAAATGTTAGTTGTTACCCAGCGAAACTGTAGATGTACTCACTCTCACTGTAATCTTTCTCTGATACTTCATTGTTACTCTGTTTCTTTTCTTTGTACCTTCAGTTTTTCCCCTGTCTGTAAAAAGTTAAAACATAACTGGTTCGAGGACCGGGCCAGCTATGGATATCAGGATTGCGTCTTATTGCTAGTTCAGATGTTTCGATTCCAACTCTCTACTTACTAATACCTTAAGGGTGTTAACGGGTCGATTAGTGGTTAACCATCAATTGATTAACTGGTTAGTGGTTAAGTGCCAACCCCTCTATTACCTATGTTTGGTTCGATTTTTAGAAGTGTTTTTCAGCTTCAAAAGTTGAAGCAGAGCCAAACATCTATAGAAGCCTTGCTTTTGAAAAGCTGAAAAACGTTTTTGTATAACATAAAAGTAGAAGCTCCGATTTGAAACTACTGCGTAAAGCTGTTTTCAGAAAATATAATTTTCTTTTATTTATACCATTTTAAAAATAAAATAATATTATTTAATATAAAAGAAATCTAACAAGATCCATTTTGACTATTTTTTATTGTTTATAAATTTTATTCATATTTTATATTATAAGTCTTTTATAATCGTTTTACACAACCTCTCATATTAAAAAACACTTCTAATATTTTTTCAGCCAAACATTCAACTTTTTAAGTACTTATCTAAAAGTTCCAGCCATTGTTGTCATTAACTAACCAGCAAACTAATAGAGAGAAGAAACAGGTCGATTTGGTCAATTGATCAAATTGCTTTTTTAATTAATCTTAATAATTGAAAAGAATTGTGTAAACTAAAGAATTAACTGAAACAAGACTCACTTCAAAATCCTTAAGCCTACCTGACTAATGATGCAAAACAATCGCATGCATCGAACAACTTTCTACTTTGGAACTTGACAAGGTAATCGAAACACTTCGATCTCCATAATCGTATATGTATAAACTGCTATCGAATGGGGTCACCATGTAAATGGTGTTCCTCTTGAATCCCGATTTGCTAGCGCAACATCCGAACCCACCCGAACCGAAGAAATTCATATCCGACCAGCTGAGAAAGAAGGTCCTGTCTCCGAGGTCCTCGACCTCTTCGAATCTCATTGTCTTGAAATCCATCCTGAGCACTTTTACGTCCACTGCAACATTCGAAACACCGTTCGTCCATGGATTTCCAGCAAAAGACTGATAGAAAAGCAAAAGCTCGCCGCTCGAATCGACAAGATAACGCCTGATGTCGACACATCCTCTGAGATGAGATACCGGAACCACAACCTTGTCAACTAATTTCACGTTGTACCTTGGTTGTATCTTTATCTCGAAGAACTGGAATGTCTCTGCTGGAAGTGACCCTATAGCATAGACCTTACCTTGGTGGGCAACAACTCCATCTACACTAACTCCTCCTTCAATTGTTGTCCACTCTTTATCACCAACTCCACAGAACATTGCCACAGCATTACCATCAGCCATCTTTTTACTTTGGTCTATGCCAAACACCATGACCATAAATTTGGAACTCTCATCAGGTAAATAGAGCAAACAACACCGGTAGTAGAACTGTTTAGGCTTCTCCAAAAGTGGTGGCAGTGCATCCAAAGCCATAGATTTGGTGTCCAGTAAAACACAGTCACATGCCTCCTCGAGATTCATCAGCAACACCCGCCCGCCAACGTGACCATATACCTTCTTCCCTATCAATCTCTCTTCCAAATCACCGATGGGTCTTGAATAATGCAGGTTGCTGGCCATGTCCACAAATGTGACTGCTTCTTCTCCTCTATCGCCATGGGACATAATAATCCATGGCCTTCCACTTCCACTTCCACCTGCTGCTGCTTCTTGCTCCAGGACGCCTTCTTCATCTGTCACTTCTTCGGTTCTGCTACTTTCATCAGGGTTCGACAACGACCAGTCAAGTTGTTCGTCAGAAAAGTGTTCGAAACTCGGTATCCAAGTACAGTTGAGTGGAATGTTGGTCCCCAGCAGGTCTTCTGATGCTGCATATCCGCCTCCCAGCGAGTGGAACTTCCTCGTCGAAAGCGAGTAGAACACGTTGCGCCTTCCACGAAACCTCGCGAAGTGAATGGTGTTCTCGAACCCTTCGACTCCTAGCTCGTGGCACGACATGGTTAGACAAGACGCGGGGCTCAAGAAAACCACTTGATCTTCCAGGCTAGGCATCCGTTCCCACGCTTTACGAATGTCATTCAACTTTAGTACTGCCACGGATTTCCCCCATGGTCCGATCACGATCGAGATCAACTCTCCTCTATGCGATCTCACTAGATAACCTTCGTTGGATTCGTTGCTCATAAATGCAGGATGCTTCGCATTGAGCAGTCTCCACTTGTAATTTCCCTTCTCGCCACGATCAGGTTTGAAAACCCCCAATCTTCCGTGTTGGTCAAGGCAGTAGAAAGCTCCATTGTGGAAGACAGGGGCGGAACCAGATTTAGACCAGTTGAAAATCCCCTTGCAAGGAATCGAGCTGAACCCAATTCGATTCCTTCTGATTCTGATCCCTTTCCAGCAGCAATTTCTGGAAACGCGGGCCACAAGATGCTCAGTCTCGTCCTGCCTGGAAACTTTTCGCAACTTTCTAACCCCATGGAGGTAATTCAGTCTTGTTCTGTTTGGAAGCTTTTCCCACGCCAGAGAAGTACTGTCTCCTCGTCGAAGGATGGCGATGTGGGCGTTGAAAATCTCCTCCTGTACGAATGTATCTACAAGACCGAAAACCACACAGTCTGGAGAAGTAGGAGGAGCAGAGAAGCTCATCCGATTGTAACAGGATTCTATGTCGGGCAAGTCGATGGTGTTTCCGGTGGAGGGATGGAAGAAGTAGACGCGATAGCTTCTGGACAAGAGCAACCAGCCGTAGTTGGCACAGTGAATTTGGACGCCGTCGAGCTCCGGCGGAGCATCCACGAAGTACCAATCGTTGGAGGGGGAAGTGTGGAGTTGATAGATGGAGGATGACTCGTCTTGGCTCTTGCAGAATCGCAGTAGGAAGGGGTATTTCGAAGCAGCCATACGCTGCTTTGTAATTTTGGGGAATCCGGCAGCCACCCCCGCCGTCGCCGTCGCCATCTTATGCAGTTTGTTTGCTCCCAGCAAAACTGTACTCAGATAAGTGGGTCGCCGTCGATTGGAGTGAAGGTTATATACATCAAAAGAAAGATGTGTCCTTTTCTTTTCTGTAATGGGAATCCTTATTCACAAAGGACTAGAATCATTTAGCTCCCTCTGTTTTCTTGTCACTCTTACTAGGGAGAAACAGAGGTAGGTTATTATGCCATTTCTCGGGTCAGAGGCGCTGCGACCGGCGATCCCTTTCTCCTCCGATAACATTCTCACCGGTTTTTGCTGCTCAAGAAAGCCACTAATTTATCAATTGTATGAGTTGTACTGTTCAAATAAAACCAGTTACCGCCGTGATCCATAGATTTGGTTGGTGCGTTAAAATAATCTCATTCTGTGGTGATCGAGAAACAACATCATTTGACATATATCGAACTTAGAGGAATCGGGCAACAAGTACACGCTTAGTTCATAACAAGGTAACCGGGTTGATATTTCTCAGATACATCGGTAAGTTCGAAGAACTCAAGGCTGACCGGAACTGCCGGTGTTGCAAACCAACTACAACATTAGAATAGAAGGTCCACAGGACGAAAACAAAGCACTACATACACAAAAAGATCACAACCCTAGACCGGAGATTGGCACGCTCCGGCTCTTATTCTCCATTCAACTTATTTCTGCATCGGCAGCATAGCTCTGACATTCATCAACTCCGGTTGACAGTTTCAGATTTCATTTCTGCAACAAACAAAAAATATTGTAGCGAGGGAGTAGTTAGTACCTGAAAACCTTCCAAGCTTTGAGGAGCTCTTGGAAAATTTCTGAAAAAGATGGATGCAGAACATCCCCACTACACAGTCTATACTTCCTTTATTAGGATGATGTCTCACAACTTGAAGCATGGCAAATGGCCATGGAGAACCTAACCCCTTCCTGCTCCCACATTATCTAAATATCAACCACGTCTGTACTTGCTCATATATTTGACGAAGTAACTCGCTGTCATGTTGGTAATAGGGAAAATGTTCTTATTTGCATTTCAGTCAACGGAATCAGTTTCACTGTTCAGTTTATCCACAAACAGTCTCCCTGCTAGAGAGACAATATAGTAGCAGCACTTCCAAAGTGAAAAGGATGTACTACTGATGTAAGTGCTCCAACGTTTGTCTACCAAAATTAAGCATCAGTCTATCATATGCTTTCGCTATATATATACAAAGTATATGAAACGACAAGTTCAGTCAGACAATCAGAAAAGATTGTTCACGCTGAGTTATTCGAGCACCATATAGTTGGCACTCCAAGATTCAAGTAAAAGATTCTTATCACATACTTGCTCACTTGTGAAGATGGAATCTAGAGACAAGCTTGCAAACTACCATAGCATTTCCCTTTCAAGCTCAGGGATATGAGAAATCTCTCTCTATAAAGTCTTAATTTCAAAACTAATAATATGCAACCTATTATGGTAGAAGGAAACTTTGGAACCAGACACGAACCAGCTTTACAATGGCACTGTGTTGTTCAAACTACAACCAAAGAATTGCAATGATTTTGAAGGAAAATAATGACTATCTTAATCTTCTGAGTAAAATTAAGAGTCGTGATTGAAGTAGGAACCCAATCATAGATGGTAGCAAATACTGATAAGACATGAACATCGAGAAAGTACTGAAAAATAACACACACGCACACAGCAGAGCAGACAGACAAACAAAATAAGCAACAGCCATAATCATTTCACCAAGAGATAATTTGTATTCTCAGAAATCACACACCTTTTCAGTGTTCTGTTTCTCCTTCTCGGCCTTTTCTTTCTCAGCTTTCCGCTTCTGCTTCTCCAATTTTTCCCTCTCCATTTTCTGCAACGTTTTGTTCAAATTGCTCAAACAACTTTCAAATAGAGAGAAAGAAGTCAAGTCGACAAACAACCGTGGTACTGCTGAAATCCAAACGAACCTACCCAAAAAAAAAAAAAACAGAATGATTACTACTTAGCCGATGCCGATTCGCGAATGTCAAATGACAAGAGAAATGCCCAAGTTATCGAACCTCAACTTCGGGATGATCTCGTCACTATTCTAGCTCTAGCAGATTCAGGAAATTCAATGACGACGAACAATAGGCAGATACACATGAAATGATCGCGCTGCGCGTTATTTCATCAAGTCTTTGTATTTCGAGTACTACAAGATATAATTCTTCAGTCGAACAACAAAGAAAAGTATCGGATCACCGGCAAACATTTCGGTTTTTCCTCGTCTCCGTCACACCAATTTTCGCTACGGCTGAATAATCAAAGTAAAGCAGAGGCAAGGAATACAAATCCAATAAACTACCTGGACGTAGACGGTCTCTTTGGCGCGCTCCTCTTCGCTGAGGACTCGGCCGCCCTTGCCGACGTCGCCATTGCTGAAGTAGCGAGCCGCGGCGCGAGTTGAATCCATGGAACGAGCTAAACCGATGCGGAGGGAGCGAGTGACGCCGAGTCGAGCGAGCGGTGATCCGGTTGCCATTCGAATTGAACGGGTAGAGGACCTCTGACCTTTTCTCTTAAGTTGACGAGAAGGGAGGAAAACGAAAGATGGATCTTCGTCCTTCGAGACCCTGAAGGCAATAGGCGACAAGTGAAGATGGAGTAAGAGAGCGACAATTTGGAAACTGAAAGAAGACAGATTCGAGCAGCGGCGTCGTCTTATCCGTTCGGATAATTTTAACACATTTAGTCACTGAAGTATTAATTTGTATTGTATCTACACCACACTACACCATTTTCACTTACGGTGTAAATTATGAGTACCAAATGAACCAAACATGTTTGTAACTGTTAAATATTCGATTAACAAGAATTTGACACTTGATTCGGAGCTAAATAAGTAAGTTCGTAAACAAATTTGTCTACTAGTGAGTCAGTTTATAAGAAAACTTAGCTAAGTGTTGTTTAATCACTCAAAGATTGAAATCTTTAATAACTTAGCTTGTTCTGCTCATATGTAAAATCGAACTTAAAACTCATCTACTGAGTAGGGTTTGGGCTGAAATGGAGCTACGATTTTCACAAACAAGTCAGAGTATTTGGGCTTAATTACATTTTGGTCAGTGTAGAGAAAGCTCAAGTCATAAGCAGTACTATTTTAATAAAATTTTGAGGATGCTTTTCTTAATTATCAAGTTAATATGGATACCTAGAGGTTCCACTCACTAAAGTATATTACAGAAAATGAATGGATGATGATGATGGGACTTGAGTGCGGGAGTGTAATTCAAACATACTAAACCATTTTAAATATGTTTCTCGACCACTAAGCAACCCACTATTAGATCTTTCATAATTGCTGGGTAGCAGAAATTAGCAGAGTTAAAAGAGAGATAGAGACAAACAGGGAATTCCTAATAAGATGAGATCAGTGCTCCTCGCCATATCTTTGACCTCCATGTTTCTGCTTCCATCCTCTTCTTCCTCTCCAACGCACTGGTCATCAGGTAACGGCTCCTTCCCCCCCTCAATTTCCCCACTGAACATAAACTTGTAGTAGGGCTTCTGTAGGAGCAGTTGGCAGAACTCGGGAGCTCTTGCTATATGTTCTTGGTTCCTCCCCCAAAGCCTACGTAGGCAGTTTCTGGTTCATTTATGTCTGGTTGAGTGAACTGCATGCCGCAGTGAAGACTGAAGACTTCAGAGCATGCATAAGCAAAGCTAGTGAAGAGTTCAGAGCATGCATCAGTAATTCTAGTTTTTTCACTTCCAGAGAAAAATAGGTGGAGTGGAATCTGATACGCCACTCCCTTTGGACCCTGGTCCGAGAAAAGATTCTTGCTTTAAGCTAACTTACCTGTTTTTCGGATTATGGTTTCCTTCCTTGGTCGCTATCCTCGTAGGTAGTGGAAGAAACCGAGGGATTAGAATAATCCAGGACTGATAACCTCTATCACAAGTCTCCATGTTGGCAGCTATCCTGTTAACCATTGCAACATGGTGATTAAATTGCAAGGAAAACAGTGCCCTCTTCCATACTGCAGATATAACATGACTGACTACTTAATATTATGATGACAGATCCGTTGTTGGATCACAGTGGGTTCAACAGCTTGAAAGCAGCAGCAGATGTTGAGAAACTTGGGAGGGGCCATGGTGGAACAGCCGGAAGTGGAGGGTCAGGTGGTATACCAGACAACAGCGGCGGTGGTGGAAACGTGCCTGCGGGAGGAGCAGTGGTGCCTGTAATCATAGCTGGTGCAGCAAACAACAATCACCATCAGAACACGCGCCGAGGAGCTTCCACTCGCAACATCATCAACATCTACTGGAGAGGAATTATCACCTTTGTTACTACAGTCACCTTGGTCTCTCTGCGGCAGCTGTACATGTTCACTTAGACAGTGTATGTGGAAACAAATTTCTCAGTGTCTTTGTGTGAGCTCTGGAAGTGCTTGGAGAAGAAGAGCTTGCTGATTGTGTTGTTGGTTGACTTTGTCCTGGCTTTCCCCATATGCTGCTCCATCTTGGAGCACCATCTGTCTGTAACATCGAAGTTCCTGTTGTTGTACATATAAGGATCACAAATTCTCTCCTTGTTTTGTTGTAATTCGACTGGTAATTATGTAGAGAAAAGGGCTCGAATTCTAAAGCATTCTGTGTTCATTTCCAAAGCATGAGGCTGCCAGAGAAAAATAAAAAAACACACAAGATTTTGACTTGTATTTAGCCACCAAGATTGTCTAATCTAATTGGGAAGTTCATCAATATTATTTACAATGACAAAGGGTTCGGAATGTAGAATTGTAGTATTATAACTCAAGATAGTAAAGTAAAGAAACTAACGTTAGAAATCAGCAAGTTGTTCAAGTTGCCTAGTCTCGAAAAATTTGCAACTCCCTTTACCACTTGATTCAACTTCTTTCTTCCTTCTTCTTTTTGGAGGTTGTCACTCCAAAATTGCTCAACTTCAATTGTCGTTTGCCGTTGCTGCTGCCAATATCATCTTCATCCCTGTCAGCCTCCCTGTTTTCATGATTATTAGAACAATAAGAATCACAATTCCAGTGATGAAGTGTAAGACGAGAAGTAACTATACGTATCAGTCTGTTATTCTACTCTGAACTACAATTTCAAGGGCAGGTAACCCTTGAAAATATCCCCAACGCACAAACTTGAGTTTCCCATGTCTGTAACGTCACGTCAATTAGCATGAAACTCCAAAGGTAACTTGCATACTGTACTTAGAAAAGAAGCACCAAAACTTCGACTTCCATTTCCAAAAATATTCTTCTTTCTGTAGAAGAAGAGGATGACCTGGACTTGCTTGAAAAACTAAGGTGTTTGTTGTTATGAGAGATGATATTCTTCCAAGTCAACTAAAGTTTGCTCAAGTATAACAGCTACTATTTATCATCAGTGAACGATGAGAAATTGCAATAGGATTTGACCATATAGGCTACCGGCTCAGCAAGCAACGACCAAAACCAAAATGCACAGAAACTGCAATAGGGTAATAGAATAAGGACTAACCGCGAGACTTCTACACCATCTTTGAAGTAGGAATTACATGTGGCCCAACTGAAACGAACTAATGTTGGGAAGCCAAACACTCTGTGTTTGTGTTGCTCCAACCATGCCTTGGTATCCGGGTCTTAACAGAAAATATCACCAATTAGCTTCAACCATCACAAGTTATAGAAAAGCAAAATAAATATCAAGGAAGATATGTGCTACTGATCTCCAGGGTACCCAGAACCGAATTTTCTGCCAATGTCTTTGTATGTTTCGTCAAGCACTCATTCTCGGACAGGTCTATCTCTAGTGACCTATTTTATTACCAAAGATATCGCAACCATATTTGACCAAGAGTTAAAAGAGGAGAGCTCAGTAGTCGTTCATAATCATACCTTGGCAACTATGCTGGCTCCACTCGCAACCGGGTAGAGACTATCAGCCTTCTTTGCCACCACGAATTTGATGGATGGAAATCTTTCAGACAGTTTCACTCTATATTTCTCTGGATCTCCAACCGTATCAACGTAGACCTAATGCACAAAAGAGCAACTTATAAGAAGAACAAATTCTAAGAAGAGGAAACACAACATACAGATACAGGTGAGCCAGTTTTACCTCTGCTAAAAGGACTCCCATGTTAAGTACTCTCTTGACAAGGCCACTTGCAGAGTCATGTGATATTTCATTCAGGTTTATGTTATGCCTGTTTCACGAAAACAGAAAACATGTCTAAAACTGTAAAATAGAAGAACAACTATCCAACAAAGAAATACTGTTGCAGAACCAACCCACTTCCTGAGCATTTTCGCGGAAAGCTCTCTTGGATCAATGACATCAACAGCCCATCCAATTGATTCGTCAGCTTTGAGACTTTCAAACAGTTCCTCCCTCTTCTCTTCCTTCAAGGTCTTTGAATCTGTAAACAGTGAACAAACCGATGAACTACTTGGAAGAGAAGTAAACTAATATCTCCCTTCATTATATCCACATCTGCAGTCGTGAAGCAAAAGAAATTTCAGGCTAACCTGCCTCCTCTCTCCCTCACTCACTCACTCACTTGGACATGGATGTCAGTTTTCAGTTAAGGTATTTAGCTGTGGTATGAATGATACACACCAGTAAACGATGTAATTGCAAGTTAATGACACAGAACAACCAGCATATCAATATATGAGCATAAAGTCCCAACCTTGAAGTCAATTCCGAGAGATAAAAATAACACATACTCATTTCGAGCTCGCAATTGAAGAGAGGCAACTCAGGAACATGCAGCATTGCAATAAAACTGGACTTTCCTAACATAAGTGAAGGAAATCTGGAATTAAGAGAAAAGGAATACGGAGGTTTACCAGCGAAATTCAAGGTGGAAAGGGTTTGTTCATAGGAGCGAGCGCAGTACAAGCATCCGTAAACCATTGGAGCAGCGAGGAGCAGCCGGAGTCAGAAGGCCAATAAGAAAAGGGGAAATGGGGAGCGTTAGAAAGCATAGAAGAAGCGGGAGAGATGGAGGAAAATGGAGTTACCGAGAACAGGGCCACGGCCAGCTTCGTCGATCCCCATAATGCAAGGCGTGGATGCCCATTGCGGAAGAGTAGCTGCTGCGTCGGATCCCATTATCTTTCTTTCTCTTTCGTTAAAACTCCGGTCGTCGACGACGACAACTTCATCCCACTTTCCGGCTTCCGCTCACACTCCCGATTCTCCCATCTGTACGGCGCCAAAAGCCCAAAACCCGCTCTTCGGCTGAACCATGGCTGAGTTGTCAAGACTCAGGCCCAAGCCTACTTTTTCGTAATAAAAAGCGGACCTAATCACTTCTCTTGAACCGGGCCGAGCTTCCGACCCATGACAAAAAGCTTCCGACCCATGACAAAAAAAGACCCGTTCAATAACTTCCATTTGGGTAAATACTAAATTGGGTAGAAAAAAAAATAATTTGTCAAGAGTGGGATTTGAACCCACGCCCTTTCGGACCAGTACCTGAAACTGGCGCCTTAGACCAACTCGGCCATCTTGACATTAATATTATCAGTTGCATGATTATCGATATACCTCCATAATTTCACATTTGTATAGTTTAACTATATTATGCTACCTGCCTCTTATTGACAGTGCAGGTTAAGTATTTTAAGTTTAATACTGGTTGATAGGAAATCATACTCGAGCCTTCCTTTGAGACAATTGGATACATTGAGGCTTCAAACTTTTATAGGAAACCATATTTTTGGTTGCACATAAAAGGTAAAGGAGAGTATATAATTAACATTTCTCCAAAAAAAAAAAAAAAAAAAAAAGAGTATCATTAACATGGATATGGAATTTTTGTAGGTTATTAATTGTCATTTCAATAATTACGATACAAATGTTATGTTTGTGTACAGCAAAATCGGAAGTAATAGAGTCAAGGTTAATACTTAACAGTTAATACGCATTAATCTACTATTGTATTTGAGCTTACATATGTCCTATGTATCCAATCGAAGAGCAACTACTCAGCTGTAAACTTGTAATCATCCACCAAGATTCATGTTAATAGCTCAAGCTCTAGTCTGGAGATTCTTTTAGTTGTAGAAAATTTTCTTTGTGGTTAAAATGTTACATGTGGGTTGATAATTCTGTAGGATACAAGAATATAAAATACCTTAAACCCAACAAAGTACGAGACCTCAAATCGATTAAATACTACACATATCACAGTCACTCTCCTTCGTACAAATACATAATCTCTAATATCTTGCGTGTGTTCGATTGCATATATCATAAACAAAATGGCAGATATCCACTTTTTTTTCCTTTGTGAAATTTCCACTTCCACCTGTTCTTCTTGTACAGAACACATTACATGCTTAAACTAGCTGCTACATATATATATATGAGCTATATACATCTAGCGATGTACATAAATCTAGTTCTGGTTGGGTTCAGCAAAAAGATCTCTGAGAACACCTTCAATCAACCCAGGAACGAAATGCAGGATATGCCCTCCGCCAGGCAGCTCATGGTACTTAATCCACGGCAGCTTCTTGGCAATGTAGCGCTGCAGCTCGATGGGCACCTTCATGTCCTCATCCCCTTGCCACAGATGAACAGCGCCTTCATTGTTCGGGAACGGATTCTCGATCTCCATCGGGTCGAATTCCCACTTCCCGAACCCGATCATCAGGTCCCTGTGCAGCGACTCGTACACTCCCTGCTGCGTCGCCACGTTCTGCACAAACCATATCATCATCAAATATTCCTCTGTTTCATCAACACTTCTCAATACAATCAGCCATTTCAATTAGTCCTTTCGTTTTACCTTGAGTTCGGGTTCGACTCGGTGCTTGGAGACGAGCTCGACATCCTGAGCAGAAAGGGTCTCGCGCTTTCTGGCAATGACGCCGGAGGTAGGGAAGAGCTTCTGGGTGTTCCACCAGTAGGTGAGCCAGGGTGCGTAGTGAGCCACCCGCAGCGCCCATTGGTCCTGCGCCAGCTGCGAATTGAACGCCTTCTTCGACAGCTCCGCCGGGAAGCTCGGCCACCAGTGGTTGATTACCGGCGCCACCAACGCCGCTCCGGCCAGCCGGTGAGGAATGTACTTGAGGCAGCCCCAAACCACCTGCCCGCCCATCGATTTCCCCATCACATAGAACTTGGGTCCGACACCCAATTGATCCGCCAGCTCTTCAATGTCCAGAGCCAAGCTCTTCGGCGTCCGGGTCGGGTCCGGGTCGCTTTCCCCGTAACCTGGCCGGTCAAAGGTCAGCACATACACTCCTAGCTCCTCTATCGCTTCCTGGGGGAACGAATCACAGAAAACAATTTAATAAATCCGTGTTGTAAAACCATATCGTATTAGCGGTCCGATCGAGAAAACCTCCTACCGAAATCGAAGTTTAGCAGTAACGAATAAATCTCAATTAAACTACGATTTTGCTAAAATACCATTCCGCTACAACCTTTAGATACGACAATCCTTCCATTAAAAAAACCCCAGCACATGGATGGGGGCGAGAACCGAGATCTATGAAGTTAATTGCAGCAATTTCGAAGTTCGTACCGGAGTTAGGTTGGAGACGATCATGGGATCGAGGCGGCTGGAGGTGAATCCATGGATGAAGACGACCTTGAACTTCGCGGTCTCTTTGGGGACTCCGTGCTCCTTGTAGGCAAGGTACCGGCCGTCGCGGAGCTTTACCCGAGGAGCCGTTACCGGCGGCCCGCCGGCCTTGCCGCAAATCTTGGGAGCAGGCGGCCGGAGGCAAGCCTGGAACATCCATGTCAGGATCCCGACCGCCACCACCGCCGAGATTTCTTGCAGCATTTTCGAGATCGATGTGTGTCACTGTCTCTATATAAATGCGAGTATGGGCTTCTGGGAAAAGAAGGGAAGAAGGGAGAAGAGCGTGAAATTGAAGTGACGCAAGACTACTCCTCTTTTCTTCTTATAGAAAATGTTCTGGAGAAGAGAAGAAGAAAACTTTCCGGGAAAATGGAAATGGTGACTTAGGAAAGAAGGTAAGCAACAATGGAGTAAAGCGAAGCAAAGCACGCAAGAAACTGTGTTGTATCACCTGCTTTAACTTTTCCCCAAGTTATTAAAGTAATAAACAGGTTGATGAATGATGATGCTCCAAGGAAGAAAGTGGGAAATTATTGATGGTGATGATGGAGAAGATGGGTGTGGGTTGTTGACTTGTTGGCTGCCTTGTCGACATGGGTTTTACAAGAAGGCGCCTAGTATATATATAAAATTAAGGGAGGATTCGTACGTAACCGAGTTTATCATTTTGTTTTGGAGTGAAATTTGATTAAATTATAAATATATTCACTCGTAAAGAAATAATATTTAAAAATTATAACGGTTAAGAAAAAAAAATTCGAGTTTGCTTTCAAATAGAAAATCACATAATCCAATCAAAAGTACGATACTACGTAGAAGTGCTTAGATGAACTAGAAACATAAAAGCTTAAATTTTTAAGCGTGATTTCCACTATATTAATAAGAAAAAAAGCGTGATTTACGTAGAATCACGTTGGTAAAGTAAAAGCGTAAAAATGCAAGTTATATAAATTTCAAAACACGATTTTGACTACATGTTTAAGGTTGAAATTCATGTTATTTGTTACCGAAATTTCGATAGGGAATTTTTTTTAATTTCTAAACAAATTTTATAATTTATTTATTTTCTGAATCTACCAAGACCAAAATAATATATTTCGAACAAGTTTTTCTTTAAAAAAAATTGTGCTGCCGACATACACGTAAAAAGGTTAGATATTTACACAATACACCTGTAGTTTTCACCACGCAAAAAAATTAAAAATGCATCATTCACGGGCCATAATCTTACTGCAATGAACATAGTCGGTCAAGTGAAACAACCTACCTCCAAACCTGCCACCTTCTCTGCCATGAAACGGTTTCCTTCCGCGACTGTAGCACACGTTGAAATGCAAATGTAATAAAAGAAAAGAATGTAACAGAGTAGTGGAAGACTGGAGGAGAGGATCAAGGAGTCATAAAATAGGATTGCAAATGAGCCGAGCGACTCGCGAGTGGCTCAGTGTTCTGACGCGAAACTGCAGCTCGCGGAGCTCGACTCGGTGGCTTGTTGAGCTCAACTCGTAAGCTGGCTCGTTTAGAGCTCATGAGATGTCTCAACTATCAACATAGTGGTTAGAGAGCCTACTCGATTACCGGGTTATGAGCGAATCGATCTATATGAGTTTGATTTTGATAATTCATAGAATTGTTAAATTATTTATCTCACCCTATATGAAGTTTAACACGTAGATTATGCGAGCAAATATGTCTTGTTTAATTTTAAAAAGAAATTATGTATTATAAATTGTTTCGATACTATAAAATAATTATAATTTCAAATTTGTTATATGAAGTTTGGAAATAGCAAATGCCAAATAGCAAAGAGAAGCTAGCTAGCTAACACCAACGAATTAGTAAACTGCAGAGAGAGGCCAGCCATTGCTACAGTTAAAGACGCTAACTAACAGCTAACAACGATTCAGCAGCAGACATCCGGTATTATTGCAGAGGACTAATTACAATTGGCAAAGAAAAACAAGGCGCCAACAATACTCACCTGATCGAGGAGGAAAGAGACTAGCGGCGGGTGACCAACAGCGGGACAAGGAGGCAGCCGCTGCTTCTGGAACCTGAGGCTGAGAGAGTCACTAACACCAACTAATTACTGTCCTGGCAGGAAAGATATGTTTTTCACTGCATCACTGGTTCCAGAAGGAATTGCATTAATCAGACAAGAGCAACACTTTGGAAGTAAATCTCCAGCGAATGATTTATAGATGTTGGTACAACATATGCAAACATGCTAGCAACGTTCACTTCCAGTTTCTATTGCTACCCTGCTACATGACAGGTTAGAGTTGGTTTGCACTCAAAACTGAGTTATAAAGTTAAACAATTAACAGTACCCATGATCTTACAGCAATGAAAATAGTCGGTCAGGTGAGACTATCTACCTCCCCCTGCCTCCAAACCGGCCACGTCCTCTGCGATGAACTGGTTTCCTTCCAGGATCGGAGTCCATGCTGAAATTATGAGGTGGCTGGCCGTGGAGAATATTTCCGGATTGCTGAGGAGACTGAACATTGCTACCAGAAATGTTTGTCGATGACTGCACGTTGCTATTAATTGCCGTCGTTGCTTGGTATCCCATGTTCATGACTGGGTTGGTTGGTTGAGGCACAAAGCCCATTCCACCGAAGTTGAAATTCTGACGAAGAGACTGACCAGTGTTGCCAGAAATGTTTGTCGATGATTGCATGTTGCCATTAACAGCCATCATTCTTTGGTCTCCCATGTTCATGGTTGGGTTGGTTGGTTGAGGCAGAAAGCCCATCCCAAATGAAGATTGGTTGAAGCAACCTTGGTTCACAACTCCTACTCCTGGTGCTGCAGCTGACCAAGGCATGAAACCAGAGCTGGGGAAGAAATTGGGTGGAGGCCCTGGTAGCATTACATTACCAGGAAGTGACCCCTGGCCGGGGTTGAACTGCTGCTGAAATGGCAAAATATGCTGCATCACCATCTGCAAGGTATTCTGAATGTTGCCAAGAGGAGGAGCGAAACCACCAAACATGGCCGCTGGAGGATTATGTTGATGCTGAGGAAATACCCCATTCGGCCAATTCCCAGGGAAATGACCAGGGTTCAGCTGCTGCAACATTGGTGGGGAAGTTGGAACAAAATCATTAATATTATTACTACCTGGAGTTGGAGGGCCATTATGCTGATTTCCGTTCTGTGGTTTCTGATTAGTATCCACTCGAGTTTGCTGAGCTGAAAGTTTGTTGTTGTTGTTCTTCCAACCCTCCCTTTGTCTCTCGTCAACCTTCTTTTTATTCCTCTTCTTATTGTTCCCAACTGTTTGGCCATTGATAACCCTCTTTGCCATTTTTTGCATCCTCCTGTATTCTGCCTCTTTCTCATCATCTGAAAACTCAACCTCATCAGACAGCTCCTCATCATTCTCACCCGATGCATCATATCCTTTTTTGTACAGGTTCTGGTCACTCAGAACAAAGCCGGCAAACTCAGGAACAAAGGAGACCAGAGCGCCTTCGGAAATACCCTCGGGAGCTTCACTTTCAGAATTGAATCTCACTACATAGAATGGGTTCTTCACAGGTCCAAATATTTCATCTATCAGCCCCAGTGGAGATTGTTTCTCGGTTAACCAAAGGATAGAGCCCTCATTTAGAGGGTTGTGCTTCTCAATCCCTTCTACAATGACTTGTGTGCCAAGAACCTGATATGGTGCCACAAATTGATCATCTTCCTTAAAATGAAATTGCAGAGGCTCGCTGGCTTACACTTAGAACCAGAAAACCTCAAAAGCAACAGTATATGCAGTTAAAAGAATAAAGCTATGGACAAGTTCTTACAGATGAGATAAGTCCGACAGGTTGTGGTTGATGATGCGGTAGCAGCACAGCATTGACAGGAGGAACAAGTGGAAGAACCTGTGACAGAAAGTTAAGGCCACATTGTTGATTATAATAACTCCATTACTAACAAATTTGAGGAGAAGAGGAAAAACACAGATGAAAAAAGGTTTCAATTACATGATCAGCCTTTCACACAATAACAAACTGACTAACCACCCAATTCATCCTAATAATATATATCAAGCAAAAGAAAGAAACACAGACAAAACCTTACTTCACAATAAGACTTTGTTCTCTTGTGATATTAAGACTTCACCATTTCAGGACAACAAAGGAAAAGTTCTAAAGAGGACATTTCACATCATACTATCATTTTACCTGAAGCTCATTCTTTGATCTAATAGGACCCTTCTCAACACCAACACCTCCATCATCTTCATCATCAGCATCACTCCATTCCACCATCTTCTCAACCTCCGCCTCCGTCTCTGTTTCGGCATCCTCCTCCTCATCACCATCACCATCTTCACTATGACCTACCACATTATCTCCATCATCACCATCTCTTATTTCACCCTCTTCCATCAGACCTTGTGCAATCTCAACTTCATTTTTCTCCTCCTCCTCCTCCTCATCATCGCTGCTACTAGAATCAGATGACGATGACGACAATGAACTAGAATCTGACGAGCTACTTTGGCCATCAGAATCGGAATCACCTCTACCGCCATTGTCACCAATCCCAATATCAAGGGCAGAGCTCGCACGGTTGACCAAGCTGCCAACATCACAAGCCTCGGCCTCATCACCCGTTGCCTCAATCTTCACTGCCACAGGGCCAAGTATTTGCTTCTCCCCTATCTCTGCTTCGCACTTGACATCAGCAACCCTATCACCACCATTGCGAACCAAACTTAATCTTCGAATTTCTGTCTCTACAAAGCTGCCAGGACTCTCCGATCTAGGCAACCCCATCGACTCCCGAATATCAACCAGCCCGTGTGCTTGCAGCTGCAGCTCGTGCTTTAGAGCGTGAAACCGCAAAATCTCTCTAGTTCCCCAAAAGTTGGCGGATTGTAACTGGACGGCGTGAATCCTGCTGGCGAATGACAATCTGCCTGAGAGGTCAGGAGGAGTGAAATCGGCAGATTCAGGGTCGACGAGAGCAGTGAGGCGGAGGAACCGCTCAATTGAAAGCTGAAGAAAATCCCCGGAAAGTACTCGGCGGCGTTTGGGGATAGCCGGGACAACTAGTAGCTGTTACCTGTTGGGGTCGAGGGCGAGGTCGACAACGAGTCGGCGGCGTTTTGGGAGATCCGAAGACTAGCTAGCGGCCGGCGGAGACACGCGAAATTTCATTAGAGCTTTATCGGTCTCGAGGACAGGCAACAATGGGCTTGGGCCTTGGGGCATTCAGCCCACAGCCCCACACATATAAATGGTTACATAAGGGACCACCATGGGCCGAAAACAGAGTGGTTGCAGGCTTGCAGCCAATACAGGTCTATGTAGGCAGCACGGGAAAGTTAGGTATAAAATACGTACAGATAGTCTACTTTATCTTTAAAGTCTAAACTAATGTAACGTTTGATAGTAGTCATAAATATATAAAATTAATTATTGCAAAATTAAATATATATAAATAATAGTAAAGTTGACAATTTAATTCATTAAATACTTATATAAAACGTATTTTTACGGGTTTTATACGTGTTTTAAATCAACATGGGAGCCATCAAATGAACGGAAAAACATAAACGGCTTGACAATAATACGAATACAGAATTTCTAAATGGATAAAATACATACGATACAAATACATGTATTAGAGGAAATATCTACTAACTGTGATTGGCATTCGAAAGGCAAATGTAAAGCATTAATTTGATAATACACAAATCCAATTCGTGTAATCTTACCACAGACAAAAATCCAAGTCATTTAATCCGCCAATTCATTTACTTTATTATTCATGAATCTATTATCAACCAATGTATATATTATAAATTCAAATTCATTTGCTAAACAAGTAACCTTAACCACCAATGCACAAGCTCTAACAAAACCTCTATCCCTATTGCTACTATTACTACTATACTCTCCCTTCAAAGACGCAAAGTACAATCCTGTCTCGACATACAAAAGACTTAACATTATTAACAACGACGTAAATTGAAAGCGCATTAATGCCGAAAATTGAATTTACGATTACTCGTCCTGTCGTTTTCCCCCCTAATAATATTCAACGGGCTTATCCGCATCAACGTTGACCAGCTTCCGCCAATCAAACGGCCGAGGAACAAACGGCGGCTTCCTACACCTCAACAGCGCCCAATTCACCCCGTCGAAAAACGGATGGTGCTTGATCGCCATCGCGCCCAGCGTCGACCCCAGCCGCCGCGCCGGATCCTTGATCAGCAGATGAGCAATCAGATCCTTCGCCGGCCCGGGCACCGCCGGCTCTCTCGGAAACTCCAGCGCACGCGCCACCACGCTCGCCAGCGTCGACTCGTGGTCGCACCCTTTAAACGGCGTCACCCCGTAGAACATCTCGTACACGAAGATCCCCAGCGTCCACCAGTCCACCTCGCTGCCGTGCCCGTCCCCGGCGACGATCTCCGGGGCGAGATACTCGTGCGTCCCCACGAACGACATCGACCGCACGTCCACCGGCTCCGCCACGATCTCCGGCGCGGCGCCGTGGTGGCCGGCCCGGAAGTACTTGCTCTTGTTCTTCTTCTTCTTTTTCGGGTTCCGGCTGGCGTGGAAGCAGGAGGCGGCGGTGGCGGCGTGGGAGATGCAGTTGGGGATGGTGCAGCCCGATGATGACGTGGCGGAGGAGGAATATTCCTTGACGTTGGAGGGATGTGGGGAGGGAGGAGGAGTCGGGAGGGAGCAGACGATCTGTGCGGCGGTGGAGGTTGCGTCGTCTTTCAAGGAGAGATCGAAGTCGGTGAGCATGATGTGGCCGTCGGAGCGGACGAGGACGTTTTCCGGCTTCAGGTCGCGGTAGATTATTCCCATCATGTGGAGGTACTCGAACGCCGCCACCACTTCCGACGCGTAAAATCTGTGACGAAAGAATTCGAAGATAATTAATACACGTGTTAAATTAAAATTATCCGCCCTTTCAGTTTTGACTGGATCGGTACGTAATTAATTTTGTAAGAATATATACTTAAATTGCACCGGGCCGGCCTCCTAGTATTATTAGTATTACTACTTCGATGATTAGTGATTAGTTGTGTTAAGTACCATGAAATGTGGAGCTATATATATATACTTCCAATTGGACAAGCGGCAAGACGACAAGAGAATCTGATTGCCTAGTTGACCATATCCGCTTCGGCAAGAGTGTCGTACTATTGTCACTGCTGTTAAGTTTATTTTTACGCCTCGAGAAGCGAATCGGGCAGCCCATTTGGTGGCACGAAATGCCTTACGTTATCCTGGCATATCCCCTACTTTACATGATTTTTCTTATCTCTTGTGTCTTTGAGTCCTTGTGAGGTGTTGCCGTAATTGTTGTGGCCCCTTCACATGTTACCTATGTTATCCGCAAGGATTGCTTGACAAAAAAAAAAAAAAATGTATGCTTTTGGATCATGCAAAAAAACCTACCCCGTCAACTTCGATCTTGTCCGTCCAGTCACACAAGAGACTAAGCATATTATACAAATTAAAAAAGACTATCTAATCTACTTTTATAATTGTGATCAACTAGGACCGTTCATTCTATTTTAAAAACAACTTCAACGTAACATAAACACGTTAACTAGCGCATCAAACATAACCGACTGACAAGCAAACGAGAGAAGATCCTGGATCAACACCGAGACTGCACCGATTTGCCACACTGCAAGTGCAATGGTGGAGGAGGGTATATACACATAGGCACGAGATCGGACAAAGAGATCTCTCTAGATGATCAAGTGGTTGAATATCCCAAAGGAACTAGCTAGCTAGTGGAGTTAAACAGCAAGATGAGGAGCACTCAAATCAATCGTGCCTTTTTCCCCCCTTGTTTCCAATTCCACCCTTTTCTTTTTTGCGTAGATATGCATGAAATGAAAGCGCATGAAGCAAAAGGAAACCGGCATGCGTCCCTACAACACATATATGCACTCCATTATATATGATCAAACCCTAATAATAATAATAATAATTCATTTTTACCATGATTGCTCATCATAATCTTTCTCCTTCATAATTTGATGGTTTCCACCATAATTCAACGATTTATAAACGTGAACATGATCGTCCTTGGATCGCGTCCTTAGATGATCCAGAAGGAATGATAATATACAAACTCCCTTGTGTTTCTACTCAAAGATAACCGCATGTACTCGAATTAGTTGGTGAATAGAGAAAAGGAAAGGGGGAAAAAACGGCCCTACAATGGCACTCTGGATGTTTACCATAATGATTTGTTCCGAAATTTTGGAATGTGAGCATGAAAGAGACATATTATTAGGATCCTATGTAGGTAAGGTAAAGAAATGTAAACATGCCCTATAAATTTGTTTGGATTTTTGTTTTATTACGCGAACATTCACCGGAAATTTTTATTTGGATGATTGAAGTGGTAATATATATGACAATAATATTAGCGCAATTTTTTCTTGTAAATTCGAAAACCTTTTAAATTTGTATTGACAAGTTCAAATGAGTTTAATATGACACAACTATAATGCCAGTTCTGTACGGTAATGGAATTTATAAATTTCAAATACTCGAAAGAAGGATTAATTTAATAATGAATAAAATTCTAAAATGGCAGCTTTTAAAACAAAGGATTGTAAAACCATATAAGACGTTATACCAAACAAAAAATCGATGGCACAATATTTTGTCTTAAAATCATGATTAATTAAGTACGATTCAACCAGATATTTCTTATCCAACCAGACACCGATACAATTTCTTAAACATTGTTCAAAACCCTTCATCTACCCTGCATCAACCTCAACTAATGGCCATTGTTTGTTGGCCCTTGAGAAATATTCATAATTTGCATATGAGGACGAAAATAACAAGCCACATATATCTCATTAATATTATAAAAGAAATAACAAATATTATTAAATTAGAAAAAAATAAACTCACCGGACGGCAAATTCGTTGAAGCGACGCTCCGGCTGGTCCTGACGCAGCGAGTGGAGATCACCGCCTGGGCAGAACTCGGTCAACAAACACGACCACGTCGGCGACTCAACGGTAGCGTAAAGCGCCGGCAAAAAAGGATGGTCAAGCACCTCGAGAATCTCCCTCTCCACTCTCGCACGCGACTCCTTGTTGCGACTGGCCATCTCCTTCATGTCCATGACCTTGGCGGCGAACAGGCAGCCGTCGCCTCCCTTCACTTCAACCAGGTACACGCACCCGATGTCCCCGCTCCCCAGCCGGTGGACGAACCGCAGCTCCGACAGCGTCATGGCGGAGGAGTACTCCACCATCCGCCGCCAGCACACGTCGCAGGGCGGCGGGCGGTGGGGCCGGGAGGAGGCCGAGGACCAGGACGCGTGGCTCGGTGTGGCGGTGGTGCTGCTGCTGGTGCTGTCTTGGGGGTGAGTTGGGGTGGTGGATGCGAAGGAGATGGCGTCTATGTTGTCGTCGATGAGGGCGGCGAGGTCGGCGGCGGAGGGCGGCGGTGGCGGTGGTTTCTCGTCGCCGGGAGGTGGATGGTGGTCCATGTTGTGTTGGTGTATATTGTTTGGAGGAGTTAAGAGGATGGTGTATATATATTGTGGTGGTGGTGGTGTTTGGCCGGCAATGACATTGACAAGGGAGCTGGCATGGAGAGTTTTTGGACGTCTGGTATATGATTCATAACTAATATTTAATCGGTTTATAACTGCGCTGCTACGGATCGGGAAATTGTCGGAATCGAGAAAATAAGAATACGAAAGCGAGAATCGAAAACAGACACACGACACGCGATTTACGTGGTTAACTAAAACTATGTGTGTTAGCTAGTCCACGGGCAAGAGAGTCAGTTTGATTTACTTCGAGGAGATTACAGATTACAGAGGAGATGAGAAGTATTTATACTTCTCCATGTGGGTCTAAAACCTAATCCAATCTTGTAAAGGAAACGGTTACAGACCAGACCCAAAACTGACAACCCAAACATGTATCGATCCATACACCTACCGTGGATCGGGTCGTAGCAAGACCCCCGTGACTTCCAGTCGTAGCGACTGATAGTCTGATTCAAGTCACATCAACACAACCAATAATTCTGAGTTATTAAAATGAATTGGTATTTGATTGGTATCAAAACTGATTTGACCAGATGATTGTGTGTTCGAATCTTATGATTGTCAATGTTAATTAATGGTTGATTAAATCACAAGGTATATGAACATGTATAAATTTGAACCCTGTGAGTTAAATTTCGTTTGAGTGTGTATAAAAAAGAATGAAATATGATACATAATTAATATTTTCTCAATAATTCGAGTTATTTGAAATAATTAACAATTATGGTTGGTTTTGAGGTGCGAGTAATGAGTCGTGTTTGGATATTGTTCTTGTTGTTTTGTACCAGGTTAATATGGAACAGCTGTATCTTCTTTGTTGGTCTATGAATTCTGTTACGTATGGCAATGGAACCGGTGTTGATCATGAGTGGTCGTTTTTATTTTTGTAATGAGTGCTTTGTTTGACATGGTGAAGAGAATAAATATGTATTGTTTGGTATTGATTTTAAGAATCCGGCTGGTTGTGCACTGGCCATTGTAGAAACAAACAGACACTGTTTCTCATAAAATTCCAAATTGGATGCCACAAGATTCAAACAAGTAAGGTGATGAATGATACCATTTAGTACTGCAATTAGATCAACTTTTTTGCTAATAACAATGAATACTAATGATACTTATTTGGTGACCTTTTTGTTGTTATTTGTGTACAAGAATCCTGTTGCTAAAGTAGGATTATTTGTTGTTCAATATATAAGTTATTATTAGAATCGAAAACCTGCTTCGGTTCGGGACGGTGGATGTCAGCTTGGTGGGACCCTCATTCGGTGACCTCGGGGTTTGAGATATGCGTTTGTCTGAAGGGTCAAAGGTGATTCTGCATCTGGTTTGGTGGATCCAGAAGAGATCCACGTTTGGGTTTGGCGGATCAAAGAGAGTTCCGCATTTGGGAAGCAGATCAAAGAGAGTTCCGCGTCTGGTAAAGTCCTTGTACCGAGAAGCCCATCGATACAAGGCATCTGGCGGATCAAGATAATCGCTGAGGTGTGGACACGAAGTTCGTGGTCCTTGTCTTGAGGGAATGATTGTACTGAGACAATCCAAGTACCACATCGAAAATACAAGGGAAGGAACCCTTGTATATAAGTGTCCACCTAGCCCAATTAGTACGAGATCTTTTGGGGAGGACACCCAAAAGTAAATTCGTGTGGGCTTGGCCCAAAGCGGACAATATCCTAATAATTGAGCTCCCGGTTATGACAAGTGGTATCAAAGCCTGATTCGGTGCAGGGCGGTGGACGTCAGAGTGGACCCTCATTCGGTGATCTCAGGATTTGAGATCTGCGTCTGGTTTGGCGGATCGAGAGAGGTCCGCGTTTGATTTGGCGGATCAAAGATAGTTTTGGTACCTAAAATTTTTCATTATGACATTTTAGTACCTAAACTTTTCACATTTTACATATTGGTCCTTGAATGAGGATGTCATTTGGATTCATGAATAATCCACCAATCCACTTGATCCAATCCATGAATCTACCAATCCATTTGATCCATGGATCCACCAATCCAATCCACCAATCAATGGATCAATCCATTTGCCACCTCTACTCCCATCTCCGTTTCTGAATCAGACATTAATGAAGAACTCAACGTTCATGATGATGTTGCTAGCATATTTACTCGGCCACCGGAGGTGGAAAGGCTATCAAACCGACGACGAAAGCTGAAGCGGAAGCAGAAGATGATGGTGTTATTCGAGAACAATTGTTCTTATAGGATAGTCCACTTGGTGGTTAGAAAGGTCCTTCAATTGTATCCGACTACGAGTCGTTTATTTAATTTTATGGCCTGATTATATTTTGTATAAAAAATAATGACGGCTCTGGCAGAATCGCTTTTCACTGTAGATGGTGAACCAATCAAAACTCTAGAATTAGCTGACTGGTTTATGGGAGAGGCAATGTATGTAATGTGGTTAATGAACTCTCTTGTTTATGGATTCTGTTAGGTTGTCAATATTCAATTGTCTAACCAAGTGCCAATAGATTTAGTTTCCATAATTCATCAATTTCATTTAATTTCCCCCTAATAAATTGTATCCCTTTTCTGTTTGGTCAAGCTATACATTTGACCAAATGATCTAACCAAACTTAATATCTGGAGATAACTTCCCTTATTTCCTAAGACCTTCTTTATTCTTCTTCTTCAAATATATTTTTTTTATAAGTGGAAATAATAATAATTGTCATTCATCAATCTGTGATATCTTTCCATAAAAATATCACTGCCAAAATCACACTATAAAACAAGCAAAGTGCACTATTATAATTGTTTCATTTCATCACAACAACTTTTCTCTGTATCTGTACAGTGAAGAGAAAAAGGATGATGCATGGCCAAGAAGAAGAAGAAGCCCACCGCCAGCAGCTGAGGCCAGCCCTGTTAGAGCTCAGCCTGCTACCAGGCTGCCGCCTCGATGAGCTCAACAAAGCTGGGCCAGAAACCATGAAAACCCGCCAACCAAAGAAGTGCAGATTCTGCGACAGAGAGTTCAGCAGTTTCCAGGCCTTGGGCGGGCACCAGAACGCGCACAAGCGAGAACGAGCCCTTCTCAAAATGAAAGGGACTAAACCTGCTGATTATTATGGCGATGTTGGATCACTGATCCCCTTTGGGCTGTTCTGCGGCGGCCCACCTGTCGGCGAGCCCTTCTTTGGCAGCAGCCAGGCCCAGTATCACTATCCGCAGTATGGCCCAAGCTTCTTGGGCCTCAACGCGCGGTCTTCCATGATCCACAAGCGGCCCGTTGTTGGTGTTGCTGGACACGCGGGCCTGTTCGCTCAATGTTGGCCCGGATCCTTCGCCGGCCCGGTGATGGAGAATTTGCGTGGCGTGAATGATATTGCACCGCCGGTCCAATATAATAATAGCAATTGTGGTGATGATGATGATTATCGTAAAGTTTGAAGTGAGCTGAGGGGGAGGATCATTGTTTCTGTTACATCTTTTTTTCCTTTTGCAAGAGAATGAAAGTAATAATCATCATGTTATTATAGGCTTGTAGTTCTCAGCGAGCAATAATAACATGAGTTTTTTTTTTTTTTTGGGTTTTGGAATGGTGATGAATTGAGGATGATTGTGAACCCTTTAGCTCTTTGAAAGCTTTTTTTTCTTCTTCTCGTTGATTTATTCCGAAATTTATTATCCGTTTTCCAATCTCATGTTTGTTTTGTTGTTGTAAAGTCATTGTCGAGTCCAATTAAGATGCTTAGTTGCGTCAAGTCACCAACTGTGAGAACATTTACATAAGTTCATATCCACTAAATTCATATTTAAACGCTCTGTATTCGTTAAAAGCATACCGTGATAATTTTATTGTTCTCATAGATAACATTATGAATGTGGTAACTCTCATAAATGATAAATCACATCCAATTCTAGCAAAGCCAATTTTTTCTTATTGGGTTGTTTATTTTTCATCTTGTTGGTTTTGTTGTTATGTGAAGAAATGGATGAAGAAAGAGACAAAAGGAGGAATGTTTGGAGTTTGTAGCATAGATTTCAGGCCGATCTGTCTGTGAGTGAGCATCACTTCATCTCGTCACTTTGTCTTTTCTTTTTCCTTTTTGCGTTGTGTTCTTTATTGAACAAAAGCTTTTTTGTCAAAATAATTGTTTTTGGTGACACAGATATCATCTTTCCCCTCAATCATCAAAAGATTATTCCTCTTTCTCGATTGCAGAGCAAAGCAGCAGAAAAAAGAAGAAATCAAAAGGTAAAGGGCAAAAGAAATACAAATATAATATCCACAATTCCCCAAAATAAAAAGAGGCAAAAATGAAGGTAAAAAAACATACATAGTGGAAAGGAAACGAACATGTATGTATTTCACTGTTCTTGAATTCAAAGAGACAGCCAGTCCAGTCGTCTCCCCCACCTTCCTTTTATTCCCTCCTCGTTATTTGGTTGCTTGATTCAATGTTATGGGACTGTCCCTTTTCTCTCCCTTTTGTGTTTGTTTCATTTCATTTTCTTTGAATTTTTTAGCACTATACATTTGAGTAGGTGTAAATAGGGTTTAATGCGTGTTGGTCCGATCAACGATAACAATCATGTTGTTAACGTTTAAGGTTAGTAATGGACTCTGCCTCAAAGTGACCACATCCACCTTTCAATCCTCTCCGAAAACGATCCCCCACCCCCTCTCTAACCCTAGGTTGACCCTCGACTCTCTTCCACCTCAATCCTACACGATTCACCAATTGCTCTGAAAACTCAAAAGCCCAACACATTAAATCGATTTGTGAATTTTTGTAATAAGTTTCACCCAACTCCGAGGGTCCTACATGGTTCTATGTTCTAGCAACACAATCGATCTCTTGTTTCATAAAGTGTTGTATCACGCAATGAGATATTCTCAACGCCATGACACCATACACACAAAACATACAACTAAACAATGGGCATACTTCAATTGAATTCTCCCAAGATAAATCAAGGATAGATTGAAGGAAAACAAACATCAATGGTGCCAGGCACTAATCCAAGTTGCCCCCCCCCCCCCCCCCCCACCCCCCACCAAGCATTGCAAAAATAAATAGATTGGGTTCATCTCTTCCAAACAACAAAGGAGACTAGGATACAACCGGAGAAGAAGAGACGATCTCAATGATAGAAGACAACTTGATTTCTTAAAAAACTGCTTCTCCTAGATTGATTTGTTGGACTTTAAATACCAATGAGTACCATGCACTTCAAAAAACTGCTTCTCCCAATAAGTACCATGCACTTTAAACGCATAACATCGCTCAATTTTCAAACATACACACACCCGTAACCAAAACACTTGAAAGCTACCAGTTCATGCTGTATTTTGTATAGACATGAACAACGGCAGATCAAGGATAGAGTAGAGCACGGAGCCACCTTTGAAAAAAGGTGGAGAGGGCTGGGCCGTAACGTGAAAAACACCGAAACAAATACCAAAAATCGAAAATTACAAGTGCTATACTAACTCGAAATCCAGAGGAGGGCTGGGGCTCGGCATGGTGACCGCCCCTGGATCCGCCGCTGGACATGAGAGATGTTTAAGACAAAGAATCAGTACATACACTTACAATGCTACACAAGTTTGTACCTTGGACTAAGCTTCAACCAAGTACTGTACGGTCAACAAACAAGTATATACATCCTCAATACATTCTCATTTTTTTCCCCCCATCCTAATTGCCACATTATGGTCGTTATAGCTCTCCCTTGTAGACACACCAGAGATAGAGACACAGCCACTTTTTGGTCTTCAACTTTTCCACAACAGAGAAAAGACAAAAAAAGAAGAGAGCAAGAATGAAAAGCAAAAGCCTCCTCTCTCTATCTCTCTCTCTCTCTCTCTAAAGAGAAAAAAATGGTTTCCTGCAGAACAGAAGCCACTTCACAATTCACATGCAAACCACTTTCACACTCTCTCTTCCTAACACGAAAAGCATCAAATCCCCGCAAACCAACACTCCCTCCTTTCCCCCTCCTCCATAAAACCACCTTCTTCCCACTCCACAATCCACATCACCCCCAACTCTCCCACTCCATTCTCATTCTCTCCACCATAGAACCTTACTCACTTCAATACAACAGCAACCCAACTGCTAAAACACAGAAAACAACTACATTACGGCGACAAAACCTAGCTGCCAAACCATGAGAGCAGCAGGAATCTGCAGCATACAGCAGGGCCTAACCCCAGAGGCAGCAGCCACCGTCAAACAAGCCATCAGCCTCGCCAGGCGCCGCGGCCACGCTCAGGTCACGCCCCTCCACGTCGCCAGCGCAATGCTGGCCTCCTCCGGTGGGCTCTTCCGGCGGGCCTGCCTCCAGGCCCATTCCCACCCTCTCCAGTGCAAAGCCCTCGAGCTCTGCTTCAACGTCGCCCTCAACCGCCTCCCTGCCTCCACCACCGCCCACCTCCTCGCCGCCGGCCCACACCACCACCACCACCATTCCTCTACCTACTACCCTTCCCTCTCCAACGCCCTCGTCGCCGCATTCAAGCGGGCCCAGGCCCACCAGCGCCGCGGGTCCGCCGAGAACCAGCAGCAGCCCATCTTAGCTGTCAAGATCGAGGCCGAGCAGCTCGTCATCTCCATCCTCGACGATCCCAGCGTCAGCAGGGTCATGAGGGAGGCCGGATTCTCCAGCCCACAGGTCAAAACCAGAGTCGAGAAGACCATCAATCATAACAACAACAACAGTAACACCACGACCAACAAACACAACAATAAAAACGTTGCAACAAGTTCTGCTGCTCTCGATGTGGTACGTAGTAACGATTACAAGCCCCCTCACCAAATGAGGATGATGTCCGTTCCGAATTTCGGACATCATCAGCTAGTGGTACCAAAATCGGCTCCCGTGGATTACTACAATGTGAGGGAGGAGGATGTGACTGCTGTTTTGAATTCGATGATGGCGGGGAAATCGAGGAGGAACATTGTGGTGACAGGGGAGTGTGTGGATACAAGCGAGGCTGTGGTTCGAGCCGCGATGGACAGAGGCGCTGCTGCTGCGGAGTTGAGGTCAGCGCGGTTCGCTAGCCTTCCTCTATTCACCCTGTCCAGCCTGTCGAGGGCGGAGATTGATCGGAAGATTTTGGAGTTGAGGTGTAATTACCTCCTGACGACGAAGACGTCGTCGTCAGGGTTCATTGTTCTGTATGTTGGTGACATCAAATGGGTGGCTGATTTCTGGTCTAGTTACGGGGAGCAGAGCAGGTACCTGATGAACAGCAGTAGTTTGTATTACAGCTCAATGGAGTATGTGATCATGGAGATCAAGAGGCTGGTTAGGGATTACAGCAAGCAATTGGTGGTGGTGGGGATTGCTTCTTTTCAGGCGTACATGAAGTGCAGAGCAGGGCATCCTTCTCTGGAAGATCTGTGGGAGCTTTCCTCGCTCACTGTCCCCGTGGGGAACGGGCTCAGCCTCTGCCTCAATTTCGACCTCCAATCCCCCAAAGGAAGGGAGAATCGGCCGCCAATGGAATCTTCAGCTGCCATCAATTTCGGTGAAGAATGTCGAAGCGGTTATGGAGGTAAAGAGCCCACCAAACCCAACTCCAGCTTGCCTTCTTGGCTCCAGCAGTGCAAGGAAGAGACCGCTGCTGGTGCTGCTGCAGCGAATGATGAAAACAGAGTGTTCACATTCTTCGACATCTTCGAACCGGCCAAAAACAAGAGATTCGCTCACCGTAGCAGCAACAATTTGTGGGGGAGCAGCAGCAGGAATCAGAGTCCTGATAGTAGTACTAGTAATTGCTGTACTGCCACAAAGCCAGATCTTCTATCCAACCCAAACTCCAGCCCCAACTCTGCTTCGTCGAGCGAGGTCAGCGACCATGGCGGAGACGACGACAGGAGCTTCAAGGAGTTCAATGGCATCAATTTGCAGATCCTCTGCCGTGCTCTGGAGCAGAAAGTCCCCCATCAGAGGGAGATCATCGCGGAGATCGCCACCGCGGTTTTGGAATGCAGGTCGGGGACGAAGAGACAGAGGAGCAGCAGAGCAACAGAGAGAAGAGAAGAAACTTGGCTAATGTTCGAAGGAGAAGATTGCAGAGGCAAAGAGAGCGTGGCGAGGGAGCTAGCTCGAGTCGTGTACGGTAGCAGCCAGGCAGGTTTCGTCGCGATTAAGAACAGTGGTAATGATGATCTTGATCTCAGTGAGGCATATGTCGAACACCTTGGGCTGGCCCTGAATGAGAATCCTCACAGGGTGTTCTTCATTGAAGAAATTGATCAAACTTGGAGCAATGCTGAGAAGGGGATGAGGAAAGCCATACGGACGGGAAGGGTGATGCTCTCCGGGGGAGAAAGCGTGCCACTGAAGGACGCCATTGTCATCTTGAGCTGCAAAAGCTTCGACCAATATCAGTCGTCGTCTCCATGTCTCAGCAGAAAGAGGAAGCGTGGGGGTGAGAGCAATGGGGAAGATGATCATCATGGGCTTATTCTGTCGCTGGACTTGAATATGAGCATTGACGACAGTAGCGAGCGTGGGGATGATGATGATGATCAGCAGGGCAGCAATGGGATTGAGCAATTGGTGGATGTCAGGGTTGTTTTCAAAGTTCATGGTGATCAAGAGTTGTAGTTTGGTTGTTTATGTCCTCTGTTTTTTCATTAAGTGTAGTGTTTGAAGTCCTGAAATTTGTTCATTAGGCTCTGGGGAACCAAACAGAAGAAGATTGGTGGTGACATTTTGGGGGGAAAAGGGAACTGACAAATACAAGGGCTTAGCAGTAGTATAGACTATAGAGAGTGCATGGCTGTATATTTTTCTAATATAATGTATAATTACAGTGCTTAATTGTGACTTAAGTTTCAGTTCTAGTGTTGTTCATGGGCAAATGTTTCAAGGTTGGTAATCGATGTTATACAGCATACAAACACTTAAAAACAAGCATATGTCGAATATTGTCGATAGACCATATTTGGTATGACGCGAGGGATAGTTAAGGATAACTACTGGCGTACTTCTGGAGTATATCATACTTCAAATTATATGGTTGTTGGATGTACTTCTGAGAATTAGAATCGTCGATTATCATTATATCTCTCTTCGGGTTTGGGTTTAGGGAATGAGACGTTAGGTTTATATATTAGAGGTTAGGGTATAATATCATACACAACTCAATTTAATTCATTATCTAGATAAAGATATATCACCAGAAGACAAAAGTATCGAGAGTATCATACACTCGAGGAGCACAAGTGAATGTCAGCGGCTTGAATCATCAATGACTCCTTTTTAAATCGCCTCTTATTTTGAATGTCTCATACCTCTTTGCTTCGATTTCAGTAACTTTTAACACAAAAATGAATTAATCAATAATTAAAAGATAATATACGCTTTGTTATGTTTGAAACATAAGAGTATCAATGGACGATATGCTCACATATCGTTTCCTCAAAAAATCTTTTCTTCATCCCTGTTGCTTTGGCCGAAAAGGAAGATCCACGAAAACGTTTCCTCAAAAACAATGTTACCATTACATATTACGAACTTGTGATATTGCACTCTATAGGTAATTGGCAAAATGTTTTTTTGGTGAATCTTCCTTTTTGGTCCTTTTTAGATGGAATTTCTTGTCTTGAAAGAAACATTAAAGAGAGTTCAAAGAAGAAGAAAAACATTAAAGGAGACATCTTTTTGCTACTTTTCTTCATTTTGTGAACTACAAGCAAAACATCTTTCAGTAATTTTTGATTTTCCATCCCACTTTGGTCTCCCCAAAATAAACATATAAAACAAACCGTTTTCGCTTTCCATAATATATCTTTCTTGGTTGTTTTTTCTGCTCTGTATATGGACTACTAATTAGTAATTATCTTAGTGTCTAACCCGGTGTCAAGTATTTGTTAATTAAGATTGAGCTAATATATCCAATGCATTGTCTATGGCAATTTTCAAGATTTGTTTCGTGTGAAGTTGGTAATGTTAAATAGTTTTATTCTCGGAAGAGTTTTCAGGTTTGAAAGAAAGGTGATCATTAATAAGGTCAAGATTATATGAAAAGGATTGAGTAATTTTTCAGAAAATAGCACATGTGAGGTATGATTTTCGAGTTGTGATCTTAGCTTACTTTTTAGATTAAGTAAACAATATGATAACTCATATGGCGACTAAAAGACTCTCTATTTGTTATCAGCGAATATGATAGCTTTTGATTTTCTTAATTGATTTCTATCAAGTAGGTAAACCATTGTATCTTTCTGGTCCTAGTGAGCTTGAAAAAAAAAGGGGGGATTATACCATATTAAAAAGTTTCCATGCCAAGAACAGGATAGGATATACTCCTTTTCCAAGTTAGTTTTCTTTTGACTAGCTCAGATAACTTAAATAGTGGAAAATGTTTGATATGAAGACCATGCATATATAGGTTAAGTCCATATTAACGGCTAGCTGCGGGCCAGCAAATGCGCCCGCTGCATGCTGCTGGGAGTTACGTGACTGTAGTAACGATCATAAATCAGCCTCGCTTCTTCTTCTGACTCTGTATTTCCTTATAATAACAAATGTGTATTTTACGCTTCTTTCAAAATATGAAAATACGTAATTATTTATGAAAATAAAATTTGTATTAATTTTTATTTTTTTCTATGAATAAATTATTTATATATTATTTATTTTAAATTATATGTATGAAATATTTATTTATATATTGAAAAATAGAACGCCCTGGCTCCTCCATCGAAACGGGTTGAGTAATTTTCTTACCGAATGATACTTGTATACACGATGATAGCAATATAAGGGATAGTAGCAATATTCTTACCAAAAATACATCAAAGTCTATAGATCTCATGATAAATTTGTTCCTTCTGTGAAACAATTTCAATATTTTGAGTTAAAAACGAAGGTGGTATGCGATTTTTTTTTCTTCTTAAAAATAGATAAAAAAATAAATATAATTTTGCAGATCCTAACGAACTCGTTCCATCTCTAGAAAAAAAAAATCAGTTTGAAACAACGTTACACATTAATTAAAAATAGAGAAAATAAAAGACTTTTTTTTATCGCACCCCTTCAGTCTGACCCTGTTCAAAAATAAATGACCAGATCTAATAACAAATGCATGAACAGGAGCTATGCACCCTAAAAACGCCCGGGGCGTGACTAAATGTCTTTGAAAAAGTTATCATTTATCATATTAGGATGGAAAAGCATACAAATTAATGAAAATCTTATCTAACACTTTTTTTCTATATTTGTAGCACTCTCCATTATAGCCCACTTCCTTTTGAGCGACAACCCTCTGGCTGGGTGATGTTGTGGGCTTAGCTTTATGTCATTGGAGGAGATCGATGGATCGATCAGTCACATAATTAATTATCTCTTTTGTGATTTTGCCTTAATAAATTGTATTGCCGCATAACGAAATCCAGATAGATCTCAAAGGAGGAAACATTTGATCAACAAATGATAAAAGGAATGGGTGGGAAAAGAGAGATGCAAAAGCAGGAAACCCAACTCCACTTTTCCTCAGCTGCTGTATTCTTTTTAGGAAGAGTCACTAACTAACTATAATGCGCTAAAAAGTACTCAAAAAAACCACATCCACAAAAGAACTCCATATCTCATATCTGGATGACTGGATCTCATAGCTAATAATCACATGTACATCTATTTTTACTTATTATTATTCTTGTATATGTTCATTTGCAGGAGGAGGTCTTCTTTTTGTGGTGTTTTTTTTTTCTCTTTTCACACTAACAAATACAGAATTCAAAGCCAAAAGCAGAGACCCAAAATCTTCCCTCCCACTACGTTGGTGGTGAGTGGATCGATCGGAGTGATATGGAGTAGTGTGTTCTTTACAAAGGTAGAGAGGTTTGTGTAGAAATGGAGACCAAGTTTCCACTCCCCTTTACACTTTTGCAGTCTTTGAAAAGATGCAAAGCTAGCTATAGCCATCCAGCCATTGGGCAGCTGCTACTCATCATATATACATATATGCTTGATATATCTCAACTTTCCCTTTTCTCTATTATTTCAAATGTTGGATTAATACCATGTCCGGATGTATGATGGTCAAATCGTACCGGAGTTTGTACCGAGAAATTACTGGTAGAGTATTTAGGGCTGAAATCAGGGTTCGACCGTTTTATATTGCTAAAAACCTCTTCCCGGTTCATACTCGGATAAAATTAATTCTTTGAAATGATAACCCAGATTAAAACCAATAAGATAAAATGTGTTCAAACTAGTTTACAAGAATGATAAGTTGATAACATAACTTTAACTTATACTTGTAGTCCCTATTCTTTCCCAAAAAAGAATAAAATGGTAATAATATGTTAAAACTCTTAATAGAAATGTTTGTATTTTCCATTTTAAACATTTAAACAATATATTAATGGAAAATAGAAATTCCCATGAATTATTTCCCTTCTTGAGGAAAAGCGGTGCTTTTTTATCCATCTCCTTTGCACTAACCATTGTCAGATAAAGCACATTATCACAAAAGAAAAACAAAGACCATCATCATCATATCAGATAAAGTTGGGAAATTTCTGCATGGAAGCAAGGAACCGATTTCTTGGATCTGATGAAAGCCACTCATTTCCTTCCCAATAACAACTCCATAATTGTATAGTGACAACTCTCTCTTACTTTCCTTTTCAAAAATCGCTCTCCCCTCTCTCTAGGAGCAAGCTCCTTTTCACATTTCCCATGGCTGCCGCCAGCTCCTTTTGGTGACCGGCGGCAGCTCAGTCTCTTTTTCTGTTCTTTCCTTTGCTCTTGTGTTCAAGCCTTTGTCTTTGGCGATTTTCACCCGGATCTTTTGTTTAGGGTTTCTCTGCCGATGTGGCGTTTCAGTTTTCAGAGCGGCTGCTCTTCTTCTCGGATCTAGATTTTTCCTCTCTGGTCTTGCTTTGCTCTGCTTGGGTTTCGGATTTTGCAGCTGGGAGAGTCTCTTTTGCAGATCTGGTGCTTGAGTGACTCCTCCTTGTTGGTGGTTTCTTCTATTCGGAAGAACTCATTCGCCGTTTTCCCCTGCCGTCGACTGTTGGTGAGCATCTCAGCCTCGTCTCTTTTCGACTGTTGTGGGTTTCGGTGTCATTTCCGTTTGTCATTGGCAACTGTTCTGGGTTTCGGTTGAGACTAGGCTGGAGTTCTTTGTCTCTCCATTTCTCGGTCCATCTTGCCTTCGACATCCTCGACCTTTTTTCAGCTCTGAGCATCCCGGTTTCAGCCCTGCCCACCGCCAGGTAATTGCAACCTTGTGATTCACTGTGATGGATCGTCTTCGAACGATCCCCAGGAGGCGGCTTATGGCGTTGTGTTTTCAAGTGCCATGGTCTTGTCTGTTTTGGGAGAGTTGAAACCCTGCTTTGTTGCTGATCTGTTGGTTGTGGAAGCATGAGGTTCTTGGGTTCACTTCCTTGGCTCTGGTGATGGCTCTCTGATTTTTGTGTAGTTCAATCTTGCCTGCTTTTTCTTGTGGCTGGTTCTCTAGCTTTGCTTTTGTCTTTGATTGTTCTGCCTTTTTTTTAGAGTGTCCTTTTTGCTTTTGTTCCATTGATGTAATCCGCCTCTTGTAACCGTGATTTCCAGATTGCAATATAAGCACATCCATTGTAAAAAAAAAACAACTCCATAATTATTGTAAAAAAAAACAACTCCATAATTGAAATTAAAAAGAAAAAAGACAAGCTGGAGTTAACAAAAAAAAAAAAAACAAATATTGAGGCTTCTGAGAATAGATCAACCAACCTGCAGAAAGATGAAGTCAGTGTATTGGGATGCTTCAATCATCATTTGATAATTGGACTAATAGAAATGTTACATAATGGGCTCATTGATGTTCTTAATCATCATTAGTTTTTAGGGCAGTAATCTTTGATCCTGATCAGCATGTGTTTTTTTTTTACATACCACAATGATGAAAGTTGCTAAATATATAAAGGGAGATTCGCCTACATAGATTCGCAAAATGAAAATGGAAGGAAGATTAGGGATGTCCTTTTGTTGCTTTTAATGAGAACATTACTTTAACATCATCCAAGTAATAATATATGTTTAGCTTCTTGCTCAATGCTAGCTAATACTCAAGTTATGTACTTTATATGTATGCAACCATCATATGAGTATGGGGATATCGGTTTTTCCTGTCACTAGATAATAAGTACAGTATAATAACGGCTACTCAAGTACATGAACCACGATATAGTGCGAACCATATAGGGGTTGGCAGGGTAATCACCATGATCATAATCCTTTATTCAGTCTCGTAATCTAACAGGATATGACAATGAAGGAAAATTACACAACTATAACGTTGAAACTCTAAAATCATATTAAATGTGTTTGTCAAGAAAAAATAAAACTTGGACCATAAACCATATTAGTTGCATTTTTATTGTGAACATACAGATGTTTTGTTTGATGGGAAATCTGGGAACCACAAAGGCCATCTAAATACCAACAACAACAACACTATCAAGTATCAACCAACACAATTACCAATATCAACCGATACCAATACCAAGATCGACCAAATCTATCTCGGCCAATTACAATCCAATTCCAAATCCATAACCATCCATATTCTTCCCCAACATCATCGGGGAATTTATTAGATGGGGGATGAATCAACCTACGAGATTTCGCTATGTTAACGAAATTCGAAAACTTTTATCGACGAGATTTGTCGTTGTTGAATCGCAATAGATGCAAGTGAATACTGTTGACTGTTGTCCCAAGATATGAGGGCAATTTTTTCGTAAGGGCAATAGTGTACGGATCTATGTTCGGAAGACCATTGCAATTGAAATGTGTGATCGGGTGGACAGATCTATAGTCAGAGAAAGATATCGGTAGAGCAAGATAGAAGAGAGAGGAGAGTCTAGGAAGATATCTAATGAAAGAAGAATGAGGAAAAAGAAATCTGAGGAGAAAATGAAATTGGGATCGAAAAAGAAGAAGGGACGACATCCATTTTCTCGTGTACAAGAGAGAAAGATGAATCAAAATGGAGAAGAGCTATCACATCAATCTTTTCTTTTTAATATCTCACTATTTCTGAACATACCCTCCCTTAATAATTAATATTAATCATTAGACCACGAGAAAGACATATTAGAATGGAGAATAACTCTCACATTAACCTTTCCGTTTTAGTATCTCACAAATACCAAACACACCCTCCCTTAATACTAACTACCATGTAGCGCAAAATATAATCAACTATTCTGAAGAGGGTTCTCAAAATTGTTCAAGATAATAAGTTAAGGCAACTATTATTGTTATAAGAATTAATTAGGTGATAATTAATGACTAGATTAAGGATAAGAAAGTAGGTATGGCAATGTAGATGGGGAGACCGGTCAAAAAGAGGAAGCTGCAGCCTGCCGAGACAAAGGCAACAGGGTAACGAATGTTTTTTTTTTTTTTTTTATATATGACGACGAGATTGATTTATGAAAATCTGTAATCATTGTGCTTCCAATGATTGTTCGATCCTTTTGTCTTTAACCACTTCAACTTTGGAGCTACCTTCTTTATAAATCAAAATCAAATAGAAAGAAAGTGAGGAAAAGCAGTAGATGTTAAAAGGCGAAAAAGAATATGGACAACAACACAGCAAAGCTAATTCCCGATTCAAAATTAAAGAAGAATGAAGTAAAAAAAGCTCCATCTTCTGAAGTAGAAAAGAACCCCAGTAACAGAGGAACTGTGCAACGAACAACTTGGTAATCGAACTGGAGAGTTTGAGCTAAAGAAATTCAGGAATTCCTTCCTTTTCCTTTACGATAATCCCTTTTCTTTCTTTCTTTTTTGGGTCTACAAGAAAGGTAGCAGGCAGGACTCGGGAGGTAGACCAAAGCAGATGGAGAGATTTTGGATAGCTGGTTGCATCAATTTCACGATATTCTTTCCTGCGGTAATTCTTTACTATGAGTGAGTGAAACTATAAATCTTTATTAAAATTAAGAATTATAGTAGTCGATCTTGGAATCGTACTCAGTGTTGTTGTCTATTGGCCTCTCTTCTTGCAAGTGAATTGAATGTATGGAAGAATGCTAGCCGGTTTGGCATCGCATCGTGCACATGAACCAATTAGAAATTGAATTTGATTGAAGCAAACAAACATCATAAAATTGGACAGCAATGGAGCAACAAACATCACATTTTATTTGATTGCTAATACGAATTCACAATTGCTGAACTATGACAAGGAATCACAACCACACTTTCGTCCAATTCCATCCCAACCGCTGCTGACTGCTGCTACGGATGAATATAGTGCTAGCTATTCAACAAATCAACCAATGACCAAACAAACAACAGATACAATGATAAACTGATATTGAAACCATAATTCTCCTATACTGGTATTGAAAACATGCTTCTCCATGTTGATCAAATCAATCAATCGTCTGGACAACCCTAAACCGTCGTTCCTCCAACTCGTCCCTCTTGAGCCAAAGGGCTGGTATGATCAGCGCCTCCATCTTCGCGGATGAGGAACCGTCGCTCAACGTAAGTGTCTTGCCCTCCCCCACCTATCGAAGGTCAGGATATCCAAGAAACCATCACGCTTTTTGTTGCCCGAGCCTCGAATGATGCCCATCGATAATTTACTGACAGCTTCGAACTTCGTGCTGATCATTCCTTCCCCCATAAACCAGATACAATTTATGACCTACAAATATTTATTTATCACCAACAAATTACAGAACACATACATTATATACTCATTCGCCCAAATGACGGGCCCAACCTCAATACTTAGGTTTCTATTTAATGGTCTGGCTAGGGTTTGGGCCTTGGGAACGAGTTGATTGGGTCACAAGCATTGTGACATGGGTCACAAGCATTGGTCCTCTTTGAGAAATCTCTTTGAGCCGCCAAACTACCCGATAACTTTCTCATTTCTCTATTATCAATTGGCTTCTTGCACCGCCTAAATAAATTTCCCCCAATCAAAATTACAAAAATCTTAGCATTGCTAAGGATCACTCTTTCTGAGAACTCTCTATAAGAAGTTGTTGTTCTTACATCTGGAAGAGAAAAGATTAAAAGACAAAATCTTTACTAGAGATAAAAAAATCAATGACAAATTGACAGTTGTATATTGTGTGGAGTAGGCCCGGAATCTCGAGACCATATGCTTTTTTTTTCATTTTTAATACTCTAAGTATGTATTGCAGGGCTGTCTACAGTTCATACAAATGCACTGTGGAGGGTTTGTCGGTTTGATCCGTACTTGCGCTGTACAAAAATTTGAAGGGAATAAGTCACTGGTAAATATTGGGCGTTTTGTGTGGAATAAGTCACTAGTAATATAGTTTATTTGTAGAGGCTATTGGCAAGTTCTTGTATCTTACAACCACTTTTGTTTGGGTTCTCAATTTAGGAATATGATACGAGCTTCAACAAAATTTTGATTAACCATTCAAAAATTGACACATTGTTGTTTGGTGTTAAAGGGGAACAAAATATAAAAACTAGAGTGGTCTCAAGAAACATAAATTGAATCTCAATCTTCTCATAGCTTCTATTTATAGAGCTACACAACCAAATTTTTTCTTTCTCGTCCTAGACTTTAGCCTCTTTCCTTCAGCTTCTCCTACTAGAATTCTTTTTCCTTCCCTTACACGAACTTTAATGAAACAATAAACAATAAATAACGTATACCTAATCCAACTAAAACACGCATTACTACTAATTATGTCAAAACACCCTAAAACAAAATGTATCACATAATAATATAGAAATTATATTAATTAATATGCTAGTCCAGACATTGTTGAATTGCCATTTGCCACAATGATTTGTCTCGTTATTTTGATGAATTGATGATATTTATAGGTACTGCAATCTGGTTACCACACAAAATAATGTAGTTAAACTATTCTTAAAGTTATTGTTTTGAAAACATGTGATAATAGTAGAAGAGAGAAGAAAATGTAAGCACATCTCGCAAAGAAAAATCATCTTAATTATGATTTCTGACAAAAGAAACAAAATATTTCTTTCTGGCCAACAAATTACAGCATACACATACATATATATATATATATGCTCATTCACCCAAAGAACGGGCCCAAGCCCAGTACTCTGGCTTCTATTTGGTGGTCTGGCTAGGACTTGGGCCTTGGGAACGGGTTGATGGGTCCTTTCCGAAGCCCATTGCCGCATGGGTCGCAAACATAGATCCTCTTCGAACAATTTCCTTGAGCCGCCCAATCACACGTAATTTCGCTGTTTCTCTGTTCTCAATCGGCTTCTTGTCCCACCTGATTAAGTTTCCCCCCAAACCAAAAACCACAAAAATCAGAGCATCATTACCATGTTAAAATTTGACACTTTATTGTTTTGTATCAAGTAAAACAAGAACAAAGAAGCTAGTACGTCTCCATAGAGTAAATACCATAGACATAAGAGTCTTAAGAGTGTATTCAGAAAAGATTTACCAGTCCTCGTGTCGAACGATTTTGCCATTCTCGACGTGGAGTCGGATAAGCGAGATCATCTCTATACTTTTCCCCAACAGAGTGTAACGTTGTTTGTTGTCGATCAATATCTGATTGTGTAGTCCATTATCAGAAATCATTTGACTCCAGCAAATGATTAGTACAATGCTATCGCTACAGACCATAGAACGAAAGTTTGTGCACATTGTGATCGAGACTAGTAGTAGTAGTATATTACCTCTTGTTTTCCAGGTTCCAATTGATTCTCGTGCACACTGTACTCCACGATTTCAGACTCTTTGAACACCTGCAACAACAGTAATGAGATCAAGGATGATGGATGATGATGATGATCGAGGCGTGTGATACGAGGTATGTTGTTAATTCGTAACATTATTACTGCTTATTACCTTAGGAAGTGAGTAGAATGCTGATTTGATCTGCTTCACCCTGCAAAAACATACGCAGATCGGATCATATGCTGCACGATAATTTTGGCTGATTCTGATTCTGCAAAATCATCGACCCTTATGGCAATAACAGAGCAAGCAATTGAAGAGCAGATGAGAGGAGGATAGAGTAATTACCCTTGAGCAGACATGAGGGGATCTTCGAAGGAAGCATTTGGGGCATAGATTTCGAAGTCCGTAGCTGTGGCACGCGATGCATACCTACCTCAGAAACATCATAATACATTACTGTAAGAACAGATCAAAATTATGAGGGTTCTCAAACCCTGGCACGAGGGTATAGCTTCATTTGCTCACTGGATATGAACGAGAGGGGAAGGAATGAAGTAGTTACAAATTGAGAAGGTGGGGAATGATGGTATCAGAAACACGGTCGCCGGAGGATCCCATCTTCTTGTCACCACCTGTTTCTTTCGGCCCCAGACTGCTGCTGTCGACTGCTTCATAAAAAACCCAAGACAAACAATTAACACAAGGGATCAACAACATGGAAGCAGAATTGGCAGTGATGGATGAACAAGCAGGGGATTTGGAGACCTGCTGGGTTAGAAGCCTCGGCCATGGCTGGAGAAGACGCAAATGGTAAGTCGCCTGGGGCTGGGGATTGCAAAGACGAACGGATATGGTAAGAGGGGAGAGGAAACGGCAGTTTGTTGTTTGTTGTCTGCTATGAATGGCTTTATTAGTGGCTACGTGGCAGAAACTTGTCCTATCATCTCCCTTCTAACTTCCCGCCGCCTGCTTACAAGTGTCAACGCAGACTTGTCCGGTTGATAAAATGGTCAAACTGCCGGCCGCCGGCATGGCCAGCCTGTTTATTTCTCCATTTGCCAAAAAATATATATTATATTAGTTACTGTATATTAATATTAAGAGTGGCCTAAGCCAACCTTCTAAAGCATAGGTGCGATAATATTGAGGATCTGAACCCAACCCCAGTGGAGATTTCCTCGGGTCATTTCTTTAGCCACCAAATATGCTTGGATCCTGAAGCATATTTGATAGTATTTATCACTAAATATCATTCAATCAACTTAATCGATAGGATCTCCGATGCAACTCTAAACAAATGAACAATGGTTATAAGACCATTCCCGACACTATAACCCTTTTGAAACAGCAGTAAGGAGATGTAAGGAACCAGATGCAAATCATGTCCTTACATAATGTACATACACCAATAAGGAGTACAGGAAACACAAGAAAGATATACTCTTCACAATCTACACCGTAAGATCCGAAGTCGTTTTAGGGTGCTGCTTCTCAATTTCTCACAGCCCAAGCAGAGATGTCGCCTGGGGCCTGGTCTGGCTTTATCTTCCACAATCCTCACCCAAAGAATAAACGAACATTCTGGCATTCCTCTACCTTTACATAACAAACAATAACCAGGATGGATACATACCCGAGACCCAGCCCCAATCCGCAGCCGAATTAGGAAACGAGGGCCAACGAGGAGGAGATAGCGGACACTATAGCAGCTAGAGTACCCAGAGTCCCAGTCTTTCCATCAATTTACAACAGCAAAAGGTATAATAGGAAAGGGAAACCGGTGTGGTGGTCTGAGTGTCTTGAGCGTCTACCGCCGCGGCTCATTCAGCGTCTTGCCCTCAAAAAACTCACCCAGCATTCTCTCCAGGTCCTCGGCTGAGTACTTGATGTACTTCTGTGGGTTCTTCCCGCTCTCGACTAGTGGCCTGTTAGGTGATCGTTGGATATAAATATATGATTAGAAGTACTGCATACTCAAAAAGTGGAAGTAGTAGCAGGCTTCCTAAAACAAATCCAAATAGCTACATACCCAAAACGTTTTACAAAAGATCTGTAGGCAGGTAACAAGACTTCAGCGACTGCAAGCCTCAGAGATTCTCGCAGCTCGGTGTCAGGTACCGTCCACTGAGATTGTTTTTGGTGGAGTTCCTCAAACTGTGTATTGAAGACCTTGAACCTGCAAAACATGGTAAACATGAAATTAATGAGGCCAGGGCGAGATATGCAAAAATCGGGATTCTTAGAAATGGTCCAGGAACTCAATATGACCTCTCTTTAACCAATCCCCTTGAAGCACCACTGCCACTTCCACTCTCACCAGGTGCTGAAGAACTTCCTCCAGATGAAGTTAGACCTTGAGCAGAGAGACATTGAAGAATCTGGAAAAGGTTCACTACTCCATGAGCCAGATTCTCCTCAACGCATTTAATTATCCTTATAATGAAAAGGCACTCAAACTTGATAACATTAAGAGGAATGACCCTACAACGCAACAACAAATTCAAGGTGCCTTTCGATTTTCCTAGAAAGTAGATGATGACCTAGATAGCAACAAACAACTGAGCAAAACATAGAACTAATTAAACAGCAAAACAAACTAATCGGATATGTGTATACACCCAAGCATTCTTAGTAAAGCTTGAAGATCAGTAATTTCACTTTCTTGCATCATTTTCAATTTGGGTACCGTATTCGATGTCTATATGCTATCTTCTGTTTGGCAATTCGTGCGAGACCTAGACTTAGTTAAGGAGATGCATCATTACTTTCAAATATTGAATACCTTGGCAAGTAAAATGTTCCACAATTTCAAGATTAGAAGAAAAAAATTGCAGTTAGAGATTTGATTAGCATCAGATGACATTTACTGGAGAAGAGAGAAGAGCACCTTTCCCCAACCAGTTCTTTTGTATTGATTTGCATGCTGCTGCACAACTCTTCTGTGTCGTTGAACCCAATCGTCTCCCAACAAGTCCTTGGCTTCGGATCTGAAAGTCAATCAATCATTATAAACTACCAGGCAAGGCTACGAACATGTTAAATGTCCAGGAAACACATTCATAACAAACCTGCGGACAGATCTGACCATATAGTGAATATTGTTCATCAGAAACAGGTGCGTCAAAGCTTGATCCTTATACTGCCTAGACTTTCCATCCAAATTGGTTTGAAGAGCCTGCATTATCCGCATGGTCACTGTAGCTAACTGTGACACTGTCTCTCCCCCAGTTTCAAATTCTTGGAAGAGTTGATTTAACGTCGATTGGTAGCTGTACCAGTTTATGTATGCACAATTAGTACCCAGTTATGAAGCACAATAGGTTGGGAAATATGAATAGTCGATGTTTGGTTGGTTATAAGTCAAGGTCGGATGAACTTACTCGAAAAGGAATTTTACATAGTTAATAACATAGCTAGTCAGGGGATGAACAGTTCCATCCAGTACAGCTGTTTTAGTTGCATCCTTCTCAACAGCTTCTTCAAAATCGCCAAAAGTTTCTTGAGCTGTCTGGGCAAGCCTCTTTGTCAAACCAAATGTAGATTCCCTAATTTCAGCACAAACTTTACCGCCGAAAACTGACTCAATCTGCACAGGAAATGGCAATAAAGTTTTTAATGGCATCACCGTCCAATTCTAAGAGCAACTACTGAAATTGTGAAATTGCCACATCGGTTTATGCATTATGAATGACAGACACCTAGGGGGAAAATGCTGACAATAGTAAATGGTTAGAAAACAAATATCAAGAACCCACGCACGCCCTGCTATCAAAGAGAGAATTGATATATGTCAAACGGTTCAGACAACTAGTCAGAAGCTTGAACAAATCAAATTAGTCAGAAGTTTGAACATATCAAATTAGTAAAAGATGAGACCATAATTAATGTTTCTGAATCACCAATAAAAAAAATGTAGGGTGTAAGAGCGACAATAAAATGTTAGAACAGAGATGTAACTTCAGAACTGACTATGTAAAAAAATAACAAAATAAGACTGCAGCGAAAATGGGCTCATGAATCATGAGCACTGACTATGTAATCCCTGCCATATACTGCATCGACTACGAGAGCAACCAACAACAGTCTTAGTGAGTTGCTGTGACCAAACATACCTCCGAGTGAAGTTCTCGCATAATCTCATACATGTCTAGAAGCACGAACAATTTCTCTGGTGATCTCTTGCTTTTGGTTATGGCTTCTCCAAAACTGAGAAGCATTGACACATTATTGCCTGTGCTTTCGGCAAAACATTGATCTCGAAGAGAATCAAAGCCATCGAAGATTTGATCGCAAAGTCTCCTTTCACCAGCAAACAAGACCTTGACCTGCTCAAAGTATGATAAGCAACCAACAAGCAAAACAACAGAAGTGAGAGTATATAGGATTCAGTCCTTACTGCTATCCGCATGAAGTGAATCCAATTTCCAATCTTTGCTTCCAAGACCTCCCATTGCATCTTTTGAACATCTTCCTTACTCAGTCTCTCAACCCCCAGTTTCCTAAGGCTTTCTTCCAAAACTGAGGATCGTGTATCCCTGAAAACCAAAATAGGAGGATAAAATGAAGAGGCTCGAAGTGTTCAGATCAAGTTGAATCTGCCTAACATTTCAGAAATAGATTTCAACAATCACCACGCTAACAAGTGTCATCCTTACAAAGAACTAGTGAATTTTAATTCAATTTAGTATCACTGTATCAGAAATCGTTACTCTATGGATGGAAGAAGAAATCAAGTTGCTCAATCTCACTTTGCAGTTCACAAAAGCAATAACATCATATGAATATAACGAGATCTAGGGAAGGGACAGCCATAAATGGTTAGTATGAGCAAGTGAACCCCCCTTCAATTTGCTAGAAAGTGGGTTTATGATTTTCAATAAGGGACCAACAGAAATTTACCCATCACGGAGCATTAGAGAATGTTGAAGTTTCAAATTCCTAACTCAGTCATTCTTATAAAAGGAGAAGTTAACTTTTATGGCTTACATGAAGTTTATTCTTTTCCTTTCTTTAAAATATAAATCATGTATAAAGAGCTTATTCTTAATAGCCGATTTTTTTCATCCCCAGATATCCTACAGAGTAGAATTTCTGGAGAAGGCCCAACTCATTAGCACGATACAACGTTCACACAAAATGTCCTATGAACTAAATCAATCAAACTGCCTTCAGAAGTCAAGAAAATTACATGCATTGATCATAACTAAAAGGATATAAATTAGGAGACTGTCTATAAGCTCTTTACCTGTAAGTCTTCAACAATTGCTGCTGGTGCCCAGCTTGAACCATATGTACGGCAAGATCATGTAGCAAAGGAACAGTTCTTGGGGGTATCAGGACAAGGGGTTTAAAACTTGCAGCCTCCGCATTACTGTTCTGCTGCTCAGAATGGTTATGGGAATGAGGACCTAAGCCATTAGGGTCGCCGTGGTTTGCAGGGGATCCAGCAGAAGGTCGCATTGATTCTGGAAGGCACTCAAAAAGACGATCAGGCTCGACGGGTTTGCTGAAATAGGAAGACAAGAGAACATTTTTGGTGGATTAGTGCATAGAGCACATCATAGATATCATAGAGAACAATTCATGTAAAATTGCACAGAAGTATAAGCTCTGATGATGCAAATGATGCAAAGGGAAAAAATTCATATTACCGATGATCATTGATCAGAACTATCAGTGAATTGTTTCTAAGAATAAAGGTTGAGATAACAGAAAGTAATCATTGATACCTACGGCTTTTCCAGATATATATGGAAGACAGTAAAGCCAGCATGAAAGGATCAGAGGAACAAACATGTTCAATATGGAGGATGACAGCAAGCAATTTATCACACCATAAACAGACTGCCTCGTACAGTGATGACCAAGAGTTAAACAAAAAGAAAAAATCAGTCTTCATATTTGCAATTTGGTATTATATACACACAGTCTCCAGATAACCAATGCCAGACTTTGTAGTAACACATACCTGTAAGACGCTAGTAGCTGCTTAAATTCATCCTCTAGCTTTGATATGGCCTTAGCTAGTAAGTTATTTGCATTAGTGAGCACTGCATCCCCACTCTTGAAGCTTTTGTTACTGCTGAAGAAACGAATATTTTTCCTCAGCTGTTCAATAGCTTCCAGATAACTTTCAAGGTCCTCATGCGGTCCCCTCAATATTTGTGCCTCTGCCTAATGTATTAGAAGCACCACAGCAGGAAACAGAAATGCACAGAGAAGAGAGAGATATCAGTGGCATATACCAACAACTAGAACGCCCATTTTGAAGCCTAAAAATGACAGATAAATCTTTTGAATGATTTGAAGAATGGCACGAAAGAAAGTATGTGCGGTGAAACCTACCAAACTTGATGGTTAAAACGGCCAAGTAGGAGACTAGATTTTATAAGCAAAAGTACGATGGAAACCTTATTCAAATATGATTTTTGAACAGTAAACGGCGGGAAAATGCAAAACTACAAAGTCATGATATAAGTTATTCTTGGTGTCCAAACTCTGAAAGGAAACATAGATGTCTTCTTTAGAATTTGACAAAAATAGTAACAGAATGAAGAAGAGTTCAGCGTTTGGGAACGGCAGAAAGCCTCCACAAGAAGCTATGAGCTGCATGGGGCATACGAAAACAGAAATATCTTGGTAAAACAAGACACTGCATAAGCTAACTAGAGTGCCCATGTTCAGACTTCCATTGGACTTTCTGTTGGACTGCAACAACCATACTTCGGCTATAACAGTGACTCTGAGAAACAATAACTGACTAAATTAAGCCAAAACTCATGCACTGAATTCATCAAATTTCGACAGAGCAAAAAAAGAGTTCTCTCAAATCTATGAGATCCGAACATTGTTCCGTATTACAGAGCACCAAATATGTTGATAACAGGGAAGTATGCCTTACAAACATACCGTAAATGCACACGAAATTGGAAATTTCCAGAGGTCAGAGGAACCAACCTGTCGAGAGACGTCAAATTCAGCCAACAGAACCTCAGCAGCCTTGAGAGTCTTGTCTATGTTCTCATGAGCCTTTCGTATAGCATGCGTCCTAATCTATAACAGAAACAAAAACGAACAAAACGCAAACCAAATCAATCAAACGATTCAGAGAAGGAACAAATTATTCCAATGCATTACAGGTTCTTGTTGGTGTGAACAGTTCTATACAGCGGGAATTCTGCAACCTCGCAGATCAATCACAATACTGAAAGCTACAGTGAGCATTATCTGCCTACGGATGAACTGATTATTCACTTTGAAATCTCAGAAACCAAGTTCCTCGATGCTAGATGTAGTCAATCCAATCCAACAACAAAAACATCAAGAAGTCAAAGCACCGACTAGATCAAGAAGGGATCCGATGCCGCCTCCGGGGAACAGATAAATCAAAAACCGAATCCTCAATCAAATCGCACCAGCAGAAAACAGATTGAATCCACCAGCTAGGCAGTCAGCCATCAAGTTCCAGCTCCTAAAGAAGGCAATCGATCTAAAAGGAGGGTAGGTAGGTACCTGAGTGGGACGCATGGCGGTCTCGAGGACGGAGAGGCGGCTGTCGAAGGAACCGAGAATGGAGACGACGTTCTCGGTGATGGTTTGGCTCTTGAGAAGAGCTTCTTTCATCTTGGCGGCTCGGTCGCTCAGCGAATCGACTCCCCCTGCCATTGCTGCAACTGCCATTGTTTCTCCGAAACGAATTGGCTATACAATCGCGTTTGGCTGGTGGTGCTGGAACTGTGTCTCCTTCCTTCCTTGTTTCTGTAGCTTAAGCTGGCAGCAGCGGCTGGAGGTTAGCAGCGACAGAGAGAATCCAGGAGGAAGAGGATGCGTTTTTTGGAATTATGATTGAAAGGTTGGTTGCTCTTTTTCTGACTTTTTTCTTTGTGCTGTTTTTGGGCCGAAATGACGAGAAAGGGAGGAAAGATGGTGGACTGGGTGCGGGTGCCAGTTCAGGAAAACACGCGCTCAACCAACTATTTTTATTTTCTTTTTCGATTGGGTCGTTTCGGTTGTTCTCTTCGGTTGATGAGTCAGATCTGCACTGTGCAGTGTGTGAGGGGGATCGTAAATTCAACAATTCAATTTGCAAATTTTACGAGTAAAATGAAATTTTAATAACATTTAGACTAATTTAGTAAACAAGTTATCTCATAAGTCATTATTACATAACAAACGAAATGCCTAACGAGCTTTTCTCACACACTGGTTCGAAAATTTGCTCGCAGGGTGACTCGATTAGCGGTTTGTGAGTCAATTGATATATCATGTGTGAACTACTTATTGATGATCTACAAACGAGATGGTTAGATTTTGTGGCTAATTATGTCTCATTTGTGATTTATGAGACAAGTAAACATAACGTATTGTATTGATTGAATACTTATTACCGTTAAATGAATAAAATGATATGTAATGTGTTCTCAACTCGCCCAATTGATGCGGCGAGTGTTTCCCCCCGATTTGGAGGGAAAACCTTGTTATTCGCTCTCGAATATCCAAAGTGGATGTAGCATACACGATTTTCATGTGTGTTAGAAAATATGCAAAAATGTCTTGGCCTTTGCTTCATATGCTCTATGTACTCCAAGCTCAAGTATTATCCCGTCAACTAACAATCTACGCAGAAGAATGACAAACAACAGAGGAACATAATGCTCGAAGAACTACACTAGCATAAGGATCTTCAACACACACTTCCATACCCCCAAGGTCTTCAAATAAGTGGTTTGGGGTGTTCTCTATCATATAAATTACATCTTTGTGCAATTTGATGGGGACATAAAGGTCAGTAAGGGAGACACAATCAGATTCCATACGATGGATAAAATTCCTTTGTTTTTGGTTAATGATATGATTGCATTCGACATGCATATGCAACTATCAATTAGTCATCTGACACGCTAATTCAGAACAAGCTTCCCACAAGAACAAGTCGGGAGGAAATTCACTTATTTAAAATTTTCTTTTAATTGAGTTTATATAATATCATTTTGCTTCTCGGAATTTCAACAAAATTGTGCATGTAATAACAAAACAGATTTTTTCATCAGTAATTCAATTGCATACGAACTAAGGCATTTGATTGCAATCAATCTTCTAATTGAGTCTTATAATAGAACCCTTAAACCCAGTAGTCAAGTAAAAACAGAAAAAAAGAGACGAGACAAGGGATGGCAATGGGTCTGGTCGGGGACGGATAGTGCATATCCGTTACCCTACCCAAAGCAGTTCGGGTTTTACCCATACCCATACCCACATGTGAAACGGGTAGAAAATTAAAACCATGCCCATACCCGTTCGGGTTTCGGGTATCCACGGTTATCCATGGATAATAATTTCTCTTCATAACTCCAACCAATATGTTAACATTCACACGTATTCTCACATTAGTAAGAGGAAAAGTACGACAATAGTTCACTAGAATGAAGAAAATTAACTAAAACAACACAATTTCATAAAAATGTTATATTTATATGCTAAATATAAAATATGTTAGAGAAAAATAATAATTATTTCTAGAGAAAATACACATTCATGCGTATAATCGGGCAGGTTCGGGTTGGATAGTTAGAAACCCATGCCCACCCATTACCCGCAATATTCGAGTTCGGGCTTTACCCATACCCACTATATGTCTTTCGGGTTCGGATTTTACCCTACCCGATTATGCCGGATTCGGATGGATATCCACGGTTACGGATATTTTTGTCATCCCCAAGACACCAACCAAAAAACCACTGTTCTCGTCTACATTCACGTGCACCTCGACGCATCTTATCAGCCCACCTACTTGGCGTTTCTTTTTAACACTTCCGTTTCCACTTCTTCGCTTGTTGTAACCTTCCCCTCACATTTCTCCTCCCTCCGCCACACGCCGCCGCCGCCGCTTCCCCTCGCAGGCTTCCACTATGCAATCGACCTTCGTCTCCCTCCCATGCCATCACCCGGCGCCCGCTACACGGCCCCGCCGTCCCGCTGCCCTCCGGGTCGCTGCCCAATCCCCGCCCGCAGTCGCCACGCCGCCGCCGCAGTCACCGGCCGCCGTGACTCTGAAGCTCAACAAGTACAGCGCCCAGGTGACGGAGCCCAAGTCGCAGGGCGGGTCTCAGGCCATCCTCTACGGAGTGGGGCTCTCGGACGAAGACTTGACCAAGCCTCAGGTGGGTATCTCGTCGGTTTGGTATGAAGGGAATACATGTAATATGCACTTGTTGAAGCTCTCCGAGGCCGTCAAGCAAGGGGTTCAGGAGGCTGGAATGGTTGGGTTCAGGTTCAATACTATTGGGGTGAGCGATGCTATCTCTATGGGGACGAGAGGGATGTGTTACAGCTTGCAGAGCAGGGACTTGATCGCGGATAGCATCGAGACTGTCATGAGTGCTCAGTGGTATGATGGGAATATCTCCATTCCCGGCTGTGACAAGAATGTGAGTCTGATTTTTTTCGTTTCTTGTTGATTTCGGTGTCTATTGGTGGTTGATTTTCTGGGTTTTGATTGAATCGAGCTGGTTGTTTCTGTGCTGTTTATCGAACCAAATATGAACAGAAGCTTTTGTTCAGATTGAAGCTTTGCCTTCCTTTCTGTGTTCTAATTTAGTGGGTAGTGTCTCACTAGGTGATTAAGTGATGTATGCAGGGTGAAGTTTGCTGCTCCTGTTATGGTATTTGACCGTTCTTGAAAACTTACTTATTTTGATCCTGCACATGTTCGACAGATGCCAGGTACAATTATTGCAATGGGAAGGCTTAATAGGCCTAGTATTATGGTGTACGGTGGATCTATAAAGGTTAGACATGTTTTTCTCTTTCTGTCCATTTCGGTTTCCAGTTGATAGATTTTCCCTTATGAAATTTTACATCCTTTGTAAAAGCTTTCAGTTTTAGTAATGGAGTTCAATTCGTTTATGCTCAAAAGCAGAGTCAGGGGTTCTGGGTCTTAGTTTCATACGTTAATGAACTTTTACTAACATTTGCTAACAGCAAGTATTTTGCAGCCTGGCCATGTCAATGGCCATACCTACGACATAGTATCTGCATTTCAGGTATGAATCTCGCATGATCTTTGCTCGTTAATGTATATTTATGCAACGTTTAGGAAGAATATGGGTTGGTATATTAGTATTTTGTTCCAGGTTCTTATGTCTTCTGTTTCTTTTTATTTATTTATATATTTCTATCATTGTTTCTGTTGTAGGTTTATGGGGAATATGTCAGTGGAGCTATAAGTGACGAACAAAGGAAAGAAGTACTACGGAATTCATGTCCGGGGGCAGGTGCCTGTGGTGGAATGTATACGGCCAATACAATGGCTTCGGCTATTGAAGCCATGGGAATGTCTCTTCCATACAGGTTCGTTCATGCTATGTAGACTAAAATTGTTTATTTCACTGGTGTTAGTACTTTTGTATCTTATATGTTCTTTCTTTTTCCTGGTTCAGCTCCTCTCTACCTGCCGAAAGTGATTTGAAGCTGGATGAATGTCGGTTGGCTGGAAAATACCTTTTGGAGTTACTAAAGATGGACTTGAAACCACGAGACATCATTACTCCTACATCACTACGAAATGCAATGGTCACCGTCATGGCACTTGGTGGATCTACCAATGCTGTGTTGCACTTGATTGCTATTGCAAGGTTAGAAATTTTTTTCGGTCTCGCAAAATCAGAATTTTGGTAACTTTATTTTATTAGGAACTGTTGGTTGCTCACATAATCTTGGCAGGTCTGTTGGTTTGAACCTGACACTTGATGACTTCCAGAAGGTTAGTGATGAGGTTCCATTCCTTGCTGATCTGAAACCCAGTGGGAAATATGTTATGGAAGATCTTCACAAGGTATTACTATATATAGGATTGTGCATTTATCAAATTCTTTTACCAATATATCAGTTCTGTCCCATTGCATTGCCTATTGTTGCTTTACTTCATCTTCTGACCATTTTTTCACCTTGATGTGCAAATGGATATTACTTGGACAGATTGGAGGAACACCTGCGGTACTCCGCTATCTCTTGGAACTGGGCTTTTTAGATGCAGATTGTTTGACTGGTAAGTTGAACATTGTTTATGCGGTGATTTCTACAATAGTACTGATTCAATGGAGGAGTTCTACTAATGCTATGTAACATGCTGAACTTTTCCTTCAGTGACTGGGAAGACGTTGGCTGAAAATCTGAAATCCTGTCCTCCTTTGTCCGAGGGTCAGGTGAGGTTTTCGTTTTCTTTCCTTTAATATTTATGTGGCTATGCTATTTGAGGCAGCTGGATAGATGGTGAAATGAAATTTAATTTTTTTTATGTAATGGTGTAGGAAATCATAAGACCGTTTGACAACCCCATCAAGAAGACAGGTCACCTCCAAGTATTACGTGGAAACCTTGCACCTGATGGTTCTGTAGCAAAAATTACAGGAAAAGAAGGGCTTTATTTCTCTGGTGATTTTTCAATTCAGCTCCCATGCTACAATGTTTTGTTATTGGATGGCACATTTCAAGGACTATACTGAAGTAAATGTTTTCCAGGTCCGGCGCTCGTGTTTGAAGGGGAAGAATCTATGATGAAGGCTATCGCTGAGGATCCTATGAGCTTTAAGGTAAGTATGTTACTCTTGTTTCCCCCCTTAACTTTAGGTTTTCATGCAGTGACATTTGAGATGCGAAGGTTCTACACTACAGAGCTCTTTCTGATTTCCGTACTTAACTGTTTTAGGAAATGATTGGTGCTGTCTTGTTAATCATATAATTAAGTAGCTAAGTCAAACTAGGGATTCTCTTAGGAGCTTAAGTTTTGTTACAAGTAATAGCAAATTCTACCCACAGCTGAAGTGCTGAACCGATCCTAACACTGCCATCTCCATTGTTTTCCAGGGCAAAGTGGTGGTCATTAGAGGAGAGGGACCCAAGGGCGGTCCTGGCATGCCGGAAATGCTAACACCAACTAGTGCAATAATGGGAGCTGGTCTTGGGAAGGTTTGCTGCTGTGAAATGTTTTATTGTTCTTGATTAGCAGCCTCCAGATAAACTCTAATATATTATTTCTGTTTGGATAACACAGGAATGTGCATTATTGACTGACGGGAGATTTTCGGGTGGTTCACATGGATTTGTCGTCGGCCACATATGCCCCGAAGCACAGGTCTGCGAATCTCTGCTCATATTCTTTCCTTCTGATTGCTGACATTACTTGTCTTTTCAATAGATTTTTTCATATTCATTGTTCAATCCAATTCAATTGCAAGCATGATTAATCAAACAACAAAAAATTTCTGTCTCTCCCTGAATTTTCTTGCTAAATGCTTGCATGAAGAGCTTGGCACCTCTTCTCAACCATGAAGCATGATGAATGCATCTCTGAACACCACTTGGTAGATACTAAAAAGAGGGTAGTCTAATAGGTCATGAAAAATATTCAGAATTATCTTAAAATTTAAACTTTGAGTCCAGTATTTACTTATCCAATGCATAGTGATACAGTGGGAGCTAACACATTCTGTCAACATGATATACAGGAAGGAGGTCCCATTGGTCTTGTTAGAAACGGAGACGTCATCACAATCGATGTGAAAGAAAGGAGAATAGATGTTGAAGTAGCCGACGAGGAGATGGAACAGAGGAGAAAAACTTGGTCTCCACCCCCATACAAGGCTACCTCTGGGGTGCTCTATAAGGTAAAGTAACCGAAAAGCCGAAATAAAGGAAACACTGTATGCTCTTTCATCCGCATGCTTTTACTAAGAACTGCATCACTTTTCTTTTCATGTTTCCCAGTACATCAAGAACGTCCAGTCCGCTGCTAGAGGCTGTGTGACAGACGAGTAAAAAGAGTAGAGAAAACATGACATACTTCTCGGCAACTAGACACAACATGGTAGCCTCCAAAATCCATGATTGTGGTATTGATATGCTCCCTGCAGCTTCATCTCCACCGGTTGTTTCTTCCTTGAGAAAATCAAATGCGGCTATGGAAATTTTGGTTTAGAGTATGTAATCCCTGTGCCTGGTTTCAGTGGTGTTTCATTCCTTGAGTGATCTCCTGTTGATTCAACTTGGCAAATTTGATGCCTTTTCGATGAGCTTTGTTTTCTAAATTGTATAGAATGGAGTAAGTGATGGACTCGTGGTTTTGCTGATGAACAAGCAAAAAATGGTTGTTTTGTCCATTGATGACCAGCTTTTTGTTAGTCGTTGACAGTTGCAGAGCTATCTGTATTCTATATCTCCACCGACCAGGTGCTACAATTATAGAGTGTGTATGCTTCAGCAGCCGTAGTTAGAATAGGCTTTCGTCTTCTCGCTCACTTAGATTGCCATCCACCATGGATGTGTGAAATAATTTCCATCACAGGAGTTATAAAAGGGTGGCTTTAAGGTGAGAAGGGCAAACAGTACAAGCTTTGTCGTTCTATACAAAACAATGGCTCAACAGAGAAGTTCAAGAGAGAGCAGAGCGAGCGACAAGCCTACAGTGGGTGGCCACTTATACATGGAAGGAACTGTACCTCAATACACACACAGAAAGGAATGATACCGGACGACGGATTCTTCGTGCTTCACCCAATCTTGGAGAATATGAGTCCCCCCCTTTTCTTAAAGGGTGGGTTTGACTCAAAATTTGATATCCCCAGTCTTGTAAGCGGATGATAGATGCTTCACCAAATTGTTCAGGATGTAGACATTGCTTTATAACCTTCCTTCTCAAGAAGACTTACTATCTCAATATCCCCAGTCTTAATAATCCTTCCATCCTCCTACAAATACCATACCAGGGCACACAATTAGCTCGAAGCACAGCAAGACATTGACATGACAAAGAAACTGGTCCATAGGATGCAAGTGACATTGTAAGAAAACCACTACTGAATGGAGTTTTATGATTGGGATACCATGATATGGACGAAGGCAGGCTTGATGAATTCCAAAAGCCGTCGATAATGTGTAACCATCAAAACAGACTTCTTAGGCGTCAAGAGTCCATTTACTGCTTTTGCGACATCTTGGAGAGCATCAACATCCAGACCAGAATCAATCTCATCTAAGACAGATAAATCTGCTTCCAAAACCTGAAATAGGCAGAATAGCATTGGCATACTAGACAAATATGATTCGATGAAAAATAAGAGAAACACAAGCAGAGCCAATATATAACTGTGCATGCGTGTCCAATATATGTGACAATGCAGATCCGTACCCCATCGAATACAATGACATCGAAATGTTTATGAACATGGAATTACGCTGCTAGCTAATACTTCAATCATGTAAACAAACATCGAAGGAGATGCAATTGTACTACAGTTCTAATCAATCCACAAATATACTAGGCTATGTTTACGCATGCACCACAGCGCGCCAAGACCACCTTGCATAAAAGTGCTTTCTGATGCCAAATATCAAGTTCACAACAAAAAAAAGTCTGACTGAAGTATCTAACCATTTGATTCATTAGGAAAAGGAAGCCTAACCATGCGGACTTTTATCAAAGCAACTCCATAATATAGAACTTAGTTCAGCAGACCACAGATTCAGATATGAAGCATTACCGCAAGCTGTAAAATCTCGTTCCGCTTCCTTTCACCACCACTGAACCCTTCGTTAACATTTCTATTAAGAAAATCACTCTTCATGTTCACAAGCTCAAGCTTGGGAAACAGGTACGCATAGAACTGCCAATAAAAAAGACAAGTCAACAGTTAGTTTAAGCTAATAAGTATAGCTAGAGATGGCTTTCACTTGTGCTTGTGCACAGACATAGTCTGCAGAAAGAAACTAATGGGCTGCAAAGATTAACAGGACCTATGGGGCCATTGCATAAAAAGGGGAAACAGAATTGGTTACTGAATGGATTGCTTGTCTGCACCTCTATCAAATCAATCGGAGTTCCATGTTTTTGGAAGCTATGACATATTAACAATAAAACATCCAAAATCATGTGCCGTAGATACTGGTGGAGAAAATGAACACAACAAAATTCAAAGGGAAGACACTTGGGCAAGCAAATGAAAATAGGAAGGATACCTCAATTGGTCCAAGTTCAGGAAGACCAAGTTTTCTTCTTCGAGCATTGTAAGCCATATTTAGGAAGTCACTATTGCTGACACCAGGGATTTCAACTGGTGACTGAAAGCTCATAAAAAGCCCTGCAAGAGACCTATCCTCAGGTTCCATGTCAAGCAAGTTCTCGCCTTTAAAGATAACGCTTCCACCAGTAACTTCATAGTGTGGATGGCCAACAAGAACCTAAAAGCAAAAGTGTATTAAGATTTAAGACTCACGAACAAAACACCACCCACAAATCCAATCGGTCACCCATCAATCAAGCCAACCAACACACGATCTTGAGAACATCGGATCCAAAAAACAAATTCCAGGCAACTCAATACCAAAAGCAATCATATATAATTTCACCAACATTCCCACCCACAATCGGCGCCAATTTAAACCAGCATGGCTATCATCAGGTCCGCTCCCTAGGCAAAACCAAGGTTATCAACAGCCAACAGTATCAAGTGAGAAGACAGACTACTAACCTTGGAGAATGTGCTTTTCCCAGAACCATTTTTGCCCATTATAGCATGGACCTGTCAATCATCGCAGCAAAAGATGAAAAATTTATCAGTTGAATGCAACAAGGTAAACCAAATTCCAGAAACAGATAGAAAAACCGTATTAAACTTCTAAGTCAATATACCTCCCCCTCATTCACCACTAGGTTTACGCCCTTGAGGATCTCCTGTCCCGTCTCGGCAATCACGGCCTTCAAATCTTTGACTTCCAGCAACGGCTTCTTCCCCGAAGCACCGGCAGAGTCATCAGAATCAATGGAGGGGAGAGCCGACGCCGTCAGACGACTGACGGAGAGGCGGCGGTGGTTGGTGGAACCGATGCAGAGACGAATCGGATGGATAGGATGAGGGAGGAAGTTGAAATTGAAGGGCACCCGATTGGAACTCGAATAAGCAGCGGCAGAATTCGGCGTCGGAAGGACCGACGGGCGCGAGGAAGAGGAGCTGCTTAGACGTTGAGCCACCATGGTTGAGGAAGGAACGGACTCGTTCGCCGAACCGGCGGCTGGACTCTGGAGTAGGAAGGGGGCAGGCACGGAAAATGTCGCCGCTTACCAAATCTGTACTACAACTACTTTTTAAAAAAACAATATATATAAACTATATAGAGAAAAAACAAAACAAAAAAAACAGAAACGGAAAAAATAAATAAAAAAAAAACAATTACTTAACATTTTAGGCAGCAACCGGCTAGCGCAACGCAAACCAGCTGGCCCAAAACGACGCCGTCTGCCTCTGCGGCTCCATTGCCACCGCCGCCGACACCGGCCTGGCCACATCATCCGGCGCCCTGGTCCTGGGCTCCTTATTCGCACCCGCTGCCGCCGAACCATCATCCGCCTTGGCCGCCGACCGGCGGCGGCAGATGGGACACGTGGACCGGCGGTGATTGATCAGCCAGGGATCGACGCATGACGCGTGGAAGGTGTGGCCGCAATCCGGGAGTAGACGGAGGACGTCGCCGTCGGCGTAGTCCGCCAGGCAGACCGCGCAGCTGCAGCTGGACCCCACCACTGCCGACGTGGAACTCTCAGTACTGTCGGCGGCCGTGTAGACGAACTTGGGGAAGCGGCTGAGGACGGCGTCGACGTCGATCCCCTCCACGTCAACGACAACGTCGGAAACAGAGGACTCCTCCTCGTCGTCCTCTTCGGCGTCGTTGACGAAGTTGTTTCCCGTGGGGGGACGGCGGGTGCAGAGGTACCAAACGACGATCAAGATGGCGACGAGGGTAAGGGCTCCGATTGAGACCCCGAAACCAATCCTAAAGGGGCCGTCGGGTTCGCCTAACGATGAAGAAGCAGAGGAAGCAGGATCTGTTTCCGTCATGGGAGAGAGTGGGAGAGGTTGCAGATGAAAAGGAGGAGTTGGATTGAATTTTACTTTCATTACTCTGTATTGCTGGTCAATTTATGCACTTTTTTTTTTTTTTTTTTGTCAACCATTGGTGCTGTTGAAGGAGCGAATTGGGGCCGTTGCTGCAACTCTCATAGCATATGCGGACATGTCGTGTACAATGATGTCAGAGACAAAAGATCATAAACGCTTTTAACAATTGTTCGGCTACTTTTGGGGAAATAAGATATAGTGTTGTGAAGTCAAGTAGACAGTTAAGTGGCCATTCGCAAGTTGGGGTGGATGGGTTGTTATTTGTTAATAATAGATCGACAGGCTGTTGTGGGAAGTTCAGCAGTACTGTACTGATGCTGGTACCTTTGGGAAATGATAGAATTGGAGTGGGAGGAGACAGCGACGGCCGACTGGGAATTTTTTTATGTTGGGTTTCACAAGGAGCCGGAGGGAGAGGGGCCGGGAGGTATTGCGATTCTGATGGGGTCAATGGAGCTCTGGATTGGTTGTTAATGGTGGAATGAGAAAAGTCGGAGACCCGGCCGGCCTTCAGCCAACAAACTGAAGAAGGAAGCAGATGAGATGACCTAATGTACATAGCTGCTCCGCCAGGTCATTTGGGTTGGGCTTTTGCTCTATGTAATGCGGACAACGTGGCCTGCAGAGTTAGGCCCATTTTGATACGGGCTCGGACCACCATTTCGTTTGGGTTGATTGTCCTCGCTTGCATTTGTGCGATCTCTTGTATGTGGATCTTGATTCGGACCTGTACATAGGCGTTGGGCCGTGTTTGGGCCGGCATGGTACGGGCACGCTTTAGAATCGGACATTCGTTTGCTAAAAAAAGTGAAACTAGTCATGTGGCCTCATTAGTCAATTTACAAATTAATATGAAAAATAAAAATTGATGGGTGTGTAAATGCAGTTATTTCATATCGAGAGTGAATAGCGTGCTAATACCCTTAAGTGTTAGCATCATACTAACATATTCATTAATGGTATCATAGTATTTTAACCCTTCTCTATTTCCCTTTCTCTTCTCTTCTATTCACGTTATATTTTCATGTTTTATTTGCAAATTACAGTTTTGATACATGAACTTAATAGGTATTAATATTTAGTACCTAATTTTTTTTTATTTGAGTACTAAAAATATCGATGAAAATTTATATTTTCGTATCTGAAATTTTTTCTTTACATTTTGGTACCTAAACTTTTAAAATTTATAAACGGGTCAATTACTTGTGGCATGCTTTATAAACTTGTAGCATGCTTTGTGGATTTGTGACATGCTTGGGGAAGTTGTGGCATACTTTGAGGTTGTTGCATGATTTGATAAGGTTATGACCTGCTTTGAGGTTTGTGGCATGCTTGGCAGAGGTTGTGGTATGGGGTTTGTGACATGCTTGGAAGAGGTTGTGGTCTGGTTCGTGTTCCCCTCTTTTCCTTCCTCCCCTTCCCCAATTTTTCATAATATCGTGTGCCCCTCCTTTCCCTCCCTTATCATCAATTGTGATCAACTCATTTAAATAGAAATGTCATCTAAACGAAATGTTCTGATTGGATGGAACTAGTGTTAGTACGGTAGTACCATACTAACAAAAAAAAGTGTTAGCACCCTAACCCCTCAATTTCTTATTTTACCTTATTTTTTGTCTTACATTTTTCAAACATATTCTTCCCTAGCATCACGATTAAAAGGTCCTCATATTTGCTAAATTTTATTTTTATGTTTCTCCTGAACTTTCAAATGGGTATAATTTTATTTTATTTTTGTCTTACATTCTCAATAACTTTCAAAGTAATTAAATCGATTCTCTATTTAATGAAGTAAAGAACACGCTAGTGACTGATAACTTTTATTAAATGAGACTTGAGAACAAAATGGCAGCACCAGATATAAATGACACAATTCACACATCTATAATCTATATTTATCAAAGAATTTATTTTCCCGTCGCCAATGTTTTGTTTTTTTTCAAACGGCACGAGGCAACAAGTTACGATCCCTTATTATTACCCACCACCGCCGAAACATCACCATCACTCTTGAACTCCGACTGGCGGCGGCAGATGGGACAAGTGGATCGCCGCTGATTAATCAGCCACGGGTCCACGCACGATGCGTGAAACGCGTGGCCGCAATCTGGGAGCAGACGCATGACGTCGCCGTCGGCGTACTCCGCCAGGCAGACCGCGCAGCTGCTGCTGGACCCGACCACCGTCGGCGTAGAATTACTCTCGTCGTGGTCGTTATTAATTATATTTGTAACATTGTCAGTAGTAGTGGTACGACTGTCGTTGGCCCTGTAGACTATTTTAGGGAACCGGCTGAGGACGGCGTCGGCATCGATTCCCTCCACATCAACGACGACGTCGGAGACATGGGATTCCTCCTCGTCCTCCTCGTCGTCGGAGTAGTTTGCGGTGGTGGGAAGGTGGCGGGTGCGTAGGTACCAAACGGCGATGAAGATGGCGACGAGGAAAAGGACACCGACGGTAACCCCGAAACCAACCCGGAAGGCCTCTCCTAGTGATGATGAAGAAGGAGCTGTCATGACGGATCGAGATTCATATCATATATGATAAATCTGTCTAGCTAGTTTATATATGGAGATTGCAGATTCTGCCATTTTAGTTTCTTCTATATATAGTGACCTCCTCAATGTCAACGACGATTGATATAGTTTGATATTGCAAGTTGAAGGAGCAAAGGCGGCCGCCGGAGCTCATAAACATGCTACATCGTGTTCGATGATGTCACTGACAAGTTGAGACCATACGCCAGCAGGCTTCCGTTTCCCCTTTTTGTTAACAAAAAGGCTATATGAAAAGGTTTGGCATGCACGAGCCATACCATTTCACGCAATAGTGTGATTGTTATTAATTTGGATCCGCCGGCGACGAACGACAATCAAACTCGTGATCGCGGGTACTCGATCATTCTCGACCCAGTCAACTGAGAGAATCCGTAATTTTGAGCTCAGTTGGCAAGTTAATTGCTGCGTTGATTGGGTACGCATGGGTAAAGCTCTGCAAAAAATCTGATGGGTATGGTTTTAGCTTCCCCCGTCTCATATCCATAAACCCATCTCTCACAAAGAACATTTCTTCACAAATAAAAAATACATGAATCAAATCGTAAGCTATCAATGATAGTGATTAGTGAAGGTAACTCGAGAAAATAAGTAGTTTATATGCAATTGGGTGACCATCCAAATTCAAACCTAGTTCATTTTCTTTCAATTCTTCATTCTTTCACTTTTTCCTTTTGTTAACAAGATAATTATGTTAGTTAATTATTACCTAGTAGATGTATCAGAGTCATAAACTAATAATTTGGAAAATATTATACTCTATTTTATTGATTAACGGATGTTTTAAGATCATATGATTTAAAATGTATTAAGAATGATTGTATCTTTGTAAACTTCATGATATAGTAGGTTTGTTTAGCGTTATAATTGAATATTTACATATAACATTTAAGGTATAACGATGTTGGATGTACGTTCCCCCGCATAGGTATGGGGCAAGTATGAGTTTGGATATTTGAAAGCGGGGATGGAGATGGCTTAGGCAAACCCGCCCCATTACCATCCCTATTATTCACGCAACCTGGTGTTTATTCACGCGGTTGTAAAATCAATTTTGAAATATATAAAAATTGATGTTATTGTGTAGGTTATAATCAACGCAACTCATTTTTACATAAAAATTGAAAATATAATTTAATTTTATAAAATATGAAAAATATAAATGACAAGAGATAAAAAGAAAAAATCGAAATTCTATTTGCATGAATACTCTTAATATGAATATACACCGAATTACATGGATGATCACCAAATACTTGTGAAGTCAATTAGCAATTTGCATGTTGGTGGTTGGAAGGTGGATTATAAAAAGACTAGGACCAATCAAGTCATAGTTTTTGGAATCTTTAGTCATTATTTGTAATTTGTATCTAATGCGCAGCATGAATCGCATGTTATAATATACAACTAAAAAAAAAGACTTAGACTTAAACTTAAAAAAATAAAAAAGACTTGACCTCGCTCTCAATTCCCAAATTGATCTTCGTACAGATTACCTTGGGTGGTTTGGATGGAGTATTTGTATGGGTTATTTGCGTTCAAATAACTCACAATAAGTTATTTGGACGCAAATAACTCGTTTGGCAGCGTTTTACTGAAACGGGTTATTTGGACAGTGAGTTATTTACAAATAACTCAAAACGAGTTATTTGAAATAACTTATACCCATGTGTTATTTCGAAATAACTCGTTTTATCACTCTGCTTTTACCAAATACCACATGTCAATTACCACTGAAATAACACTGAAATACCACATGAACAATAAATGAGTTCTTTGACTCTACAAATACCACATTACCAATTAACCCATCCAAACGACCCCTGGAAGTTTTTAACTAATAATGTCAGTGAACAGTGGGTTGTCATAATGGATGTCGTTTCGTAGAAACAAATTAAACCTGCGATTTCCAATGAAAATTGAGGTTCTTCATTGGTTTATTTGTTGGGTTAATTTTCAATGTGATATTTGTAGAGTCAAATAAATCATTTTATTGTTCATGTGGTATTTCAGTGTTATTACAGTGGTAATTTAAATAAGTATCTCGTTTGGTTGACTATGCAAATGTGATATTTGATAAAAGCAGAGTGGTAAAACGAGTTATTTTGAAATAACACATGAGAATAACTCACTGTCAAATAACTCATTTCAGTAAAACGCTGTCAAACGAGTTATTTGTGTCCAAATAACTCATCGTGAGTTATTTGAACCCAAATAACTCATACAAATATTCCATCCAAACGGATATAACCAAACATGAAATTTTTAGTAATTTCAGTGGCCAACTTTGCAATTTACCCTTCATTAATTGGATCTTGAACCTTGTTCGATTAATTCCAGTTTTCTTACTTAATCATCAACTGAATCTATCCATTTATTATCGGCCAACCTATATTCAGGGTGTGACAAGAATAGTATGGGGATGTTTGGATGAGAAATTCTAATGGATCAATCTGAAATAATTGTCTCGTTTTGAGACATTTGAGTCAGATTGACTCGTTTGTCCGCAAATGATTTCAATGAAGTCATTTGGGCTGGAGAATTATGAATTGACTCGTTTTGAGGAACAAGTAAATTCAAATTGACTCGTTTTAAATAACTCATTTGATATAACGAGAAAATTGACTAAATTGTGGTGTTTTGCAATAGATATCTCAAAGGAAATTATCATTCATCGCCTATTCGCCGTCCAATTCCAAACTTTTTTACATGCCCTAATTCCAATTCCAATTCCGTCCGTCGTTGATTCCATAAAACTCATTAAAAAAAAAAAAAGGCTGCAAACCACGACTCCTTTTCACTTCTCCAGCCTTTCTTGCTGGGATTAGATCATTAGAACCAGTGAATGGTGGTCGGTCCCTTTCCCCTTTCAAAACAAACTTTAATCATGGCGTTTTTCTCTTTCGCAGAATTAAGAAATACTTTAATCTTCCACCTTTGTTGTTCTTTGCCTCTTCCCTTGTCGATTCCGCGCAGCCGCAATGGAAATAGGAACCACCCACCTCACAGCTGACGCTTGCAAGCCTAAGCCGACAGCTGATTCTGAATGCTACTGCCCACATGAAACTATCCTTCGTCTTATTAGCTGCTCTTATTGTACCGGCCTAAGCGGGGATTAATATTGACGCAGGAGAGCAGCGGTCGTAGTCTCCGAGCTGCAGTTGTAGCGGTGGAGTTTACGGCCCTGCGAACGCCAAAATTGACAGCGGAGATGGTGGAAATTGCTGGCAGTAGACTGTGTGTGGTTCACGAAGCGTAATCACCAGAGTTCCTGGATGAAAGCAGGAGAAGATTGATGGTGGGAAGTTGGGGGAAGTGAAAGCCCAGGGGTTTTAGAGAAGTCGAAGAGGGTTATTTGAGGTCTGACGTGGATGATGTGGATTTAAGGGAAGGCTGATGTGGCAGGAGTTCAGATCTGAATGTCCTTTCAAAGATAAGACGTATATATACCTGTGGAGCCAGCCATCATGCTAAGAACTGCATAACTTCACACTCTCTGCCACTGCTTTCAGACACCCTCTGAAGCGTTCTGAAAACTTTTCAGGATTTCGGAAAGTTTTTGATCTTGATTTCCTTGGTCTCCTTTCTTCACTTCCATGGTTATTGTTAGTTGCAGAATGTTCCTGTTGCCAGCCATTTTCCTGTGTTTGGTCGTGCCAAGAATTTAATTGTGGTATGTAGTCTGTGTATCTTTATCAATGCTAAAAAGTTTATATTTTCAGTAAGCAAGACGGCTGTTGTCCTGTCATATTTGTTCTCTCGTTTTACTTGTGCTTTTCTCCTCAGTTTCATGTTAACAGTGGAATCGCACTTTGGACGAGTTGGAGTTCCTGAGGATTGTTAAAGAGGGGCGTTGGAGTGTACTTGCTGGATCATTTTGTGAACTGAAACGTCCACCGTTCTTTGGCATTAGAATTCTGGTGCTTTTCTTATCGTTCTGCTAACTTATTAATGTGTCCTTGAGTTACTTGGGTATCTGAAATTCTAATCCTTGAAATATATGTATCAGTATCACATTGTCGTGTACTGTCCTTGGAAATCAATATGGGGGAGTGGGTTCACAGTTTTTCATCGTTCTTATGAAGTTGGATGTCGTGTGTACTCATCTATTTTTTTCACTCCTGTAGGGTTATTTGCTAAGATGGCTTCCTGGCAGCCGCTGGTTTGGTTTTGTAAACCAGTGGCCAATGGATTATGGGCAAAAGAACTGGACACTGCCTTTGGAGCTTACACCCCTTGTGCGATTGATTCTCTAGTGATTTGTACATCATATTTGACACTGTTCGGTCTATGCATCTACCGAATGTGGTTGATTAAGGATACGAAAATTCAGAAGTACTGTCTAAGGACAAAGTACTACAACTACATACTGGGGTCGTTTGCTGCTTATTGTACAGCTGAACCTATATTCAGGCTGGTGATGGATATTTCAACCTTTAAAATGGAGGGAGAGACTGGTCTGGCTCCCTTTGAGGTAAGACTTGTCTTTGTTAAAAAAGTTTCTTTGAGTTTTATGTATGCTTTCCAAGTTTAAATGTATATATGTGCCATTGAACTGTTGGCATTTGAGTATGGTCAGAGAAGATATGATTATCCAGCACCTCTAAATGACAATCCTATATCCCTTCAAAAAGTGTACTTTGCTGCCTTTAGTTATGTGATAATGTTGGTGCTGACCATACATGGAAATCAGTACTTCGCATAAGAGAGCAGCACATGCATATAATCTTTTTTACTAAAATGTCCTACCAAATAATGTTTTGTTATTTTGGACTTTGTTCTTTGTGGCCTTCAGATGTTTTCTTTGGTCACTGTGGCCCTCTCCTGGTGCTCCATGCTTTTTATGATCAGCTTGGAAATTAAAATATATATCTTTGAATTCCGATGGTACGTGAGATTTGGAGCCATTTATGTGTTGACAGCGGAATGTGTAGTGCTCAATCTCATTCTGGCAGCGAGTGATTACATCACCAGGTAAGCTTCTACACTGTTCTTTGTGTTAGTCTGCTCTGTTCTTTTTTCTAATTTAAACAGTTAAAGATATATATATTTGAAGGTGAACCACAATGACTGTTGATTTTCATGCAGATTGGCCTTCTACATATATGTGGGCACATTTATCTGCAAGGTTTGTGCCCTCCTTTGCACAAGTGTCGCCTTTCAGCTAGTTCTTTTTTATTTTCTTTTGTAGCCTATTCGAGATTCTTGTGCCCTCTATATGCAGCTTGGTACTAACTTGACCTCATGCTGTCTGATTGTGAACCAAACAAGTTATTATAGTTCATTTGCAGCATGAATATAGTAGCTTGTTATTGGTGGTTCGCTTGTACTGGGTAGCAGAGAAAAATCGTGGTGAAGATAGGCTGTAAACAGAAACACGGTTTCTTCTGACTTGGAACATATTGTGGGCCCTAGTTATAGCAGCAGTGGACTTAGGTCAAGCCATTTGATACACAACAAGGCTTATGCTCTTTTCGCAGGAATCTTTTCCTTTATGGTTCTGCCATATAATTCCTTTCTCACCTCTGTAAACAATCTTGGTTTGGTTTGTAACCATGCTCTGTTGTATCAGGTTTTATTTGGAATTCTTCTTTTCATTCATGTGCCCACAATGGATCCATATCCTGCTTATGTCATGTTGGAACCCAAGCCCCATGACAATGTTGGGTATGAGGCCCTCCCTGGGGAAGAGAAAATATGTCCTGAGAGGCACGTGAATATCTTTTCCTGTAAGTGTCCCCTTGTTTGGCTGGTTTTCTCTTAAATAAATAGAAGTCATGGACTTCACAGTTACTCACTGATAGCTACTGACTTCACTGATGTGTGTTAGGGATGTATTTTGGATGGATGACCCCACTTATGCGGCAAGGCTTCAAGAAACCCATCAATGAAAAGGATGTCTGGAAGTTAGATGCATGGGATCAGACTGAAACGCTGATTATTAAGTTTGTGGTTTGTTTGCTTCTCTCCAGTTTAGTGTGCCAAACGTCTGCCACTTGCATAATGTTGTGTACCTGTCTAACGTTGACAGGTTCCTGAAGTGCTGGGGTGAAGAATCTAAAAAGCAGAACCCATGGTTGTTAAGAGCTCTAAATAATAGCCTTGGTGGAAGGTATAAAGTTACCTGCTTTGATCTCCTCCTTTCCATGTTTTTCTTCCGAGGCAAATAGCTAGTTCACTATCTTGTGTCATTTTAAACTAGGGCCTTCTTGGTATGAATTTAATCTATACACATTCTTTCTGTAGGTTTTGGCTGGCGGGACTCTTTAAGGTAATAAGCTCATACTTGTATAAATAATTAAATATGAATATGATGTTCGGCACTAAAGTCTGATGGAGCAGTTGCTTCGAGGTTTCACTAATTGCATAATTGATATGGTGGCTATGACCATTCTGAACTTAATGTAGATCGGCAATGATCTTTCTCAATTTGTGGGTCCTGTTATCATGAACCATCTTTTACAGGTTTGCTTTCTCTTATCATAGCCTAGATTTTAATACAGAATCTCTATGTTTGTGCTATTCATGAAAATAACTATGATGTGGATTGTTAGGTGATCCTACAAAATCAGGTGGTTAAAACAGCCCAACTACTAGTATGTTTCAAGTCACTGAAAGAATATGTATGGAAAAAACTGCAAAATATAGGTGTTTTCTGTTATTGGAATAACTAATGAGACCTTTACTTTTTTGGACCATAAAAGTTTTCTTTAAGACTTAGGGTACAAATGTCTGATTAATTATTGAGCTCTGACATCATTCTGATTCTATCATCTTCTTCCTTTTGATGTTATTGCACGTTTTTAAGTTCTTATGTTCCTTTCTGCAGTCAATGCAACGTGGGGATCCTGCTTGGATTGGTTATGCATATGCTTTCTCGATTTTTGTTGGTGTGGTATGGATGATTCTATCTCATGTTCCGTACTTCCATTGAACATATATAAGTTGGCTTAATATAGTTAGTGCAAGTGTAGGAGAAACATTTTGTTGCTGTCTTGCTGACAAAGACATTACATGGAAGGGCGAAACTATGTTTGCCATATCAATCTTCATTGCTTTATAAATCTCCATTTGGTTGGCGTCTTGTGCTGTTGGGGAGTCTTTTAACGTTACCCTCATGTGTTATAATCTATCTAGTCCTTTTGTCATGAATTCAACAACTGATTTTAGAAAAAGTTGGCAAGGAGTAAGATGACAACCAGCCCGACATAAGTGGAGCAGGTAGGAAGACGACTGAACTGCTTGGAGCCTGAAATAACTGCATGAATTGCTGGCTCTCATTGTGGGTCAAGTCATGTCACGAAAAACCAATAAATGCTTCTCTGAGATCTTAAAACCAACTAATCCTATCCATCCCAAGCCAAGCCAAGCCAACTCAGATTTTGACGTCTAATTTGATCAGCTGTCTCTGTGTTTGCTACATTATGCTTATGTATCATTGGTTAGGATTGCAGTACCATACTACCATTATATATTACTATAATTTTTCTTTATTTTTTTTATCGTTGGCTCATCCAGTTTATGTTGCCTTCATATCAGTTTGGTAATTGTTTCTCTCTAATATGGAATTTTTAAATGATTATAGCATTGAATGTGTGGCTCACCCATATGTCTTTTGTGTTGCTTAATTTTTCTTTTGTTTATTCATTCAGTCGTTCGGGGTGCTCTCTGAATCCCAATACTTTCAGAATGTGATGCGGGTTGGTTTTCGCCTGAGATCAACATTGGTAAGGTTTCTGTTTTGTCATATAGTATGGGTTTTTCCTTTTCTGATGGATATGGAGTATTGCCTGATGGAGCTCATCCTTTGTCATGCAGGTGGCTGCCATATTCCGAAAATCCTTGAGACTAACTCACGAGGCCCGCAAGAACTTTCCGAGCGGGAAGATCACAAATATGATCACTACAGATGCCAACGCAATCCAGGTATGTATAATCTGATACTTAATTTTTTTGAACTAAGGGACATGAATAATGAAATGCCGAATCATCAAGCAATCAACGTGGTTGGAACCTATGTTTTGATTATTACATTTCAGCTAATATGCCAACAACTTCATAATCTGTGGTCGGCGCCATTCACAATCACCTTGTCTATGGTCCTTCTCTACCAGCAATTGGGTGTTGCTTCTCTCCTTGGATCGTTACTCCTCGTTCTCATGATTCCTGTACAGGTAATCGTGTGAATTTATTCTAATCCAGAACTTTGAATGTATCCTTTAAATATCCTTTTCCCCCAATTGGTACCTTCTCCGGTTGAAATGCCTAACAACGCTATCAGGGAATACCAATAGACAGTTGTGATCAGCAAAATGAGAAAACTAACCAAGGAAGGGTTGCAAAGGACAGATAGGAGAGTCAGCCTCATGAATGAAATCCTTGCAGCAATGGAGACTGTGAAGTAATTTGTGATTAATTAATCTTGTCAATGCATCATTGGATCGAAGACAGTTTGATGACTTGCTCTAACATTTTTCAGATGTTATGCTTGGGAGAGAAGCTTTCAGAATAGAGTTCAAGGCGTACGGAATGATGAGCTGTTATGGTTTCGTGGCGCCCAGTTGCTTGCTGCTGTATGGCCCACACACTCTCTTACCGCTCTATGCTTGCTTGCATTTCCATCATAAACCCGAATTTGGAATTTGCTGTTCTGATATATTGTACAGAAACTGTATGGTTTATTGATTCGTTGCCTTCTATTGCAGTTCAATACTTTTCTGCTCAACAGCATACCAGTTGTTGTGACATTGGTTTCATTTGGAACTTTCACTTTACTCGGTGGAGATTTGACACCTGCGAGGGCATTTACATCACTCTCTCTGTTTCAATTGCTACGGTCTCCTTTGAACATGCTTCCTAACTTATTAAGCCAGGTCGGTCATTTTCTCTTCACTGTGGCTTTTAGCCGAATTGCTAATAAAAATCACCAGGCCATATGTTTTACTATTAACATTTAGAATCTTGTTCACTAAAAGCCGTTGTTTCTCGCATGTTAAATGGAAGTATGAGAAGTATATGTAACTTCTGCTGGGTACCATATAGCATGCTTGTTTCCTGTCATGACCAGATTTGCACTATCTAATCTTTTTGAAGGCTGTAACTGCAAATGTTTCCATCCAACGTCTGGAGGAACTATTTATGGCTGAGGAGAGAACTCTGGCGTTGAATCCACCACTTGAACCAGGACTTCCAGCCATCTCTATCAGAGATGGATACTTTTCGTGGGAGTCAAAGGTCGATCTCTTTGTTTTCTACCAACCATGCTAAATTTTGGTCGTTGTCAGCAACATACAAGCTAGTTTTGAGTTATTTATTCTTTCCCATCTGGTAGCTTATGCAGTTTTCAATGGTATAATGATACAACATAAATTAAATTTCGTGGCAGATGGCACAATGTTGTAGCTTTGATTTCTTTAGTTAGTTCTGAATCTGCCCTTACTGTTGTCAAAGCTTCTGTGTGGCTTTCGGGTTTCACCCTTAAACTTGTGCCTCTCAGGCAGTGAAGCCTACATTGTCGAATATCAATCTAGATGTATCAGCTGGAAGCTTAGTAGCGATTGTTGGTGGGACTGGAGAAGGAAAGACTTCACTTGTCTCAGCAATGATTGGAGAACTGCCTGCTGTAGCAGATACTAGTGTTGCAATTAGAGGAACTGTTGCTTATGTCCCTCAAGTTTCTTGGATTTTCAATGCTACTGTGAGTTCTTCCCTCCTTTCTTCTCTATTTTACTTTTATCATCATCTATTTGTTACATGCACTTACATTGATCTGTTCATTGTTCCAGTTGCGTGACAACATATTGTTCGGATCTGCATATGAACCTAAACGATACTGGAGAACAATTGATGTGACTGCATTACACCATGATCTCGACATACTTCCTGTTAAGTGAATTTCGTAAACCTTTTCTTTTCTCCTATTTGGCAAATGCCCTTTAAAATGGATGGCCTACACTAACATCCTCCTCTTGTTAGTTCCTCAGGGCCACGATCTCACAGAGATAGGAGAAAGAGGAGTGAATATCAGTGGTGGTCAAAAGCAAAGGGTATCAATGGCAAGAGCCATCTACTCCAATTCAGATGTATACATATTTGATGACCCTTTGAGTGCCCTAGATGCTCATGTTGGTCACCAGGTAGGGATTTAACATCATGATTTCTTTCATTCTGTTGGATAGTATTCAAGCTTGATGATTTATTTCTTGAGATATTTTTTCATAGGTATTCAACAGATGCATCAAGGAAGAGTTGCAAGGCAAAACTAGGGTTCTTGTGACGAACCAGCTACATTTCCTTCCTCAAGTGGATAAGATCATTGTTGTAAGCGAAGGAACTGTGAAGGAGGAAGGGACCTTTGAGGAGCTCTCTAGAAGTGGCACGTTATTCCAAAAGCTGTTGGAAAATGCTGGGAAGACGGAAGGAATGCAAGAAAAGGAGGTGGAGGAAGAAGAATGGGATAGCTCAAATGCTGAGCATGGAAGGTCGAAACCCACGACCAATGGAGTGCACAAGTTGACACAAAATACAGCAGGCCATAATAATAAGAGAAAGAAAAGAGGGGAGTCCATGCTCATCAAGCAAGAGGAAAGGGAGACAGGCATTGTCAGTTGGAAAGTCTTGAACAGGTAAAAGTTGAATGCTTTGGGTAAATTGTAATGTCTTTATTGCATGTTATTCATTTTCGCATGCTATTATTATTTGAGGTGTATTTGCAAAATACCGGTTGGTTCAGTGCATTTGTGTTGGAATCAGTGAAGACAAACATACCCACTTTTCTTAAAGTGCATTTCCAATTGCACGCGCAGCAAAAACTCTATTCGTGTGACCAATTGCATGTTATTGCAAATATCATTCTCCCAAGTAAACCCAACCAAATCAAATGACCTTTAAAAGTATGAACCAAAAAGTAAGTCAAGTCCTGTATGTTGATGTTTGTTTTTGCTTACAGGTACATAAATGCATTAGGAGGCACACTGGTGATCATGGTACTGTTCACTTGCTACACATTGACTGAAGTTCTTCGGATTTCAAGCAGTCAATGGTTAAGCATTTGGACGAATCACAGCAGTTCTGGAAGTTATAATCTCCCATTCTTCCTCTCCATTTATGCGCTCCTGTCACTGGGTCAGGTTTGTCGGACGATGTACTTTCTTCTTTTCCAATACAAACATATGAGAAGTCCAAAATTATCTATTTGCTTGTCGTAAAAACGAAAAGGGGAGAATTGTTATTACCATTCTGACTGTTCCTCGTGTTCTGTTTTTGGTATCAGGTAAGTGTTACACTGGGAAACTCTTATTGGGTGATCACTTCAAGCCTACATGCAGCAAAAAGACTCCATGATTCCATGCTAGATAGCCTCTTACGAGCTCCAATGCTGTTCTTCCACACCAATCCACTAGGAAGAGTGATTAACAGGTTTGCAAAGGATCTTGGGGAAATCGATCGCTTTGTTGCCGGTGTTGCCAACATGTTTCTGAAACAAGTCTGGCAGCTCCTTTCCACATTTGCCTTAATAGGCATCCTGAGCACTCTCTCGTTGTGGGCCATAATGCCGCTACTTATCTTGTTTTGTTTAGCCTGTCTATACTACCAGGTATTTTCTGCATGCTACCACAAACATCACTTACACCCAGCCAAACGACCTGCTAGAGAAATGTGAATAACTGCATCTGTATTCATATATTACAGACCACATCCCGTGAAGTGAAACGCCTGGATTCCATCACCAGATCGCCAGTATATGCACAATTCGGAGAAGCATTAAATGGGCTGTCCAGCATTCGTGCGTACAAGGCCTACGACCGGATCGTGGCCATCAACGACAAAATGATGGACAACAATATCAGATTCACCCTCGTGAGCATCAGCTCTAATGGCTGGCTCGCCATAAGACTGGAAATACTTGGGGGAGTCATGGTCTGGTTGATAGCCACATTCACAGTCTTGGGGAATCAAAAGGCTGAGAACAGGGTAGCATTCGCTTCTACCATGGGTCTATTGCTGACCTACACCCTGAACATCAGCAGTGTGTTGAGCGGAGTTCTGAGACAGGCGAGTAGAGCTGAGAGTAGCTTCAATGCTGTCGAGCGCGTGGGCGTGTACATGGAGTTGCCTTCAGAGGCTCCGGCAGTTATCGAGAGCAATCGTCCGCCACCTGGCTGGCCTTCTTCAGGTTCAGTCGAGTTCTTGGATGTTGTCCTGCGTTACAGACCAGAACTTCCGCCGGTGTTGCATGGATTGTCGTTCGTGGTTGCTCCGAATGAGAAGCTGGGCGTGGTTGGAAGAACTGGAGCAGGGAAATCCAGTATGTTGAATGCTTTGTTCAGAATTGTGGAGGTTGAGAGGGGACAGATCATGATTGATGGGTGTGATGTTGGGAAAATTGGACTCATGAATCTAAGGGAAGTTCTTACTATCATACCACAAGCACCTGTCCTTTTTTCTGGTAAGCAACCTCGACAGCCCAAACTGCCCTTTTCTCTGATAAGTCTGCACCACATTTATATAAGCTTGTTGATCCTTAAGTTCTAACCTCCAGCTTTTTCTTCTGTGTTTTTTATGGATGGCGAAGATTTATTCCTACACGTTAACCATTTTTTTATGACCTTATAGTCATTAACCAACGTGAAGAAACTTATGTGTTACACTTAAAAATACGGTGTAAAGAGCGCAAAGAAATGGTCCATAGCCGAATCCCATTCCTAGTTTGACCAGGATTCATAATTGGATCCGAAGATCTAAATCTTGTCTGGGTACAGGAACTGTGAGACTCAATCTGGATCCATTTAGTGAACATAATGATGCGGACCTCTGGGAGGCACTGGGAAGGGCACATCTAAGGAATGTCATAAGGAGCAATCCTCTTGGTCTGGATGCTGAGGTATGTACAACATAAAATCAACACGGCAAATGGGCATGTGCCTTTATTGATTCAAAAAACATGTCAGATAGTATATATTAGGTATTAGTAAAACCACAAGGTTATATCTTTAAATCCGGAAATACAGAAACATTTACAAAATTGGGTTCTGCTATAAGCTAATGAACTGTATACTGATTACTGACATTAGAATATCTGTTGTGTAAAGGTTCTGGAGGGAGGAGAGAACTTCAGTGTTGGACAGAGACAACTATTGAGTCTTGCTCGAGCATTGCTGCGAAGGTCTAAGATACTTGTACTTGATGAAGCAACTGCTGCTGTTGATGTGAGAACTGATGCTCTCATACAGAAAACAATCAGAGAAGAGTTCAAGTCTCGCACAATGCTTGTGATTGCTCACAGACTTAATACGATAATAGATTGTGACCGCATTCTCGTGCTTGATGATGGTCGGGTAAGCTCTCTCAAACCAAGTTGTTAGAACAAATTCAACTTTTCTGTTTTGAATGAGGAAGAGTCAGGGATATGCAATTCTGTTTGGCTTAAGAACTTGGAATTAGGGTTCCTACGGGATTTGCGGATTATGGAAATGGAATTTGTAGATACCACTAAAAATTATAATGTTTTTTATCTTTCAAGTTATCTTCTTTCTCTCACATTGTTTTTCCCTACATAAGAACCTTATTTAATTATTGTTCTATTATAAAAAATACAAGTTGTTTTCATAATTGTGAGAATTATTCTGTATACAAGAATCAGAATATTGAATTGCAAATGATTTTTCATTTTCATTTCTTATCAATTCGTATTCAAACAGGTTGTAAGGAAATCTAGATTAGTATAACGAGCTTCGACTTTGTCTATTTTTTTAGGTAAAAGAGCATGCTAGTCCGCAAGAGCTGCTGTCAAATGAAGAAAGTGCATTCTACAAGATGGTCCAGAGTACTGGATCAGCAAATGCTCAATACTTGCTCAACTTGGTGTTTGACGACCAAAGAGAGCAAGGTTAAGGGGGGAATAAAAAGACCTAAGAACCTTGATGGGCAGAGGAAATGGTTTACTTCCCCGAGATGGATAACTGCTGTTCAGTTTGCATTAGCTGTTAGTTTCCACTTCTTCCACCAATTATCTTCAAAGTTCGGTTCTTGGAAGTGGCAACGGCGTTCTCAGGAGAGCAACGGATGCTGTCTTTACCCTTCAGGGAGTTCTGCAGCCTCCATGGTAAGCATCGCCAAGTGATTAGATGACACTCTCCGGCAGCCTGATGTCTGCATAGAAAGATGCTGGTCGGCTCTACAGAATAGTTGAAGGTTACAGATTGTATTCTGCTCATACAACATTAGGGTCAGAACGCAGAATGGTGCATCTGAAAGTTCATATCTGATCCAAACCCTTGTTTTGTTTCTCTTATCAGGTATAGCGGTGATGAGCAGGCTGGGTAAGAACGAGGATCCAGTTTCAGCAAAGGAAGATGGTTTGTTTGACATTTTTTAGACTAGTTGGTTGCAACTTGATAGTAGACAGAACGAACGTTGAGGCCTACCACGTGAACAGTTGTATGATGCGAAATGGAACTTCGAACATTAGGCTGTCAGCAAACTACCTGTTCTTGGTTGATTAGAATAGTTCTTAAACTGAATATTTAATGAAGTTATTTCCAGTGAATTGTTACTCTTAAATCTCAACAGTCAATATAGGACTAGAAGGCTACTGCAAAGAAAAGTCACGGTTTCCAGCTTACTATACATATCACTCTTGGTTTATGGAGTTTTCAGGTGGGTTACAGTGAACTTCTGGTTTGCCCTGGTGGATCAGGACCGCTCGGCTCGAACTGCCTGGGCAGAAACACCTGAGAATTTCATTAATGCCTGGAATACAAGTGGGAGGCTAGTTAATCTGGTCCAAGTTCAGATGCTTGATCTTGCCAGCCTCAGTTCTCTCTTCCAATCTTTAGTTTTGACAAGTTTAACATGCCAAAGGGTGCTTAGGGCTTAGACTAGGAGTTGCCACCTGCAGAAAGGGCATAACCAGCGCAAACAGCTTATTTCCTTTCTTTCTTTTTCGTTGAGTAATCGGATCGGATTAAATATATTATGATTCTGTTTCCATCTTATTAGTGTTAAGTATAATAATAATAATAAAAAGTAAACCGATACTAAATTTGGATTGAACTGTGTCGAACCAAATATACTTTTGGTCCTATTCTGATCCTTGATTTCATTTGATTTTAGAGCGATCCTATCTTGATTCGGTATGGTTTTGGACTGAATCTACTGTTGTTCATCCTTACTCACATAGGAGCAAGGTCATCAACCTATGGGGTGACCTGCGGGTTGACTCGGACCCGGTGAGAAAAACTTGTGCAACACGCTCGCGCCTCTTTTTCACTTTTTCCCTTCACCTAACCTTATTTTTGGAATTCTAAATTGAACATTTGAATATTGATGTTATATATGTTTGAATTTTTCCTATATGTTGGGTCCAAATACGAATTGTTATTTTGGTGTAATGATATATGTTCTACTGATATGTTAATAATACTTAATATAATTTAAAATTGTATTTAGAATATAATGATTTTTTCATATATTCAGACTAAATCGTACTAAACCGGTCCAACGGGTTGGGCTGAACCTGGCAGGTTGACAATAAGAGAAGAGACTTGAGAGAGGCTCAGAGTGGGAAGTATGGGAAGTTGAGGGATCAAACGAGGCACCAATCGAAAAACAAACTAACCGAGAATGAAAGTAACATAAAATGGGAGATTATGGTATGCGGGTACAGAACAGTAGCAGGATTAGCTCTCAATCAAATGAGCAGCTGCAGAATGGAACGCGTTAGGATGATTACTCAAAATTGAGTAATCACCGTGGCTACTAAAATCTAGACCCTTAATTATCTATATTTTACTCTAATTTTAAATTGACGATGAAGATTAGATTAAGGGTAATTTTGAGAATAAAAAAAATACCACACCTGATTTCTATCCTTTAAAAAATTAATTCTATATATTATACCTAAACCTACTCCAACCCTATTTTATATCTTCGTCAACACCTATCCTGCGGCCCTCCCACTGCCGGCAGCTGCCCACCCTCCGGCGACCCTCGCCCACCTTTGCGGTCTCTCTCTCTCTCTCTCTCTCTCTCTGATGGCGGTGGAGGTGTTAGATGGTGATGCCGGCCTAGGCCAGCCTTCCCCCTCCCTCTCTCTCCAAACCTCCTGATCCCCTCTCTCTCTCTATATTTTCTCCTGCCAACCTTCCGTGCTTGTGCAAGTTGGGGATTGGTATGTATTTTTGGGGATTGGTATATTTTTTTGGTATTGCTTTGTTTTGATATTGATTTTGTCGCATTGGTATTATTTTTGTCGTAATGGTATTATTTTTATCATATTGGTATTGATTTTGTTGCAATGGTATTGATTTTGTCGCATTGGTAGTGATTAAATCTGCAATGGTATTGATGTTTTGTGAAATGGTAGTGTTTTTCTTTCTTGAATGGTATTGATGTTTTATGAAATGGTAGTGTTTTTATTTCTTGAATGGTAGTTTTCGTGTAATGGTATAAATTTATTTATGCAATGGTAGTTTTCGTGTAATGGTATAGATTTATTTCTGCAATGGTATTGATATTTTTCAAAGTGGTAGTGTTTGTCTAATGGATTGGTACTGATTTCGTTTTTTTTTTGGCAGAAAGATTGAGAAAAATATGGAAAGGAAATCTCGCTGGAGATTACGGAAGTGAGAGAAAGAGAGAATTTTAATTAATAGATTTTTGTAACTACCTTAAATGTAATTTATTAAAAAATTAATTAATATAATTTATTTTTCCATACCCAATTTACCCTTAGTAACACCGTAACCTGTCCCAGGATTCTGCTTCTTCGCCGTCACTCGGTTCCCGGCCTTCTTCAAGCCCCCCATTTCCACCATCTGCTTCTCCTCCTCCAATTTCAGGTCCTCCTTTTTCTCCATCTGTCTTTTGCTGCCGTCGCGCTTCCCTCCACGCCGCTCCAACTTACGCAGCGTTGTTTCTGTTTCCCCATCTCTTCCGCAGGTCCGGCACTGGCGCTGTTAGTTCCTGTGTAACTCTGCGCGGAATGAACTCCCATGGAGTCGTCCCTGACGTTTCCAAAGTCACGGTGGTGGACGACCCTGCGCTGCTGGAGGAGAAAGCTGCAGCAATTCGTTTAGCTGGCCCTGCTAAACTCCAGGTTACTGCATTCCCTTTTGTTTCTTCTTTTCCCCTGGTTACTCTGTAGGGTTTGAAGAATTGGCTGAAATTTCGGGTTTTCTGGGGAGTCTGCAGGTGATAGCAGATTTCGACGCGACGCTTACCAAGTACATTGTGAATGGCCGCAGAGGCGACAGTTACGTTAGTTAAACTTAAAGCTCGTAAGTTCACTTATGCAGCCCTTTTCTAGAATTTTGTTGATGGTTCTTTTTGAGCAGGCAGTCATGGCCTTTTGCGTCAAGAGAATGCCGAGTATGACGCCAAGAGGCTTGCTTTATATCAGTACTATCACCCCTTGGAATTCTCCCCTTCTATCCCCATAGAAGAGAAGACAAAGCTCATGGAAGAGTGGTATGCATTCCCTTCTCGTTCTTGAGTTTGAAGGGAGGCTAAAGTGGATCCCATTGACAGTACTTTAACGAAGTAGTTGTTCCAATGATCCAGGTGGGGGAAAACGCATAACCTTCTTATTGAGGGAGGTCTTACATATGATTCTATTAAAGAGTCTGTTGCTGCATCGGAAATTGCTTTCAGGGAGGGAGTAGTTGAACTGTTTGAGTTTCTGGAGGTAAAGCTCTGTGATTATGGAACATTACTGTCAACTGATTGAGATTGACTGTAGTCATCTCAAGAACAAACCTTGACAGCCTTTAGGAGTTATGGTAGCTTGCATAGAGTAAGGCATTTTGTAGACATGTGAAGTTGAGCCGAAGACATGAACCTTCCTTCGATTGTGACTTTTTCTTGAAGCTATTCACTTTTCTCTGTTTTTTTGCTCTCTCTTGTATATAGGAAAGGGACATTCCAGTTCTCATATTTTCAGCAGGGCTTGCAGATATCATAGAAGAGGTTAGTTGAATTGCTTTCTTGCAACAGTACTGGTTATGCAGCTTTTATCATAGACGCGGTGTTTAGTTAACTGCCATACTTGTTTTGATTGTTTCAGGTTCTGAGGCAGAAGATTCATCGATCTTTCAAAAATGTTAGGATTGTGTCTAATAGAATGGAATTCAATAGAGATGGACGGCTCATTTCGTTCAAAGGTGTAATCTCCGTCCTTTCTGCTTCTCATGGAATTTAATTTCAAGTCGTGTTGGCAAGACACCTGTGGCTTAGACTTTCAGGATATTCACTTTGTCCTTGGTAGTGTATCTTCAATGTCTTCATAGACTATTATGATTAGCTAAAATTTTGTGTAATTTAATTGTCGTGATATGCTTGGTTTCAAGCTCTTATCACTGAGTTGCAATTGATCCCTTCTGTTTGCACACTTCCATAACAGAAAAAACTCATACGGAGGAACTATTCATGTTTGTACACTTCCTCTCATTCAAAATGTGAAATAAGTCAATCAAAGAGGCATAGAATGCTTATAGGAATTCAATAGCTCCGTGTTTATTAACTCCATGCAGTTCATTTCTTTTTCTGACTGCATAGACCGGCCTGTTGTCATATTCTCAGCTGCATGTCAGTGGTCTCTTTCCCCTATTTGGATGTTGAAGTCATGCAAAATTATTGATTTAGGTCACATCAATGCTCTCTGGCTACTATATGATAGTCATTTTGATTTTGGCTTTTAGAGCATGTTTGCAGGGAAGTTAATTCATAGTCTAAATAAAAACGAGCATGCTCTTGATATGGCGGGCCCTCTTCATGAGCATCTTGGGGACTCCAATGGGTTAAACAATCTAGGTGGATCGGTTAAAGATAGAACCAACGTGCTCCTTCTTGGTGATCACTTGGGAGACCTAAGAATGTCTGATGGCTTGGACTACAGCACTCGAATTTCTGTTGGATTCCTGTGAGTACTGTAAACTAGTCACCTTTCTTACTTGTATAGTAGTATTCTATATAAACCAGCACCTGAGTTATATTCCGTTAGAGTAGTTATTACATGTCACCTTTGCAGTTGTTTTTCTTGCACTTGATTCTTAGTTTTGCTTTCACTTGAATTAATTATGTAGCAGACTAGTATTTGAATCCTCTTTATTTCACATTTAACCACATTTTATATGATGGGGAACGTGTGTTTCGCTGATCTCATTCTGTTTCAGGAATGACAACATAGAGAACAATATTGCCGGATACAGTAAAGCATTTGATGTTCTGTACCTGGTGAGTTGATAATGAGATATGAACACGGTAGACTTGTCCCTGGCCGTTGATGTAAATAAAATGTGTTCCAGAAGTGCTAATTGCAGTTCAAAATTTGCATGTTTCAGAATGATGCACCAATGTGGGGAGTAGTCAACCTTGTTTCTCAGCTCTGGCCAACTCACAATTAGGGAGTTCATCTTCGCAGAGTGGGCTTGAAGATGGCTGAAGATGAAGAGTCAAATATGACAAAAGTGGATGACTGAAATGAAAGATCCTCATTTTTCTTTGCACTTTTCATCAGTAGGTTGGTATTAGTATTAGTAACAAGTCTTGTGATATTATTGAGCAGCACTTGTTGCTTGTAGTTGAAGTTATTTACAAAGTATCCATTCATCCGAAATTGCTATACCATTTCTGATTTATTCATCTCAACCACATCAAAAAAAGAAACCAGAGTACAAAGGCGATTAAAACTAGCAGAGCTCTTTGAGCTCCACAGAGTACCGACCATGTTCTAAGCAACAGTGACAGCGAGAGCTAATGATGCTGGAAGCTCGACATCCTTTGGGCCAACAGTTGACATTAATCCAACCGCAGCAGCCTGTGTAGTTGTCAGTTGAGTGTAGTGGAACTCCACCTGCAGGCGGTGATGGAGAGGGGTAGACGCCATCAACCCTTTCTTGATATCTGCCTGCAACTCCCTAATCGGAATGGCTGCAAGGAAGCTCTTAATATACTCCTTGCAAGCCTCCTTTCCTCGCCACACAATTTTCTCGTCCGTCTCAGCCTTTTCTGTGTCACTTAAGTTAGAGGCAATGGTCCCTCGAGCTGCTGCACTTTTCTCTCCATGCGAGTTGCTGCTATTTGTTGATAGTGCCTTGTCCTTGGTGGTGGATTTTTCATCTAAAGAAGCTTTAGTTGGTTTTGGAAGAAGCTCAATTGTCGTGTCCTTATCAAACTTCAAGACATATGCCTGATTGCATCCTTCAAAAAGCCGCTCCCCTAGAGTGTCTATGATGTAGTATGCATCCAGATCCACCTTTAGGATGAAGAAATGGTCATTCCAGCTCACGATGTAGACAAAAGGCTCACCAGAAGCAGGTAAGCTGCTGTTACGGCTGATTTCCTCCCAGATGCTGTCAAAGGACATGGCGCCATGAAGGAAGTTGAAATTCTCTGCTGCTCCTTCCAGCTCTTCTGGATGGAAAAACCCTATGAAGGACTTCTCAGGCACTACAGAAAGCGGACATATGTTCGCCCGAAGTACGGTCTCTAGATCAAAGTGCTTGTCAGGAAACCGTTGTCTGTACTCTTCATTCTCACATAGGTTTCTCCATTGCAGTGATCCACTCCTGATCAGGTCATCAAACTCCGACTTGATTGGGACTTCTTCATATTGGTTGGACTGCAACCAATTGGCAATGATGGCAACCAGAGCTGTGCAAGCACTCTCTCCTGCAGCCCGTTCATGTCTTTGATCAATTGATGCAAAGAAGACCTGTGCCTGGAGCTTCATTTTCCCATCTCGACTCGCCACTTCTTTTGTTTCCCAGCTGCCTACAGAGAAGCAGCCATTATCTCCAAAGTCAGAGAATGATGATCTGCTTGTGGTGGAACATTCTTCTGATTTACTCCCCTGCCAAAAAAAGAAGGAAAAAAAAAAAAGAGGAGAAGTCTCACATTACTTTGAAATGAATTTTAATCATCCTCAAATGAAACTCAAAACAACAGTAAAAGAAGATTGGCATACCCCAAAACTAGATCCATCAGAGGATGAGGAGCTCAACTGTCTGCGATCAAAATCAATGTCATCGCCACCTTCTTCCCCATAATGCTTCTTTAGAAGAGGTTCTCCTTTAACTTTGACCTTGGAAGATCCAAAGCCAAGTTTCCTTTTCCTCCAAGGCAAGAAGAGTCTAGACTTCAGCCTCTCCTTCAAAGGCTGTTCTTGGAAGATTGATTCAGCTGATGATTGCTCGGACTGGAAGGATCCACCTCCGGAATCTAGCTTTCTGTTGTTGAAGTATATCCAATCCGACCATTCCTCACCTTCTCCATCACTCATCATGTTTGTCAGTGCTGACCCTTGAGCGAAATTTGTGTAGGCCAATGCTACTGCATAATTCAGCGATGGCTGAGAACCGTTGTCAGCCCTTGTCTCCAAATCTCTACCATCAGCAGCTGCTTCATCATTCCGGAATGACTCTCCTCCATCGGAGTACACGTTATTCACTGCTGCTGCATCAGTATTGGCTGTCTCTTCCCCTAACGAACGCCTCTTCTTACTGCCACCTTGCAAGAGCCTGACATTTCTGAGGCGGGCTCTCAGACCAGTAAGCTCATTGGTGTGTCCCAAGGATGGCAGACAAGAGATTGTCCTTTCAAGAGGCACCATTGAGCTTTGAACTTGTTGCAATGGAGGCCCTACGGTTGTTAACTCTGTCAACCCAAGAGATATCTGCATTGTAGTCAAACAGAAACATAGGTAAGTATCATTCCTGAGTCTGGGTAGAAACTAGAATAGATGCTAAACTGGGTTTTAAAATAAACTCAAGCTCATTTCAGAAGAACAAGAACTCACATGAAGCAAAAGACTGCTAGTCCCTTGAGGAGGACTGGCAGTAGGAGGTGTTAGAGGCAAATGAATTTGAAGCTCTTTATCAGTGGCTGTTGAAACAAATTCTGCAAGGTTTATCACAGCAGTCCCAGTGACCTGGAATTTGTTCTCTGATCCTTCTTCACTGGTAACCTGAATCAACAGCCCCATTATAAGGCAAGGAACTGTTAATCTCATTATTGCAGTAAATAAAAAGGTGGAACCACTCATTCACCCAGCTAACCACGAGCAGACAAAAAAAAAAAGTTTAGAGTGAGGGAATTTTGTATTTGTGGGACCATGGAAGAGAGAGAGAGAGAGGAAGAGAGGAATTCCATGGATCCCTTAAGAATATGTGCCAGTAATTGTCACCTGTGAAACGAGCGGGTGACAGAAACTTAGGCTGACAGCAACACTCACATTCTGTGAAGCTTATTACTCCACACTTACTATTCAACAACAAAAAGTTCCTGAACTTTTTCCAGATTTTACCCCAATTGAATTGAATACCTATCACACCATGTTCATATTCTTTTTTGATCTTATCCTTTCTTTTTTCTTCTTCTCCTTCTCCTTATTGTACAGTTCCCCGCCTATTATAAATGCAATTCATTCATGATATGCAGGCCAAAGTTGCATTTAGAAAGGAAAGTTGACCCCCAGGAAATGGACAGACAGACATGCCACTCATACCGGGAAGCTTCATGCCCAACATAAATGTCAGAGATAAGCGCCTACAGAAGTTGAACAAACTAAAGCAATAAAATAGGGAAAGCAAAACAGAAAGATAAAAGAAGAACAAACAAAGGATCTTCAAAAAATTGCTATGTATTTACAAGTCAACTCTTAGTTGTGGTGATGGGGATCAACCATTTCCTCAATATGTCAGGTCAACGATGGCAAGAACCCATTGACTCTTTCATCAAGATGAATCAATCAAAGAAAGAAAATCCAAATCTAGATGATCAGGGAGTTCATAGAATGAAGAACATGAATGATCCAGCAAAGAAAAATCTCAGAAACTTGCTGCTATTATTAGTATATAAATTACTCACATTGAAAACAGTAAGCGCAACCTCCCAGGGGAGAAACATGCCGTCCTTTTGACCTGAAAAGCTGCAAACATTGGTGAATTCCTCATTCCATTGGAAACAACCAACACCACCATCATCAGCGCAAAACCCCACACATTCCTGAGTCAAATTCCTCTTCACAGCCCTGTTCCTTCTCAATGGCCTCAAAGCAATCCCCTTTTCCCCTTTCCACTTCACCTCAACCACCAACCTCTTCGTTTTCTTCTCCAATTGATCATCATCATCATCATGCTTCAGCCCTTCCAGCCTCTGCACCACGATTCTCGCCTCAAGCTTCCTCGACGAAACAGGCGGCCACGGCGGCCACCTCATCATCTTCACCACCATTTTCTCTTCTCACCCTGCCCCAAAAATTTGATCTTTCCCCCACAGAAAAGAAGAAAGTCAACCTGGGTAGCACCCAAAAAAACGGCAAGTAAACTGCAACGATGTGGATCCTTCTTTTCTGCAGCGCAGAGAGAATTATTCGCGGAGAAGAGATTTGATGATTCTGAAACAACCCTTTTCAAATTTGGACGTGGGGAACGATCACAGAGAGAGGAAAGCTTGGAAAGAACGATCGAAGAAAGAAAGTAGTGGGTTTGTTGAATTTGTATAAGGGAAAACACAAAAAGTGAAAAGCTGGGGATGTAACGTTACGGATTGGTTTGGTGGAATGGGCAGAGTGAAGAGATTTTCTGGGAGCAGGATCTTATGTGTGCGTGGGTGTGGGCCAAAAGGAAGAACAAAAAAGCTTGAGAGCAGAATTGTAGGGAGGGACTGAGAGGAAGAATATGCCAATTGCCGTTTTTTTATATTTTGCCGTTGAACGCGTGAGAGATACAGAGGAGAGAGGGAGAGAGACAGGCAGAGGCCGGCAAACGACTGGGACTTCTAAATGAAAAAGAAGCGGTTTGGATGATGAAGGAGAAAAGGGAAAAAAGGGTCAAAAAGAGACCTAAGAACTGACGTCTCTTATTAATTTCTTGCCTGATATACTGCAAAATCTTTTGACAACTTTGCAAAACAGTCCTTCTACTTAGAGCATCCACATTGGTGCAATTGCATTTGGAATTGCATTTGTGGTTTTTTTTTAAACAACACTATTTTTGCAAGCCAACTCACTTTACTTTCATTATACCTACATTGGTGCAATTAACTTGCAATTGCATATGTGGCCTTATTTTTTTAATTATTAAACTTTTTTATGAATACCTTTTTATCCATATTGCAAGTAAATAAAATTTTAATTTAATTTAATTTAAACAAAATCTATGCAAAATGGAAACGAGAAGAAAAGATTGAGGCAAAAAGAAGCATATAAAGAGAAAAAGTTGATACTGAAATTAATGGAAATGAATTTATCAACGAAGACTAAATCACAAAGAATACTATATGAAAGGAAAATTAACCAGCTACTCGAAGACAAGTGATTTATATTCATGATTTTGATATTTGTTTTGTTTCGACCTAGCATTTCTTATTATATTTTGTAGTTTAATTTTTTTGCATTTTAAATTTGGAGTGTACTATGGCAATGAACATTAAATAAAATAATAAGTTAATATTTTCAAAAAATCAATATAAGCACTTCGTTATTTGTATGTATGAAATTAAAGTAATAAAAAATAAATTTTTCTATTTATATTATTATGGATAGTTTATTATAATTAATAAAATCATTATATGATGCTATTTACTCCCATTGGTACAATTGGTACAATAATAAGCTAATTTAAACACATTGTCCGTGGAAATTATTCAAAAAATTCCAATAAAACTTAAATCTATGCCAAGCAAAGCCACACGTTGGCAATTAAATTATACAAGAAAAAACAAAAAGAAAACACAAATGATTAAGTTTTCCACGCTGGCTTGCATTGAGTACTTGCAACAAATGAAATCTTTCATTATTGCAATTACTACTCCCATCCGTGCAATGGGAAAAATCAATTGCAAAACTCTGCCACGTCAAATGCAATTGCAATGTGTGTTGCCGATGGAGATGCTCTTATATCCACTTCTTTATCCAATTTTCGTATCGATTCCGATTCCGAAGTACGGGGAGTGTCTAGGTGGTTGAGGAAGCAACTGCTACTTATCGTATGCCGAAGCCACATCATGTCAACGATGTTTAAGAAAGGGGGAGCAATTTCTCAACACTGTTACCTTATCACATTATCCATCTCGTGGCTATACATAGGAGGGGTTGTCCGAAAAATAAGAGACAATGTGAAGTCTATAATTTATATCTTAGGTCAAGTTTTCTTTTTTTCCCTTTATCTTCAATGTAGTCTTTGTCGTATCTTGTAGTTTGAAAACTCTCACAAAACCTCTGCATAAGCAACTACGATTGTAGTTTACAGAACTCTCGACGAATCTCTATAAAAGTAGTATAATTTAAACTAAATTTCTTTTTCTGGTCAAGCTTCCTCTTTCGAATATTGTATTACCTTTTACTCGATAAGACTATGAGAGTCTAGTTTAGAGAATTTCACCATAGAACATTTTCCCTCCTCTGTGAACTTATTAGGTGTGGTTAGAGCGGAACTTAGATCCCTAAGTCACTGAGCTACTTGCAGCTAGAGATGCTCTATCAGTCATTGTTTCCTGAAGACTTCCTCACGTTTTTTTTAGAAGGTGATTCGACGATGGTGATTCATCAGCTTCGTCTAGGTTTAGTGGTGGATTCTCTAGAGTAGTCCCAGCTTCAAGAATGTCGTCAGCTGGTCTTCTCTGCTTCTCTTTGTATAGTCTTTAGGAAGGTTTCACGAACCGCAATATGAAGTGCCCATAAAATGTCACTATAGCCCTGTTAATGTCTCCTTTAGAGTTAGTTTTTCATATTATTTTGTAGAGTGACTCACTATTGAGATGGTTATTGGAGTGATGATTTATATGGGGTGTGCAAACTCATGAGAACCGTGATCCATTAGAGAAAGACATCTTAGAATCATGGACCGGACCATTATTGCGTTCGGTCCATTTGAATCGATTCGGTCAGGTCCAAATATCAGTTCGGTCCATCATCTCTAATTTTCTCTTGATATCTATTGGACGAAGAATAAAAAGGAGAGCAAAACTAAAAGGCATCCAAGAAGGGCTTAAGATGACTTGGAGCAGAGGATTCAGGAAAGTTAGCTTGATTTCGGATTCGGTCACTGCCATTAGTAACATCAAGAGCAATAGGAACGAGGATCATAACCATGATGTCATGGGTATATCCAGGAACGTTTTATTAGTTATATGAATTACAACGCTTTTGGCGTTGTCTTTCCACCATGGTCCATGAAAACCGTACCGGGGAAATCAACGGTAGGGTATTTTATACTAAAATCGTGGTTTAACCCTAGTTCAACCGTTAAACCGTTAAATACCGCCTACCGATTTAGTACTCAATACTGGTATTTCGTGGTTGAACCGCTGGTACGGTACGTTTTTATGGACCATGCTTTAAAAAAATAAAATAAAAAAGCGGAACTTGAGAGGAAAGTGTTAGTTTCGGCTGATACACTTATGTTTAGTGAGTGTTGTTGATGATAAACCGACAATGGCGTACTGTTGGCCGATAGTGCTGTCGATTTTGTTCATATGCCGGCGGAAAGGATAAATTTCACTTCATAAACATCGGTACTTTTAAAGTTTCTATTGTGTTCTTATGATGCTGGCCGATATATTTTTTATCGTCATTACTGAAGACAAAAAAATGTATTAAAGGGCCTCTAAATGTGTTTGTAGGCCAAAAAGCAAGTGAGTATGGACGTATAGATCAATATCTGGAATCGCATCATATGAGGAGTGAATTGTTTTGACTAGGCATTATTCGGAGATCAGCCTAGTAGTCAATAATGAGTGGTTGAATCTATAAATTCACCCGTAATGGATCCATCTAATATGTTATGGATGATTCTTATGAGTTGGCGTGAGCTGTAAAATATATGTGATCCACTAGAGATTGGATGAGTGTAGATAGATCGTGGTTGACCCTGCGATCCACCCAAGTGTTTAACCTCAAATTGAGAATCTTTCACATGTTTTTTTTTATCTAAAATGAAATCCTCAAATTACAGAAACAATTCTTCCAAATTTGATCTAAGATTTGTCAAAATCACTGGTCATCCTGTCTACCCAATTTGAAATCAATATTTTCTCAAATTATGGTTATGGATTATGGTTATGGTTGATAAATGCAAAGTCTTATACTCTTATTTGTTTTCGTGGTTGGATTTTTTTTTTTTAAACTTTTCTTGTTTGTATACTACTTTGACTTATGTTGTTTGGTTTTAGGAGTGTTCAGTGAGTGACTGTGGGTTGAAAACTTGGTCCGTTTGCTGGATTTACGATGAACCTTCATCTTCGTTAATTTTTTTTTTTAATAAGAGTTATATTATAGTTTTAGCTTTTGTTGTTTATGTATAAGTACTACTTAAGGAACTCAAACCTGGTACCTATAGGTTCAAGGTTAGTGATATTATCATCAGATCAAATCACTTGTTCTTTTGGTTATTATAAAGGTCAAATCATGTTTATCAGTTGAATATTTTTGTGATTTGTGAGCAATTTCTGGTTGTAATATTGTAAGTTAACTTATGCATATGATTTATGAATTAAACGTTATTTAGTTTGAAGATTTCTTCCATTTCAAGCTTCAAATAATTTGAATTATGTGATAATTTATAATGCATGTTGTAAAGCCAAAAAATCTGCCAACCATTCCATCATTCGCAATCACCCAACCCACCCACATGACACTTAGTTGGATTTTCTCCTTATCCATCATGTGGTAGATAATTCCAAACCTATTCAAATTCACATAAAACCACCCCCTGTTTTCCCCTAAGGCCTAATTTCGCACTCAACATTAGAGTTAAATCTTAAAATCTTTTTTAGTTTTTAGGGTAATGACTATTTATTAACCAAATCTTTTTCGAATTCTTTTTTATTAGCCAAACCTATCAAAATACTAAAAATTAGTCAAATATTAACCTTCAGTTAGCAATTTTGTTAATAATATTGACTTGACAACATGATACTGACTTGGAAAAGACACATGAAGGTCAACATTCCAAAATTTTAGTATTTTAACTAAGAAAATAGTTACAAAATTATTAGCAATAACGTAAAAATGACTAATATTTTGATGCATTACGAAATTTTTGACTAATTGATAGCATTTTAATAGGTTTGAATAATATAAAAGAATTTGAAAAAGATTTAGACAAAAAATAGACATTACCCTTATTTTTATTATTATGTTTGCTTTCAATGTTTCGTATTACATGATTTGTATGTTTATAATGTGTTACGCGTTAAGTGATTTATTACATGATTATGATTGTATGAATATGTTCTATGAGAACATAGGTTATGCATATGCTTTACAATACATGATATGTTATGTTTATAATTAGGATACAAATTAAAGTATGGTGATGTAAATAGCATAACATATATATTAGAGTTTAGAAGTACGATTTGAGGGACACATGTGTCCGACTAGATTAGAAGTTAGTTTAACATCATGGACAAGTGAATATGCTTGGGATAACATATCTGTTGTCCAATCGTAAGATTCTCAAGGTCGAAAGAGATTATGAAGTCGTTGTTTGCCAACTTCAGCAAAGAGTTCATTAAGATGTTTCGTGTTGGCCTATTCTTCGTGATTGTCTCCACTCTTCCGTCATCTTCCTTATTTCTTGGCATTTTAGAGTTTAGGTCTTTAGAGCAATTTCTTCAATTGTAAATGGGCTGTCCATAAAATGGCGCATAAAACCCTGATACTATATTCTGTATATTAGCATCTTTTGACTTTGTAGACTACTTGATCAGGTTTGTTGGGTGTAAGGGGTTTGAGGCTTGTGTATTATACTAGTTTTTTTTTTTTTTTTTGTATAAATATTATACTAATTTTTACGGTCATTTCTCAGGGGAAAAAGTTTGTCTCCACAACCCCAATGATAATTTACTTAATATATGTAGTTAAGATAAGTTAAGAAGATGGTTAAATTATTGTGTCTAGTATGTAGCGTATGTAGATTTTAGCTATGAAGTTTACGTGTTAGGTACATTGTGATAGGTCATTACAACGTGTCTTTGGGTTGATCATGATGTGTTTGCAATACATGCCTCAAATTTCCCTACTTTCACAAATCTGTATTGACTCGGGTTATTCCATGGATTAATAAAATCCACAGAGATACTGCATTCTTTCGGTTTAGAAAACTTTAACTTTGGGATCAATCTAAGAGTTGAGATTAATTTTTTTTTAATAAAATCATATTTTCTTCATTTAACTTTTAATTTAAAATTTTTATTTGCAAATATGAAATATTAGAGTTCTTGATAGACGATAAGGTATACAGTATGTTAGAGAGTGGTATAAGATCCAGCAGAACCTTCTCCCAACAACTCGAGTTATTGAGACCAACTGGTTCTTGACATGGTATCAGAGCCTAGAACCGAAAGGTCATGTGTTCGAATCTCCACGACCCCCAATATTAACCGTTGTCTTTCAAGCACATGGTATGGTGGGCCTGTGCAAACTTCAAGCTCATGGGTTGGCTTTCGTTTGAGAGGGCGTGTTAGAGAGTGGTATAAGATCCAGCAGAACCTTCTCTCAACTGGTTCTTGACACCGTATAGGTATACCACGACGTCGTTGGGGGTTGTATTGATCCCTGGCATAAGGCATCCCGCAGCGGATCCCACCTGTTTGGTACACTGAACGGAGCTTGGATTCTGCTAAATTCCCGCGGGTCCCGGCTGGGACCCACCACACCACCTCCATCGAATCACATTCCTTCCCTCGTCCCGTCGCACCACCTAAACACATGAACTAGACGAGTTCCCACCGATCCCGCTCGGAGAGCTGAAACTCGCTCGCTCGCTCAATCAATCAATTTTTCGGCAGACCCGGGTTCCCAACTCAATCATTCACTCTGCTCATTCGCCGGTCGGGGCGAGGCAAGGCAGGCGAAAAAATGGAGTATAATTGCAGCGGCGGAGGAACGGCGGCGTCGTTTAACAAGAGTTGGGCTCAGCAGACGGAGGAGAGCTACCAGCTCCAGTTGGCCCTGGCCCTACGGATGTCTTCCTTAGCTGCTTTAGCTACTGATCCCAATTCCTTAACTTCTCCGGCATGGGACGACCTAGTCCACAAACGCCTCCCCGTCGCTTCTGCTTCTTCTTCTTCTTCTTCTTCCTCCCCTGATTCTGCTCAATCCATTTCCCGTCGCTTCTGGGTATCTGTCTCCTCCTTCCTTCTCTTATCCCCCTTTCTGGGTCTTGCTTTATTCGCCTCCTTCCTTCTCTTTATCCCTCTTTCTGTTTCGTGCTATTACTTCTGCAGATTTTTTTGTTTTTGTTTCTGGTGCTAGGGAAATGGGTTTCCCAAAGGCCAAAACTTTACCTTTAGTACTGTCGTATTTCGTTGACAAGTACCAAGTAGGACGCGCTTATTTTCGTACTTTCCTCCCTGTTTCATTAAAAGATTCAAGTTGTTTGCATGCTGCTTCTCCTGGGTTTGCTTTTTCCCAAGTGGAAGTTTTTTAATTTTGCAAAAAACTAGGCACATTTGTGACAAATTCTTAGCTGTTTTCTCTGTTGATCAGCGGGATTGAACAACCTTGCCTTGCCATATAAGTGGAAGGCTTTTTGAAAATCCCGTCTAGCTCTGTCCGTCAGGATGCATATTCAGGTGTCGAACTACCCAGTAGATAGTTTGAAGAACTGATAACCTTAACATCTGCTTCACAATGAATTATTGGAACTCACTGTTGTATAAACTCATTCAGTCTCTTGTACCGTCTAGCTGAAGCTCTAAAATGCTGGTTTTGTTCCATCGGTATCAGGTAAATGGCAGCCTATCTTACTACGATAGAATCCCTGATGGGTTCTATGCAATCTATGGCATGGATCCGTATGTTTGGACCATAAGTACAGACCAGAGCGAGCTCGGTTGGATTCCGTCCATAGATGCATTGAAGGCTGTGGATCCTCATGCCGAATCAGCAATGAAAGTGGTATTGGTTGACAGATTCAAGGATCATGTTCTGAGAGAGCTATTTGATCGAGTTGCTAGTCTTTCCAGTGATCGGTTTTCCACAAATGATGCGGTATCTGAGATTGCAAATATTGTCTGCAGTCGCATGGGGTGATTTCTCACTTCTTTTTCAGGTGACATATATATATATACTATCTCACCTAGGATTCTGATGGAGCTTTCCTTATTTTTCAGTGGCGAAGCTCTTATCGAAGACGGAGAGTTCTGCCAGTACTGGATGGAGTGCGCCGACATTCTGAGATACCGTCTACGTTCTGTTATAATTCCTATCGGAAGCTTGTCTGTTGGTCTCTGCATCCATCGGGCATTGCTGTTTAAAGTAGGCATTAAATTTCCCCCTTTTTTTTATCTAGCGTATTCAGAAGAATATAGATCTATAATCACGGTTCTACAGGAGATCTATAATCAGGTTATTGCAGGACAAAGCGTTGACCTCTATTTTATTTTTCATTTTTCTAGGTGTTGGCAGATTCAATTAACTTACCATGTAGAATTGCTAAAGGTTGCAAATATTGTACAAGGGATCTTGCTTCTTGCTGTCTTGTTCAAGTTGGTAATGAGAGGTATGAAGTGGAGTAATGTGTTCATACGTGCCAGCAAATTAGTTCTGATTTTTTAACTTATCAAAACCACTCACTATCATGTTTAGTTTGAAATCTGTGCAATTTAATGAGTGATGCTCTGAGTTTGTGAATACAGAAGGCCAAATGGAACGTGGATAATATGTATTGTGATAGTCCTTACGAAATGTGAAGCAAACAAATGACATAATGAGTAACAATTATCACCCCTGATGGTGTTGCCAAATTGTTTTATGCATTTCTATATCTGTAGTGTGAATGTTGGAGCCCCTGACAGATGTCTGAATTATTTGCTTGTATTTACAGGGAATACTTGGTTGATTTGTTCAGTAAGCCAGGAGCCTTAAGCCATCCCGATTCCTCACTCAATTGTACATCCTCAATCTCCGCAGCTTCTCCATTGTCTTACCCTAGGTTCAATCATGTCCCAACAGTTGAAGACGTCAGGGCAATGGCAAAACTTTATTTCTTTGATGGTCAAGCTCTAAATCTTACATTTGACACTAATACTAACTCAGGTGATCCCTTAAGTATCATTTTTTCTTTCTGGACATGTCAACTAACTGCCCACGATGAATTATCGCTGAATTGAACATTTGAGTTTGGCAATGGAATAGACTGGATCTTTTCTAGTAACACGTACTGTGATAATTGAAGGCGGTTTAGGACTCCCGAAAGCCAGCAAAAGTCTTGCACATGCTGCAAACGACAACCATGAAGCTTCTCAGTCAGTTGTAATGCAAACTACCTCCCAGTGTACCGTATTTCACAAGGATCCAAATGTCAGCAGTCCTTTCCCATATGTAATAAATTCAAGGAATGTAGATAAAGGCGGCATTCAATCAAGTCATTTGCTGATGACTGGCCATCAAGATGTGCATCCAGTTTCTGTCTTCTCCAATAACATACCTGGTACATCTGATCATAAGTGGTACATGGAATCAAAACAGATGAAACATTCGAGCAATGATCTTCATCTTGAAGATGAAGATTTGGACATTCGTTGGAGTGAACTTGTTGTGAGGGAGAAGATTGGTGAAGGTACCTTATGCATTGTTGTTTAAAACATTCAAGGTCCTTGTGACCAATTTTATTCTACATTTTGCTGGATGTCCTTTCTAGTATGATGTCATCAAACCAGCTTTGGTATCCTGTATATTCAATTTTAGACATCATGCATTAAGGTTGCTGGTACAACTTTGTCAGGTTCATTTGGAACTGTTCATCGTGCTGAATGGCGTGGTTCTGTAAGTATTTTCTTTCTTTCTTATGTTTCATAAAATTCTTCTTCCCTTTGTTCTGCATTTTCGTTCTCTCTTTGATATGCTCCTGGCTATTGTTACTTCATTAGAGAACCAGACAGTAATATCTTGGCTGTAAATGATTTTGCTAGAGGAGAAGGCTTTTTGCTAATATTCTAGGTTTCTTCCCTCGTAGTTGTCAGCCTTTACCGATGGTCAAATGTTATTGTGTTTCTCAATATTGCTGATTTTCTCAACCTTCAATAATATCGAGCCTGCGAACATCAGGAGGTTGCCGTCAAGATTCTGGCGGAACAAGATTTCCATCCAGAGCACCTGAAAGAGTTTCTTGCCGAGGTATCCTCCTCTCAGAATACATGCCACTGAAATGAATATAAAATAAAGCTTATTTTATAAATTAATATTGACATAGGTTTCAACGTAGTTGATCCATTATATTTGTTGGTTAGGTTGCGATCATGAAACGGCTGCGGCATCCAAACATTGTTCTTTTCATGGGGGCTGTTACTCACCCCCCTCATTTGTCTATAGTTACCGAATACTTATCGAGGTATTGAAGGTTCATTCATGTGCAAGTGCAGATTTTTCCAGTATTCATGTCTGTCAGTTTGATACATGCCAGATGGTTAAAGTTTCTAGGATGAACTTTGGATATTGAAGTATCTGCTCTGAACCTGCAGGGGCAGTTTGCATAAACTGCTGCATAAACCGGAAGCCAGATTAATGCTTGATGAAAGGCAGCGTTTGAACATGGCTTCTGATGTGGTCAGTTCCTGTCATGTTCTAATACTGTTTTTGTCGAGCTAGTGACTGATATATTTGTGGAAGAACTATTTGAATTTGCGAACGCGCCACTAAATATTCTGTGAAATATGGAAGTAGGCATTTCTGAACTCATCTAGAGTTGTTTGTTTCTTTTCCTTGGGCGAATTTCGTGAACTGTTGTGGTATGACTAAAAGAAGTTACTAACCTCACTACTGTGACATGTGAAGCCAGAGGTATCTTAACCGAAGGGTTGTTGCTCTCTTTGTTCGCAGGCAAAAGGTATGAACTACCTTCATCAGCTGCGGCCACCCATTGTCCATCGAGATTTGAAGTCCCCAAATCTATTAGTGGACAGTACATACACCGTAAAGGTGAAACTACCATCCTTTTGGATCTGGTCATTTGTCATTACGTTGGAATTGCCAGTTAGAAGAAGAAAATGATTGCAGTTTTCATCAAAGTTTGTGAGTGAGGAGTAATCATGAATAATGTGTTAAGCTAACAATTCATCTTTTGGAATTTCAATACTTGGTCATCCAGGTCTGTGACTTTGGTCTGTCTCGTCCCAAAGCTAACACATATCTTTCCTCCAAGACAGCAGCGGGAACAGTAAGTTCTAAAGACCCTATAGATGATTAACATTTTATGACCTGTAGGATTTGTATGTCTAATATTTCCACCAGCAAGAAGAAAAGCATCCTTGATGTAGAACATGAAATTCCCCTATCTAATTCCCTCTTTTTAGCCTGAATGGATGGCACCTGAAGTTCTTCGTAATGAGCAATCAAACGAGAAATCAGATGTTTACAGCTTTGGGGTGGTCTTATGGGAACTGGCAACTCTTCAACAGCCATGGAAAGATTTGAAACAGGCCCAGGTGGGTTATTGGCTTTCCCTAAAATTTTATTTACGCATTTAGTTGTACCTGTACAATGACGGACTGGGTTTCTGCTGGTCATCAATAATTAGCCATGCAAAAAGTAGGTGACAGACCAGACGTTTTCATGACGAACCAAGATATAGAAATGATGAATATTAAAGGGTATACTTCTGCTATTTCGTTTAGCAGTATTTACCGTTCTGAATGATGAAGTAAATCTGTAACTGAAATGGATTGGTTATCTGTTGCAACATAGCCGATGTGTTGAATATCACATGTTTCTGCATCCAAATAGAAGACGTCGGCTCTTACATGTATCATTTAATATTTCAAGGAAAGTACAATTTTTGTTTGCAACTCAAGCTGCTGGCAAAAGTACAGAGAAAAATCAAGGAACTCCTAACCTACAAAGGACTAACTGACGCATAATCCCCTGAACATGCTAGTGCTGGAACCTACTTCACCATAAAATTGAATGTCCCTACGCGTGTTTCAGGTTATTGGAGCTGTCGGGTTCAAAGGTCAAAAGCTCCAGATTCCAGATAACATAAATCCTGGTGTCGCTGCTTTGATTGAAGCCTGCTTAGCCAAGTAAGTGGATGATGACTGTGATTCTTTTTCCATCTCATATGATCATGGACATGCAATCCCATTCTTTTTCTTATAGTAAGACAAGTCTGGTTGTTCCTGCAGTGACCCCTCTCACCGTCCTTCATTCTCGTACATAGTAGAAGCTCTACAGAAACTGATCAGAAGCCCCATGTCTCGACCACCCCGGGTTCATGTCGCTTGACACTTTTGAGGGCAAAAGAGTCTTCATTTACGAGAATCTGAATAGTTCACAGCTTGAAGTAAGTGCCCTATCCAAAGAACTTTCCCGGAGCTTAAACAATAAAGACCGGGAGCGCTCTTGCAGACCGGAGCAGTGGATGGTCTGCTGTAGCAGATTATGCTTCAAGAAGTGCAGTCATATCTTGCAGGCAGCATGGGAAGTTTTGAGTAGGGATGATTACACTTGTGTAATTCTCTCTTGTCAGCAGCAGCAGTGGCAGCTGCTAGTTAATTGTATATATAGGTATAATATATCAAGTGAAAACAAAGGTATATAGTTTGTGAGAGGAGTTGAATCCAAATAGTTTGTGTGAGAGGGATTGAATCCCAATATAGCTAAGCAAGCTCATCAGCCCTCTCTGTTTTTTAAGGGTCAATTTAGGCCTTGGCTGTTAACATAAAATGTAAAAGTACGTCAATGTGTCAACTCAAAACAGAAGTGCTTTGTGCTTGGCGTCATTGAGTTGGTAAAGATGGATACTTTGTGTTAAATACTTAAATCCCACATTCCTATTCATCTGTAACTGAATCGAGAAGCATTTGAATAACCGTTTTGTACTTGTATTCAGAAGAATGTATAATGGAGTAGAGGGGACTAGAGAAGGGTCTGTAATGACAAAAGTTAGTCGTCGTGTCATGTCGTTAAATCATATTGTGACAAGACAATAAAAATTTATTTTTTATTCGACCAACATTATGCCAACCTTTTGTTATTATAAAGTTATTATGACAATATTTGATATAAAATTTGTTGTCACAATAGACGAAAATTGTTGTAGTGTTGGATATTTATCTACAGAGGATCAGACTTCAGATATCCTAAATAAGTTGCTGGCTTCGATTAGATATTGATTTCTCTCATCCAAATTGATGTAACGCACCTAACATCAATTTGAGAGTGTGTTGAATTGTTAAACTACGAGTACTTGTATGTAATGAGCCAACTACCTATGTATATATACTATATAGTTATGTAACGTGTATGTATGTAAACCCTAACAAGAGTAACAAAGTTTGCATTCGAGAGTACTATCTCTCTCGTGGACTGATCCTAACAATAAGGAAAACCACGTTAAATCATCGTATTCTTTAGTTTCTCGTGTGATAATTTGACAAGTAAATCGACCAGTCTGACGTGTGGTACATTAATGAAAGTACATAACAACTCATATTTAAAATACGAGTATACAAACCAAGTTGTTACAATGGATAATGAAAGCACTTGTTGAAGATTATTATAGATGTTTTACACTTAGACCATCCACAATGTGGGAGGGTGGGAAAGGTGGGAAAAGAAGGAAAAGAGGAAAAATGGGAGGGTTTGGTCACAATGTGAGTGTGGGAAAATGAGATAATTGGTTGAACACTTTTTTTGGTAAATTCAATTTATAGTTGATTTCAACACTTTATTTTTATATAATGATCATTATTTTTACATAGTTAGTGATAATTAATGAATACGAACATTTCTATATAAATTTTTTTTAATTTGGACATAATTTTTGTCATCACTAATTAACGTCATTAATGACGAAATCAAAATAATTTATACAAGAAAATTGTTACATTGATAGTTGAACATAAACATAATTAAGAACAAATAAAAGCAAACAAATAAACACTAAACCCTAAAAACAAACACTAAAAAACACAAAACAAAAAACAAACTAACGCGGGCCCCACCCCTTCCCCTTCCCCCCACCTTTTGTCTTCTTCTGGTGGGTTTTCCCACCCAAAATTTCCTCTTTCTCCACTTTTTTCATCTTTACCAATTACCACCCACATTGTGAGTTATTTCCCCACTTTCCCCCCTAAACCACACTACATTGTGGAGAGTCTTACAAACATGTAATCCACGGTAGGTAGTAATTAAATGGAAGGTAGAGGGTTATAGCGGATAACAGGAATCAGTTCCAAATGGTTTTCCCTCCTTAGGGTGACGCCAAACTTTTCATCCATATTGAAGCTTGTTGCCTCAACTTCACGGGGAAGTTTCCAATCAAAATGGAACAACAGATTTGCCAGAGTAAGTTCAGCAGCTGCTAATCCGAAAGTCATTCCAGGACACATTCTTCTTCCCGCTCCAAAAGGGAGGAACTCAAAGTCACCTCCTCTAAAACTGACTTTATTATTTAGGAACCTCTCGGGCAAGAATTTCTCAGCTTCTTCGCCCCAATAACGAGGATCCCTTGCAATGGCCCACACATTCACAAGTATTCTCGTCTTCAAGGGAATATGGTACCCGCTGATATGACACTCTTCTCTGCACTCTCTGGGAAGCACGAGTGGGGCGGGAGTGTGCAATCTTAGCGTCTCTTTGATCACCAGTTTCAAATAGGCGAGCTCGGAAATCCTAGCTTCTTCGACCCTTCCTTTTTCACTGAACACTCTTCTCACCTCGGATTGCGCCTTGTACATCACTTCTGGGTTTTTTATCATTTCGGATATTGCCCATTCTATCAGTGCAGCTGGAGTCTCGCTTCCCGCTAGGAAAATGTCCTGGAAACCCAATCAATTAAGTAATGCATGACCCGAGGTGGTCAAGAATCATGTCTTTAATTTAGAAATTAGAGCGGATAGAAGGAAATGAAAAATCCTTAGCTCCAACTTTGGTTGGATGCAGAAGTTTCAACCATCCACATGTCAGTTTGTTATTGTCCACTCTTCAAACTATATGCTTTTGCCCCTATAAGTTACTAAAATACGTCTACCTATAATCACGTTTTTTTTCTAATTAATGTAGTCAAAATCACACTTCAAAGGTTAAAAAATTATACATCCACGTTTCTAAATCTCCAAAACACCTACATAAAATCACGATTTTAACTGCATACACGCGTACCAGGAGGAAACCCTTGACAGCATCGGTTGACAAGTGGAAACCAAGCGTGTCGCCGTTTTCCTGAAGATTCAAGAGCACATCGAGAAGATGCTCTTCCTCTTCCTCCGACATCGACTTCCCCCCTTGCGCTGCTCTCCTGGCCTGATGTTGCCCGATCATGCTCTCCGCCAGCCTGTCGACGACCTTCTGTATCCCGTCCAGAAACTCCTCTGTCCCCGACAGCCTCTGCACCAGTGCATTCGACGGGAACAGGTAGGCGACCTTAAACCCTCCCGCATACTCCACCAGCTCCTCCGCAACCTTTATGAACTCCTCCTGGCCCCTCGACACGTCCCCAAATGTCGACATCGAGATTATCCTGTATGTAGAGGAGATAATTCGTAATCCAATCCAATTCATCCACTTAAATATTCAACTAATTGACTTTGTTTTTGGGAATTGGATCCGAGGCTGAACCGGAAAAAATTAATGGTTTAGAATTCAGTGGTTAACCATTACAAAATCGTTGGTTAATCGTTGATAGAACCGTTCCATCATATACAACATACAATAATTGTATATTACACTAATTTAATAAGATAACAATTTAAAATTCATATTATGACCAAAAAATATATAATAAATCATTCATACCATCCCACAAAAATAAATCATATTTTTTTTTAATTCAAGTTAAAATCATGGTACCAGTCGGTACTGTGGACCACGTAAAGTCGACAACAAGGTTGGAAAATGATAAGAGGTAGCAGAAACAAAATTAATAATTATGGTTTGATGGTTCTTAGTTTACCTTAAGGTATTTTTGAAAAAAAAACTTTCGTGGTTAAAATAATGAACCTGTGGACCAGTTAAACCGTGGTGGTTCATCTGGTTTTATTTTAAAATCGTGAAAAATTATTTGGTCCATCAATAACCGTCTAAGATATGAATCAGACCGTTATCATAGCTGATTTGACGATTCTACTGGCCCAGCTGTTTGATCCGGTTCGGTTCTTATAACAATGAAACTAATTCAATTCATTTGTCACCTCTACCTGTACGTCAAGCTGAACAACATCCTCGTCAGATCGATCGTGGCCCCTGCTGTTGCGGTCGAGGCCACCGCGATCGACCGGACGAGGGCCCGAACCTCCGCCTCCCTGACCCGCCCGAGCGACCTCACGCGCTTGGCGGTGAGGAGCTCGAGCGTGGCGACGCGGCGCAGCTGGCGCCAGTAGTCGCCGTAGGGAGCCTGGATGAGGTCCATCCCGCCGTACACCACCTTCTCGTAGTGCGGGTGCGGCGGCCGCTGCGCGAACTTGACGTCGTGGGTCCGCATCACCTCCATGGCGGCCTCCGCCGACGAGATCAGCACGTGCGAGATCTCTCCCAGCTCCAGCCGTATCACGTCGCCGTGTTTCCGCGACAGCTCGCGGAGGAGCCGGTGCGGCGGCTGGCGGCTCGTTAGGAAGTGGTGGAGGTGGCCGATCACGGGGAGCCTCCAGCCGGGAGCCGGAGCCAGGTGGCGTCCGGTTTTTCTTCTTCCTCGCGGCGCCCATTTTTTGGGTGAAAATATAATTATGATGATGATGGAGATAATTAAGAGGAATATTTGCAGGAGGAGCTCCATGTATCTAATTATTTGTGGCGGTCTCGGAGATGGATTAACTACTAATCTTATAGTCGGTGAAGTGTCCGGATAATTAATCCGAAACAGGGATCCGCAATAATTGAGTACAGATCTTACAACACACATCAACACTTTGTTCTAGAGAGTCATAAGAAAGAAAAGTCCTGTTGAATGGATGGAGGTTTCCACCATCAATGTTTCTATACATCTTTCTATTCTCGTATGTCTAGCTAAGCTCGAGTTGTTTAGGGATGTGAACTCTATGTATTTGATCACACGAAATTTATAAATTTTTATACCCACATTTTCATGCCATTTTATGTTTGATTTTGTGTGTTTTTAGCGTTTCGGGTATTTACAATTGAAAGGAGAAAAAAAATGATCCAACTCTGGTCAAACACACTGAAATTTGATGAATGATGATCTGAAGCGGTAGAGGACGCGACAATATGGACGCATAGGCGCAAATAGTGATTAATTCGGAGATCAAACGAAGAAGATACGAACCAAAAAAAGTTCAAATGCTACAGTACTGTCAACCGTCCAACCGAGTCGACCAGCCGCCAAAGGGGACTGACCAGCAGCCGCACAAGTGGCCTGACGTTAAGTGTGCAGCAACCTATAGTGACGGGATCACAGTGCAGTAGCCTTTAGTGACTATCTAATTAGTGACGAATGCACCCGTCGAATCACAGCGTTGGTTGGCAACTTTGACCATACTATTGGAGACGAATTATTTTGTGACCATATCTTGTTAAAAACGACTATATTGTCGTTGCAATTTTTTGCTGATTGTCTATAAATAGTGAATACAAGCCTTGGGGAGGAGAATTGAGGAGAATTGAGAGGGAGGGGTGAGAGAGAAATGAACGCTGTAGCAGTGGACGACTATATTGTCGTTGCAATTTTCTGTTCTTCTTTTATTTTTAGTTGTAATTTTTATGTTGTTGTGATGTTGAAATCAAGACAGTTTGAAGTTTCTTCACATTTTCAAGTGCAAGTTTTTCGTTTTATCGCTCGTCAGTTACCAGTGGCGGACCCAGGAATTACATCAAGGGTATTCAACGATGAAATAAATTACAAAGGATTGTCAAATAGCCTTAAGTTCAAATACTACCATTGCAAAAACAAAATTTTACAAAGGAATTTTGTCAAAAAAATGGAAACAAGGTTTGTCAATTGACTTCTGTTCTTCTTTTTGTATTATCACTAGAACAAATCCTTTCAGGACAAGATCGGGAATGAAACTAAACTTAAAGAATGTATAAGGAATTATTGTTAAGTATGGATACTGAATTGTAATATTGTGAAGTGGCATGCAGGCAATACGAGAGTTATCATTAATTTTTGTTCTTCTTTTCGTATTATTACTAGCAAATCCTTCCAGGACAAGATCAAGAACAAAACTAAACGTAAAGAATGTACAAGGAATTATTATTAAATATGGATATTGAAATTCCTTGTTAAATATGGATATTGAATTGTAATATTGTGGAGTGACATGCAGGTAGGACGAGAAAGATGAAAATTGTAATATTGTGAAATGGCATGCAGGCAGGACGAGAAAGATGAAAAAATCGACCACATTGATATTGAATTGTAATATTGTGGAGTGGCATGCAGGCAGGACGAGAAAGATGAAAAAATCGACCACAGTGGGAGTCGAACCCACGACCTTTTGATCCGAAGCGTATTGTGGAGTGGCATGCAGGCAGGACGAGAAAGATGAAAAAATCGACCACAGTGGGAGTCGAACCCACGACCTTTTGATCCGAAGTCAAACGCGCTAATCCACTGCGCTATGCGGTCAGTCTTGTTAACTTTTTGTCAATTTATTTTAATTAAATACTTGAAAATCGCTGTTTGATGGAAGTAATTCGATTTATCAGCACTTGATTGGCCTGATTTTTCTCTCGTTATTTTGGTTGTGGTAGTAGGTACTAGGTAGTGTAATTTGTTTCGGAAACTAGATTTCTAAAACTGAACCGCTGAACATCATTCTAATTTTGTTAAGATGTCCTGATCAATTCCATAATAATTGTTTTACATTTCTTTCTAATAACAAATCAAATACTCCCAGCCTATGACTCATTCTGTTCTATCCAGAGAATGTAAATAGGAGATTGAGCAATAGTAAATTGGAATAATTAGTCTTTAGAATTCAGACTTCAGACTATGCAATTATTAAGTACGATAGTAATGAGTGAAGATTTTTGGATAGAACATAATGAGTCATAGCCGGGAGGGTCTTACGTTTGAGATTATATTTGTCATAGACTTGTGAGAAAAATTTAATTTGTGCACACAGTATAAACTTTGAGGTTGAGAGATTCTTTTGTTCCAGTTCGATGCAGGCGGAAGCTTATGCTATTCTCAATGCAGTGATCTTGGCGGCTCGGGGAACAGTGCTCAGCTTTTGTCAAACCTGATTGTCAGATTTTGGTGAATGCTCTTAAGCTTGTTCCAGACTAGTGGCCTTGGCAATATCGGGCTTTACTTGCTCGTGTCTCGACCATTCTCGTTTCGGCTATGTGGGTGAAAGTGATGTTTGTTCCTAGACGTCATAATCTACTGGTCGACTGGGTTGCTCGTAATGCTAGATTAGATGCTCTCCCCCGAGATTTGATCGTTATTTCCGATCTCTTGTCACCACTGTTATAATCAACTGTACTTCGACTGTTTCGATTTGGAATAAAATTGCCCCAACTTGTCAAAAAAAAAAAAAACAGCTTAGATTGGTGAATTCATAGATATTTTGAAAATAACACTTTAGTACATATAGTTTTATATTTGCAATATGATACCTCAAGTTCAATTTTTAATGAAACTCAAAAATAATGTTTTCTACCTAATTATTTCATAATGACATTTTAGTACCTAAACTCTTCAAATTTTACAAATGGTCCAATGTTTGTTTGGATTTACTTGAATCTATGAATCCAATCCTCCAATCTATGAATCCATCAAGGGTGCGTTTGGATACAAGGATTTGGATTTGGTATTTGTGATTTGGATTTTCAAATACCAAATCATGTGTTTGGATATTAATTACATTTGGTATTTGGATTTGTGTCAAATTCATGGGGTGATTTCCAAATACATATCTAGTGTATTTTTTGTCAACTTCAAATACATTTCAACAACTAGTGATTTGAAATACCTCCTAACAAAAGAATGGACCTATTTGTAAAATATGAAAAGTTTAGGTACTATAGTGTGAGGCAAAACTTATAAAGGTACCAAAATGTAATTTTACCATCAAAATTTCAGGAACTTTTTGTAAAATTTTAAAAGCTTAGGTACTAAATTGTAAGAAAAAATAATTTTGGGTACCAAACTGTAATTTACCAAAATTTGTAGTAAGTGGCCAGAAAATTAAAAATTGAAATTGAAAATCATAAATACAAAAATACAAACAAATTACAAATGAGTATCCAAACAATGAATTTGAATTACATGTATTTCAAATGCTAATACTTCAAATACATCCATTTCAAATGCTAGTATTTCAAATACCTTACATTTAAAATACACTTATCCAAACGCACCCCAATACAATTCATTTTCCACCTCTTAATATGCTAATTATTTTCATGAGATTATGAATGGGTTCACTTAAGAGATTACTGATAGCTAATCAATAATAATTTTTAATGCTGGTGACATCCACACTTATCTTAACCCTAAATTATTTGATAGGATTTTTACAATTTGAATAATTTTGTACATCTTATATAATAATTTCAAAGTATTAAATTAAAATCGTATAAATCCCTAGCTAAAACCCATTCCACCTATTAAGGTTGAGCATGTGTGTGTGAGAAGAAACCTAACGCGTGCTATGTGTTCTTAAGTGAAAAACCAAAATGGGTATTAAGGATCATACCGAACCCTACAATTGGTCCCCCAGACTTTATCTACAAATGTACTTAACGAAATTAAGATGTAACGAACAATAGAGTCAGCTACTAAGCAGTCACAGTCATATTTGGTTTCTCTACTAAAGTCAACAGATCAGATGAATATACATCTCTACTATTTTCAAATTCAATTTTAACAGATTATATCTTTTCTATATTAATCTATATTTCATTTATGGAAAAAAAAATCAATTTTTTTTTTAAGTATAAGTGGGACCTCCATGTCCTCATTAAAATCAAGGATAAAAACACGTCAATCAAGATGTTATATACTTATATATGGTGATGTCAACACAAATTATATTATGTTGATACGAAAATATTCTATGGTCTTACTCAAAATATGTTATGGCAACCATGCCCATCTGCCATTTACTCAATCTAACCCAACCCGAAGAAGAATATAATTGGATAATATATAACAATTATACAAATTCGCTAGTAAGCTGATGAGCCAATTTGATACCAAAATCCACCTAACTTGCCTATTGTACATCCCTATTTTTTATACCATCCCACCAACAATTTCAGGGGTCGTTTGCATGAGTCATTTACAAAATGAACCATTTGATCAAATGTACACATTTGCAGATGTATTGTTTGTTTAACAGTTGTAATGAGCCATTCACAAATGGGTCGCTTGTATAATGTTAAAATTTTGCCCTTACATTTAATATTTCAGTCTCTTGTTTCCTATCCTCATAAAATCAACCACGCGTAAGAAAATCACTTTCCAACCAACAAAACATATGGTCATGATTCATGTATAATAATTTCTAATTTTAAATAATATTTTTATGTTAAGTTTCTTTGTAAAAGGTAATGACTCTTGAGGTCTCACATTCAGGTTAATTACGACTCATTCTTGAAGGCGGCAACTCCAATGACACGAGTAGTTAAAGTCACGAGAAAATGATGGATACTATAAGATGAATGGTCCTTCTCGCTGCTTGTAGGGGGGAAATGGGAATGGACGAATTCCTGATAAGGGATATAAGTAATAAAAATGCAAAGACAAAAGTATATTTATAAAAAAAAGTAACAAAAGACATAATTGAAAATTTTGAGCTAACATATTGAGACATTTGAAAACGACTCATAAATGAGAAATATTTCGAAATGACTCTATTAAGCAAATGATCCCTCAAGCTCTCCCCTTTTTATACCATGCATCTTCCTCCACACTGTTCAATTTCATACCATATCATGGCTATGCCTTCTTCGTCTTCCTTCATCTCCTCGTACTACACTCTCATCTTCCCTTTCCTCGCCGCCGTCATCTTCCTCTCCTTCTCCAAACGCAAACGCCGGCCCAACCTGCCCCCAGGCCCGCCGGGCTGGCCAATCGTGGGTAACCTCTTCCAAGTCTCCCGCTCCGGAAAGCCCTTCTTCCAGTACGTCGACGAGGTCCTCCGGCCCAATTACGGCCCAATCTTCACCCTCAAAATGGGGGCCCGCACCTTGATCGTCCTCACCGACGCCGACTTGGCCCACGAGGCCTTCATCGAGAAGGGCGCCACCTTCGCCACCCGGCCCGCCGAAAACCCGACCCGCGCCATCTTCAGCTGCAACAAGTTCACCGTCAACGCCGCCCTCTACGGCCCCGTCTGGCGCTCGCTGCGGCGGAACATGGTCCAGAACATGCTCGGGTCGGGTCGGGTCAAGGAGTTCCGGCGCCTCCGCGAGTCCTCCATGAATACCCTTGTAGCCCGGATTCGGGCCGAGGCAGGGGAGAACGGCGAAGGACCCGTCTGGGTGCTGCAGAACGCCCGATTCGCCTTCTTTCGTATCTTACTGGCGATGTGCTTCGGGTTCGAGATGGATGATGATACGGTGGATGAGATGGATCGGGTTTTGAAATCGGTGCTAATGGTTCTCGACCCGCGAATCGACGATTTCTTGCCGATTCTGAGACCGTTTTTCTTGAAGCAGAGGAATCGGGCGGCGGCGGTGAGGAAAGAACAGGTCGACGCCATCGTTCCCCTCATCAAACGGCGTCGTAGGATGCTGCAGGACCACGTTTTAGATCCCAAAGCGATGTCGTTTTCGTACCTGGACACGCTCTTCGAACTTCGGGTCGACGGGCGGGATTCCGGACCCTCTGACCCGGAATTGGTAACCCTAGTATCGGAATTCGTGAACGGCGGAACCGACACCACCGCCACGGCGGTGGAGTGGGGGATTGCGCAGCTAATTGCGAACCCCGAGGTGCAGGGGAACCTTTACGCCGAGGTCGCCGCCGTGGTCGGAGGGAGCGGCCGGAAAATCGGGGAGGAGGACGTGGAGAGTATGCCGTACCTTCAAGCCGTCGTGAAGGAGATTCTCCGGAAGCACCCTCCGACGTACTTTACTCTGAGCCACGCGGTGACGGAGCCGGCGACGTTGGGGGGATACGATGTTCCGACGGACGCCAGCGTGGAGGTGTTTCTGCCGGCGATCGGGGAGGACCCGAGGATTTGGTCGGATCCGGGGCGGTTCGAACCGGGCCGGTTCGCTTCGGGGCGGGAGGAGGCCGATATTACAGGGGTCACCGGAGTGAAGATGTTGCCGTTTGGGGGCGGCCGGCGGATTTGTCCAGGGCTGGGACTGGCGAGCGTGCATCTCCACCTGATGATGGCTAGGATGGTCCAGGAGTTCGAGTGGAGTGCGTTTCCGCCGGCGGCGGAGATTGATTTTGAAGGGAGGATGGCGTTTACGGTGGTGATGAAGCATAGTTTGAGGGCCATTGTTAAGCCCAGGCCTCAATCAAGATAAGGTTCAGGGGTGTGAGCATATTAGAAAGGTTATTTTGAATGTGGCGGGAAGGATTGTTATAGTACTCTAATTTCAGTGTTTAGTGTGTTTTTAATTTAAAGATGTATAATTATTTCTTCTTTAGAGTACATTTACATAATAATAAGTGAAATCTAGAAAGTAGAAAGTGAAGGGAGAGTTGAGGAAAATGAATCAGGTTTTGATTTGACTGGCCACTCAATTACATTTCTAATATTTATTTTCTTGAGTTACCCTCATTATGACTGATAGGTTACAATTTGATCCGTGTACTTTTATATGTGAAGAAATGTTATTGGTGGGGCGGGTATGGGTATGCGAAGGGGACGCTAAAACTATACCCGCCAAACATTTTGCGGGTTTTACCATACCCGCCCATACCCGGTTAATGCGGGGATTTCCCGCATTAACTGGGTACGGGACGATCGAGTACTCGTGGTTTTGGGTTTGATTGAATCCCTACGCACAGGTCGACCTGATGGCTCAAGTGGTCTACCGCTTCTATACAGTGGTCGACCTCACGTCAATTTTTTGTATCTGATCCCTTTTATTTGCAATTGCTTAACTTAATTTTGAATATTGATATAAGATTATGATTCCAATTTTATAAGATGAACAATAAAGGAACGAATATGGACAATGGTACTCAAAACATGAAGCATGAAGAAAAAAAATATTAACACTAAAGATGAACGATGAAGAAACTAATATTGTGGCTCTTTCAATTATGCATTTACTTTTAAACTTTCATGTCAATAATCATATGCCCTTTCAATCATGCAATTACTTTTATTTTCCATTTTTTTTTTACTCTTACCTCTTTTTTCTTTTCTTTATTTATATCTCCTAATATGTATTACTATTCATTATACGTATTTTTTGTTTATGTGTTGAAATTGATCTATTTATTCGGTTTTTTTTTTCATCTTTAGACATCTCTCACGCTCGAGCGAAAATAGAAAAACCATAGAAAATCTCCTAATATGGCGTTCCATTCATTAAACTTATTTTTTGTTTGTTGTGTTGAAATCGACCTCATTTCATATTGGTTATGCATTCTTACTAATCTCTTTCTCGCTCGACATTAAAATAACGAAAGTGGCGTAAGAATAATAGACAAAATACTTTGTCTTTCTTCTTTTCCATTTCTAAAGCAGTAAATTCGTAAATTACTACGAACTTCTCGTATAACAGCTTAATAATTTTCTCGTCGTTCTTGGAGTTATGTTGTATGAGTTAAATTTTATTAATTCTTTCATATGACACGTTTACAATGCTATCTTCCACTCATCGCGTGCAATATCTAAGTATATTCTCAATATCACAGGGAACAACTGCTTAGCTGAAATATATGAATTTTTCTGAAGAATCATGAAAAACCATATATTCTCAAAATCATAGGGAACACCCTAAACAGAATTTGTGTTTGCTTGAGCATCCTCTTCTTACCTTTACATATATACAAAGTTCATCAAACATTCGCAACTCCCTCACAAGATTTCATGGCAATTTTTTGTTCCTTTGAGCTCCTGCTTTAAACCGGTAGCTCCTCTTCCTGGAGGTTTTGGCTCTGCTGTAAGCCTGTAACTGTATGCAACTCCACTCCAATGTTGGAGCAAATCATCAAAGTCGTCAAGGATTTGATGGGCTCTCTGCATGCTTGCTTCCCAAGTCTTCAGATTCACATTTCCCCTCCACCAATAGGGACAGAATCTCCCCAGCTTTGGCTTCATCGCGGTCAGAGGCCTGGTGGCTCTCGTCGTCGTTGTTGTTGTTGGTGTTTGACTCAGTCTCACTGCTGTCATTGTGCTGCCTCGATGAAAACCCATGTTCAATATACAAACAGCTGTAAGGATGGACTTCGAAACCCACCTCTGCCCTGCTGTCCTGGGATCGGATGGCTGAGCTGAACAATGGCTGCTGCATTGCTCGTTTTCTCTCGAGGAACTCGTGCAGTGGTATTCGGCATACAGGACATGTGGAATGCTGCTTCAGCCATATGTCGATACAGGTGACGTGGAAAGAGTGTCCACAGTATGGAAGGATGCGCAGGATGTCACTCTGGCGATATTCTGCAAGACAAATTGAGCATCTGCCCACAGACAACAAAATTTGCATCTCTCATTAACTGTATAAATGAGAAACTTTAACTTTGGGAGAGCAAAATGAAAAGGAAAGAAATATCAGGAGATGATATCAGATTCAAAGGGGGAAGATTCCAATGAACTAGTCCACTAATGATTCCATAGAGAACAGTGAAAGAATCCGAATATGCCTACTAGATAGACATGCTTTTTCCTCAACTTAACAATTGATCACAAGACAGATCAAATGGTATTCTGAAAACTCAAAAGAAAGGTGGCAGTGAAGAATATTATGCTTCAATAGTAACAGCTGCCAACTTATCTACATAGATTTCTTCAGCAATCAAACAATGTATACAGTCGGTGTATTAGTGAAGAGGACTCAACAACGCCGGAATGAATCCAGTTCCTGCATATGAATAGATTCTTGTTGCAAGTTGAAAATGAAAAATACAAGCTAATGAATAGAAAGATACCATCTCTAATCTCTATCTGTATTCCAAAACAAGACCTCCAACCCCTTGAAACTCAGTCGTTTACTAACAGCAATCTATCAGCATTATCAGTGACTCATCATCCATCCTATAAGCTCATGTTCATACTAAAATAAGGACAAACCAAAAAGGTGCAACAGATCACAGTGCCTTTTCCATTTTAATTTAGGAAAATGCTCTTCATAACCCCACACCTACAAGTGAGCCACTTCTCCGAGTTCTCCCCATGGCCCTCCAACAAAAAGAAAGCCAAGGAAAATGGGGCGGTTGGATGGACAGTAAGCAAGAAAAGGAAAAGCAATAACCTTCGTGGGCACCCCACCTCATATACTATGGCTTTCCCATTATGCAAATGCCAGTATCTCAAATAAACAAACACCAATCCAAAAATATCTCAAGGGAACAACATGACTCGAGAAAGGACTTGGCAATAAGAACCCAGTATTCCAAACTTAAACAGTGAAGTGTAGAAGGATTAGAACATACTGTGCGTCTTCGGTGGTGGAGAACAACTCGTTGTTGTACTCCTTGGTTGGGAAGTTAGCCACAACTACAGGGTCGAGGCCATGATGATACCCTCTCTCCAACTGCAAAACAGATACAACAATAACATAAAATCAAAGATCTTGAACAATGAAGATGATAATTAGATGGGTAAAAAGAGAAGGGGGTGGGTGTTCTCAGTTTTTGGAATCAAAATGAAACAATCCCAGTTTCCCCTTTAGAGAGCAGCAACGTTTAGTCCATCAAAGCAGAGGAAGCAAATTGAGCATCGAATGGAAGCAACATTCTAGTCCCTCATAGCTCTAAATGAGCAAACAAAGTTCAAACACATACACAGGCCGGTACAGACAAATAAAGAAAGAGAATTGTGCATTTTCCATACAACCAGAAAAGAATGCTTACAATGCCAAGATCGGATCTGGAAGCTACGGGGAAGGAGCGGCGAGCTGCGTTCAAGTGAATCCGAGCGCAGACAAGACGGGTACAAACAAAAACTATGAACATGGTGCTCATAGCAAATCCTATCACTGTCATCACCAAATTCATCCCAGAAGTAATCATCTTTTTCTTCTGGGATTTCCCTTTATTTTATTTCCCCGGGGGAAAAGAATAATGAAGAGGAAATATAATATAGAATGCAAAGAAGCGACCTTTCCCCTCCACAAGGCAACTGTTGAAAGATCAAAACGCCAAACAAGAAGAAAACAAAAAAGGGGTGAGTCAGTAAGTCCCACAATTGCCACTCAATGCCTCTGCAGCAACCCAAAAACCCAGTTCCTCACTGAATAAGCAGCAGCGGTGGAAACAACTGTTCGTTCTAACACACAGACTGCCATCACCATTTCTCAATCAGACTGGTTTGGGCTGAATCAGGAAGAACCCCTCTCTCAACAGAGACTAAACCCCAACATTTCCTTCTCTGTTTTGCTGGCGCGGGAGAAATGGGTGCTCTGCTTTTTTGCAAGTGTGGAGGGGAGAGAGAGAGAGAGAGAGAGGGAGAGAGAGAGAGCATTGAGGGAGGAAGAGTCAATAGAAGAGTAGTGTTGTTGTGATTACAGATGAGTGAATTGGATTCGATTGGCTATTTGTGGAGTTCCCTTTTCCCTCGTTGCCCCCCTCCTTTTCAGAAAGAAAAGTTCTCTCTTTTTTTGTGAGCTCTGTCTCCGGTGTCATTGCATACCTCAAATCCCAAATCTTTTCCTTTCTATTATCGTGGGAGGAGACAACGACGTTTGAGGGATATTGCGATTTTGCGCATGATTCTTATAGTTGGTCCACAGATTTTGCGGTTTTGGGATTCCTTTTTTATGGTTGCTGCTTGCTGGTTGTTAGGAACAAGGAAAACACAATTATATTTTCATCCGCCAAGAGGAAAGAAAAGATAAATAAAATCAGATTTGGATATGGTTGTTGAGTTTCAAAGAATATAAAAAATCACCACAAAAACTGGGAAGAATAAGATAAAGAAACAGTGGTGGGAAGAGTTCAAAGAATTTCACGATGGATTTTGGCACAATTTCTCATTCTGCGTAAAGAGTTCACCACAGATGATGTTATTGCAGGTACACTAACACTGCCAATGGAAGCACTGTACAAAGGATCAGACTGTTTATTGGCTATAGCACATCATCAAGCCTAAAACAGATAAATCAAAATCATCGTGTGACTTGGTTGGGACAATCCCTTTAGTTTCCTGAATACAAAACCTGGTATCGTGTTTTTCTCTTCTACACTCAGTTTAAGGTACAACAGTTGGAGCCTCTAGAGCTCACCAGACAAGTATGTCTAACTACAGCCGTATAGCGTACACGAATACAAACAAGTTCTTGTTCACCAGTCATGCACAGCCCACACACTGCTAAACTCAATGGCAAACAAAGAATTCCATCATCTGTACATATCTGGAGAGTAGGGACTGGAAAATGAGAAACGGTCGGCGGAAGGTGGAATCCCATCTGTTGTTCTTCTACCTGAAGGAATTGTCGAGAAGCCTTCGGAAGGAGTCATCCGCAACATCAAATCGCCATACCCAGGACCGGCTGTTGGGGATGTGAGAATCCCATCAGCAGCTCTACTTCCAGGAAATGTTGAGAAACCTTCTGAAGGAGGCATCCGGAACATCAGATCACCATACACAGGACTAACTGGGAATGCAGGGTATATACTTGAAGGTAAACCCATGTCTATGGATGGATCGATCCGTTGCCTCTGGATAGAAGCACCATATTGTTTGCTGGTAAGCAAATGGTTGTCTGTAGGAAAATTCATCTTGGGGTCTGAGTACTGCGGCATAGCAACAAGTTGATTACTCACTGCTGCTTCTGGATTATTTGATTCTTTCCCAGAATGATGGTTTTCAAAACTTGATCTGGCACTGGAGCTGAGGATGTCGGCCCTACTGGGACCCAAGAGTTCGCTATCCAGACTCAATCTTGTATTAAGAGAAGAGAATTTGTTTCCTTCACTTCTACCCGGAGCTGGAAAATCAGTTGGTAGTCTGAAAAGTCCAGGATATCTTCCAGGTATTTCAGGTGTATTGTCCACAGGTGCTGTTGTCCGAAGAGAAGAAAGAGCATAAGAAGTTCCAACCGGACTGCTACTTACAGCAGATGGAATGTTGTCAATTTGCTGTTGTAGTGATTGCTTCGCTTTCTTAAGAGCCTCCAGAATCCCCAACTCCTTTGGTGCTTTGTGTGGAACCAATGCGTGTACTTCACTTTGGCTTTGAGAAGCTCTCTCTTTGTTGATATCACTGGCTCTATTGGATTCGAAGTCAAGATTCAATTGGCTGCCAGGAGCATCATTTGTACCATGTGTCTGTTGATGCTCATGGGAGCTACTAGAGGGTGAACTCCGGATGTTTGCAAGCTGAGCTTCATTATGCTTACTTTCTATTGAAGAGCAGGCAAAATCGTGACAGCGGGATCCCGAAGTAGGTGCAATGCTATTTTTTTGCACCTTCAGGTGCTCCTTGTTAACAGTCTGCTGTAGACTGCCATTAGGATGGAATTTTGGAAAATCTCCAGCTTCAGATTTTTCCACGTGGTTGGTGGACACGATAGTCCTAGCAGCATGTGGTGGATGTTCGTTAATCTCATATGGAGCTTCCTCAGTAACATCTGAGCGGTTCCCAGGGTCACAAGAATCCTACAATTACTCATTTCACAAAGCATAGGATGTCAGGAGGACTAACTTATCAAGATCCTAGATGAATAAAAAGAAGAAACCAAGCAGTAGCAGCAAAATGGTTTTCCCAGCCAAGTGAGCTTACTAGAAAATATATATATGAGATATATCATCAACGTAAGGAGGGGGTGGCAAATAAAGATGGTATGACAATAAATTTTCAAAAAACTGCACGTCGTCAACCAATCAGAAAGAAATTCAATTCAGCTTATTTCACCATTTTCAATGGACAAGAACAGTGGATACAAGCAATAATTTAAAGACTATTAATAACACAAAATTAAGCACATTCCAACAGTTATGTACTGTTGCACATGCAAGCTTGTAATTTAGAAGTCGTTTGGAAGTTGCGATTGTTAAATAGATGTATTGTTGAGAATGCATGTATAATATTATACATGTATTGTCGAATTTGATGCATTGTAGAATACAACGTTTGGTATGTGTGATTGTGTATGTCGCATCAGCTAAAAGCCGAGACAAAATAATCTCAACTCAACTATCTCAACAATCACAACGAAAAGTTGAGATATAACAATCACTCAAAATGAGTGATAGTTTCTGTCACATCACAGAAACAATCCATGTATTGTTTTTGCTAAAAAAACAAAAAAACGATGCATTGTAAACAATACATGCATAATGACAATCTCAACAAAACTATCGCAACTTCCAAACGACCTCTTACTTCACACCCATAAATTTGGCTTTACATTCAAGCTGTATCTTCCATTCAAGGTGAATCAGGGCGTTCTCCCCATTCATCTACTACCTGTGGATCCCATGTTCCCTCTATACTACACCAGATTCACCTAGACATTTCCCTCTCAGGGCGTTCTCCCCATTCATCTACTACCTGTGGATCCCATGTTCCCTCTATACTACACCAGATTCACCTAGACATTTCCCTCTCTTTAGTTTAATAATTTAACCGATAAACCCATGACCATACTCTAACAACACCCAGTTAATTGTGGTGCTTCATAGTTTCAAACTCTTCACCAAGCATTTTCACCAGAGATGCATAGAGTTAATTTGGATGAGAGGAGAAAAAAAAAATAGTTATTAGCAAAGCTGAAACTGAGTTGGAGAGTCTGTGCATGTGCCTTTCTCTTTTCTCATTGCCATATTATGGATCGAATCCAGGAAGAATCAGTTTTCAGTTGGTCTACTAAATAAGTCTATAGTCACACTGCAATTCCTATCAAAAGCAAAGATTTTTACTCTTCAAACAAAAAAGATGAGGCACCCTAATCCTTGCATACACAAACCCCAAGTGACCGAATGTGCTAGCAGGAAACTTAGTTCTTTGTACTATGAGGTTCAAGCAGACATACCGGTGCACTGCTGGAAGTTTCTCTGAACTTCTCTTCCCATTCTCGTTGAGCCTTTTCCATCTCTTCATATCTTTCAATGAGTTGTGCTTGCTGTTCAATGGCCTTTTCCATGTCACCAGCTCTGCACACAATGATTCTCAAGGTCAGTACAAGCATTATGAAGCAACCTACAGGTGACCTTTGTTATCCTGATATTGAAGCAAAGTGGAGAAGCTTCAACAGTTGAATAAGCTATAGTTACAGAAAACCCATTATAAGAATTACACTCGTAAGCCAAAGGAAAAAACTCCACATTAAAAGAAAGTATCCACTAGCATTTGTGCAAAACAAGAGCCACAACCTAAGATAATTTTAACAACGAGAACTTTCATTTCAATTTCTTTGTCCCGCAGGGAAAAGCTTGCTTTCTCATCTCTAGTGAGTCAGTGACAACCAAATTAGTGCTCCATTTCCTCCAAGTAAGTCCTCACATTCAATCCCTGCCAGGATGGCTGTCCGAAAGTAGTATATAGGTTTATGGGTTGAGCATTAACAAATACAAACAGTTTAGGGGGCAACATTAAAAACCTGAGATTAGCAACACACAGTCACTCACTAAGATGTGATGAAATAGAAAAAGCATCAGACATACGGTATAATTGTCACTACTTACTAGCATTAAGGAATTATGACAAACCTTGTGTCTTTACGTCGTGTTTGGCGGCATGATTTTCCTGGTTGGCGTCTTGAAGAAGACGAAGCAGAAGTAAAGGTGTTAGAACTTCTCAGAGCTGGGTCCTTGCACCTTTTCATAGATCCCGTTCCATCCTTGCCACTTTTCCAGGACAAGCTTCTGGCAGTAGAAGGGATGAACTCGTCGGAACCTGAGCGCTCATCAGACTCGCTGTTTTTAGCTTTTGAATTGACAGAACTTTGCACTTCTTTAGAAGACCCATTAACCAAGCCGAATTCACTTTCATCATCCTGGTCAGAGCTTGAATCAAATGGCCCAGAAGCGTCACTCAATCCATTGCTCTCCAGAATTGCAAGAACATTCACCGTTGCCTTTTCAGCCTTCATTCTTTGAACTGAGACAATTCTCAACTGTTCTTCAAGTTCTGCAACCTACCCAGCAAGCAAAACAAACCATCCAAAAGTTAAGTATAACAGTTATAGAATACAAAAACCCTTACCCACATAACCAATTTTCACCCACGGACATACTAGAAAGTAGCAAAAATCGGCAGGGAAAGGGAAGACAAATTAAAAAAAAAAAAGACATACCCTTTGTGCAAGTTCATCAGCTCTCGCTCTTGCAGACTTGGAGACAGATCTTTCAGACAACAGGCGTGCACGGAGGAACTCTATAGTCATAGTAGAATCCTCCATGGCACAATTGTTGCTGCCAAAGTACAAGTTTGATTAACGAGCAATCAGTACAGCAACAAGAATAGTATGGAGCAAATAATAGAGAGCACAGATGGATAGAAACCAAGCAGAAATAATTATAAACAAATGGATCCCAGTAAACAAAGGATACAAGGAAAGGAAACCACATAGACCAATAATGGCATATCAGATGGACAAAACCAGCAGAGAAGACAAAGGTGACAAACCATTACTCAATCACAGGGATTACAACATCATTAATGTGCAATGTCATATACTCCAATTTCAGGACAAACAATACAACAGGAAATAAGAACGTATACGGAATAACTAGGGTAAAGCAGTTCTATATAATTGTGTCTCTCTCACATGACACACGCCCTAATAAGCTATCACACAGCTATGGCCCAGCCAACGTCTTTCTCACTGCTTCAACACTTCACTAGCACACATCTATTTACAAGCTAAAATCAATGACTACTTCATTTCTCTACCACGCTGCAACTGGAAAAGGAATTCTAATACTCACAACAACAATAGTCTAATTATGTGAAGTAACACACAGTATTAGGGCCTGAATATGTTATGGAAATTTAAGCATAAAATCCTTCATGGTGGCTGTTGCAAAATATTAAGCTCTGTTGAAAATCCTAATACAGTGCACAATCAACATTCAGAATGCTAACGAGACTTAGGAGCCTTGTGTTCTGAAGTCGCACAAAAAGTAGATGTAATTGTTTCTGTAATTATCTAGAACCAACGTTTCAAGCTCCATAACCTGTTCATCAGTTTTGGAAGATAGCAACATCATGATACTGTTAAATGGGGATCTAACTCCCTGAAGTGAACACAAGGATGAAGTTCATTGGCAAGAGATTTGTTTTTTTTGGCAGTGTTAACTTCAAATTGGTCTACAATAGACCTCTTTCAATTTAGTTCATTGTTCACTTGCTGCTTATTCCTCCACCTGCTAAATGATGTGTTTCCGATATTTACTGATGAATCACTGCCAGATTTGAGACAGCTTTTCAGAAGAGGTCAGATAGTTCCCATCCGCATCCTCTCCCCCGCTTCACTCATTCACAAGTTTCTACTTAACACATCCAGAATAAAATAACAAGAGGACCACTGATATGTGCAGATTAGAAGTAACGATTTTGGAAGAAATTCTATTCAGCACAGGGAAGAAAATAAGACCGAAGACCCCCCATGACGCCACCATATCCTATCTCTACTCATCAATTCAGGGAATGAAGCAAATTATGCACAATATGCTTGCCCAGGAATTCATTCGAGAATCAGCTACTTCTACACTACAAAAGTTGATTTGGCCACGAAATTCCGCCTAACAAAGACGATCAACCACAAAGAAGAAGAAAACTCCATGAAACAAACCGTAGAATACCCAGAAATGCCGGGAGCTTGATATACTCAAACGGGAAGGTCTAAGAAGTAGCAGCAGTACCAAGTAGAATCATACCTCTGATCTTGTTTCCCTTGACTAGGCATATCTCATCACGTCAAGTAACTAAGCTCAAAGACAGGAAATTTATCTATAACCCAGAAGAACCCAACTCAAGGCGGAGCATTTCCTGTAAAATCCACAAGCAACTAGGATCAAACAGAGAAGTTGAACGCGATCCATCAGAGCTGAGAAAGCAAAAAGGGCAAAGGAAAAGCAGAGGTGCATTTAGTACCTTTTCAGTAGAAAAGCGAAGAACTGATCATTCCTGGGAGTCGAGGGAGAAAGAACCCTAGTGGTGGCAACCTTTAGAGAGAGAGAGAGAGAGATGGCATCGGGAAAGAGGAAGAAGAGAAGGAAGGTTCTCTTTTCTATTTTCTTTCAACGTGGACACCGGTTTGGAGGGGCCGATGATGGGGTCGTCACATCAGCAGAGCATCCTCATCGGAGACCTCACAAACTCATCTCTTGCTCTCTTCCCATCACGGCATCGTCGTCTCACTTCTTTTCGTTTCTTCCGCTTTGTTGTCACTCATTTTGTTTTAGTGATGCTGCATACTCCTCTTTTTGTAAGTAGTACTCTTTTTTAACTAGGTTATGGGCCGACTCATTTCACACGAGAAAGTTGGACAATGTATTGGCCTCAATTTAGTGTCCAAACAATATTGATATTTGAGCTATCAACGAGAATGAAATAATTTTTTTTTGCATAAAGCCAAATAGTTATAGGGTTTTCTATAAATGGAGTAATTTTATTTGGTGGCGGATTAAGTGCATTATCTATTGAGATTTCATTTTTTCAAACTCTCAAATTCGTCTAACTCGTTTGACATCTTCGCAAGGAAATTGTCCTTTACTTTGACAATTGTTGCTATTGATTTGTGATCAACATGATCATCTCATATGGTACTAAACATACAGCTATTTAATGGTAAGTAACTAATATATATTTGAACGATGTCAAGTGGTCCAACGACTAACAGTTCAAGTTAAAGCACAACTTTTTTCTTTAGGTGCATAGGGTTGTTTGGTTTTTCCGAATGTTAAATAGTTGTATTGTGAATAATACATGTATTGTTCTTGCTGTTAATAATTAAGAGGTCAAGTCACTTTTAAACGAAAATGTCACTTCGTATCCCTTCTTCTCAATGCAAAATGTGTTTTTTAAAGGTTAGATTTATGAAGAATACAATGAATCAATTCTTGATCTATTCAATCCAATCTCATCAATTTGAACCGATAACTGGATACTAAAATTGACAACACTTGAAATATAGAAGACATTGATTACACCCCTTAATTAGTGGATCCTCCTTAAGTTTTGTTCCAAGACAAATAAGATGGATCACCTAATGGCCTGCAAAAACACAGAAAAAACAAATCAGAAGTGTGTCACAAAATTAATAGAACACACCACACAACATCTATAGCTGGATAGATTCTAATAAGGTTGTCTCCAACAACGTAGAGACATATACAAGAAGATGCGAAAGAGGAAACTCATATGCAGAGTTCCTTTCTGAAAGCTATACATACGTGTTTATCAGTTTATGTGTTCTAAGTTCCAACTCACCTTGACTTGAGCAAATAAATGAGGATGAAGGAGATGGCCAAGAGGAAGCAGATTCCACCGACGGCGAGGTATGCAGCCCCAAGAAAATCGTTTCTGCCACCAATCCAAGTGGACGTGGAGAGGATCAACAGCTTCTTCCCTCCATAACCATATGAGTTATAGTTGTTCTCTATCGCAACTTCTATCTGATCGTTCGCCTCCAAATCCTCCTCTATTCTTCCATACAATTTCCTAAACGTTGGTAGTGCTGCTGTTCGCATCCACACTAACAGATTTTCTTGCTCGCTCAACTAAAGTTTCAAGTTCACGACATCTATTAGAAGACGATAAAAGAGAGACAGAGATCTTCACAGTTCCGGTTATGAGTGATTAAGGAGCGGAAGTTCTTACAGGGATGCTGGAATTGAGCTTTGCACCTCCAATCAACCCACTATTCTGGAAGTTCTTAGGGTAGACATCAGAACCAAATTTGTGTTCTCTGTCACTTGCCCATGCAATGTCCTTCTTGTTGACGCTCAACACCTTTTTCTTGGTGGAGATGGTGAAGCTGTAAGTGTCGTTGAACAGACTCCACGCGATGAGGCCACATGGAACAATCGGCTTCCCATCCACACTATCTTCTGGTTTGCATGGCGCCACCGCATCTTCGTGTGCTTTGCTCAATAATTGTATGTTACTTCGACTCCTCACGTACCTGAAATGTGGAGTAGACGGAGTTGGATCTTTCAATCCAGGATCCAGATCAAGACGGAGCCGAGCTCGCATGATGCAATGGGTCGAAAAACCAGCAAGCTAGAGCAGGGAAACAATACACAAAGATATATACTGACATCTAATACTCATCAAGAACCTCTTTGTAACCATCTCAAAGCTGCGCCAGCCTCTTTCTGGATTACTTGTTCCATATCACAACACATCGATTGAACTTGAGAGACTCACCTGCGGTGGTTTTGGTAAAAATTGTCGAGCTGATAATATACATAAATGGGCTGCTTCATTGGTTTTGGTATCTACATGAGACAAAGATGAATCAACATGTTTATAACCAGAATACTTTACAACATGAATGGAAAAAGATCAATCAAGAAGAGTACTACTTCATCAATCAAATACCATTAATGTCCTGCTGCAGGTTTTGTTGGTTTGAGTATTTTGAATGTAATTGACAGCATTGGCACTAAAGCTGTTTGGAATGCAATCTGCATCATAGCGGTCCACAATCTCTATCACCTACAGGACATAGCAATTTACAAAAATAAAGAGTGTAACTAACTAGGGAATACGATTACATTTTTCAGAAGATCATAGGAGGAAAGATCACAACAATGAACAAAGAATTACGTTTTCAGAAGCAGAGAGGGAGGCAAGCCCAATTGGAATGAAGATGAACCCAACAAAAGTGAAAGTTGCAATAACCTGGAAAATTACATATATAAATTAGGGTTAACACAAATCCTAAAAGAAGGGTTGATACGAGGATCAAAGCTATCAATCAATTCCCCATTTACAGAAAGAACAAGGCTCACCAATCCTGGAGTTAAAATGGGTTTGCAAGCAGAAAGCTCTTGTTGCGAGAACTTCGAATCTTCAATTTACCAGCAAAGCAATTAGAAATGGGATAGGGAAGAATTTCGAACTAACCCACATTTTCTTTTTTCCAGATAAGAGATCATAACATATCAAAAATCGATTCAGAAGAAGGAATAAGACATACATGCAGGTCCCGGAGAATGCTTCTTGGCGGAAGAAGTGGTGGAGGAGGAAGACGAAGACGAAGACGAAGAACGAGAAGGATCATCGTCGGCGGTGGCAGCTCCTCGTCCTCGTCCGCGTCCCACTGCTCTTTTGGCGACGGCAGAACCCTTCGCGCCCTTTATTTGCATATCAATCGCCACATTCTCCGACATGGATGCATGCAGTGCAAATAAAAAAGGACGAACAAAGGGGGCGGGAATACAAAAACCCAGATCAGATGAGTTTTTGCATGGAGAACAAGATATAATTAGTTCTTCCGATTTGTTTCTTCTTATTATTGGAAATTGATGATCGAAGAAGAAGAGAGAAAGGTGAGGGGGAAGATCGGAGGGGGGGAAAATCACCCCCTCCCCACTCTTGTGCTGACATGCTTCCACCTTTTACCAGTGGTGTGCACACCGGTTGGGCGGATTGGGTTCGACCCTTTCTAGCTATTCGACTCATATATTTCGGTTTGGTTATATATTAAATCCAAATAACCTGATCCTGGCTGGACCATGCATTCTCCTGCCATGTTCGAAAGAGACTTTTATTGCCATACTTCAGTACCAATATCTTGTCTCCAAGATAGTGATCCACTCAGTGAAGCAATAGCAGAGATGTACTATGGATGCCCAAGAACTAAACCTAACAATGTTTCTGCATTACGGCAGGCAGAATGGTACTTTGCAAAAGGCTACAAGTAGAACCTAGAAAAAGCAACTGTAAGCAGTATGCCATCATCCCAACATCATATATGGTACAGGTCAACATGTCCAGACACAATGAAGAAACGATTTACTTAGGTGCATATACAAAATAATAACAGGAATCAATAACTGAACTGAAACGTGAAGACAATAGCCGGATCAAATAAGAACATTTCATCTTACAGGCAAGAAAAGAAACTCACACACGATCTGCGTGCTGTAGGCATATCAGTCTACAACCAGATGGTGGCTGCACTGCTCTTGCTCTTGCTCTTGCATGAGACACAACGACGGAACAACTACAAAGCTAAGTTTGTGTTGGTTCGCCTAAAACTCAAGGGTTTGAAACTTCAGTTTAAAGTTTAAACAGCTGAAGATAGTAGAACAAGAGTGGAGCAGTTGATATGAGTTTAAGATAGAAGTTAAACTTTGGAAAAGATAAAACATTAAATGTCAGTTTGAAGTAGAGGCTTATTTAGAAGAGTGTTTGTTGCACTTTTGGCTTAAACCTTCAGTTGGGGAAAAAGTCTGATAGTAATATTTGAACCAAGTCCTATCACAAACAACCAACCCAGTAAAGCAAGTGAAATTACTAGACGAAACATGAGGGAAAGTGGAAAGAACATTTCAACTTTCAGCAAACTAGAACAAAGCCTGATGTCAAACAATGTTGAAAAAGGTTAACCATGCTGACAAGTGGCTGAACCTCTACAAGTTTTCAGATCATATGAATATACTAAAGATGGGACTAGAATGAGGGTCAGACGAAATCATGTCATACTGTGATTTTTTTCAATGAAGATATGTAGTACTACATACAATAGAAGATATCTTGATGTAAGATTAACATGCAGCAATACAAGTAACTGGCGAGGCAGCATACCTTTTCTTCCTCTTCTGTTCTACTGCATCTTTTACTCAGTATCTAGATCATTAACCTCCTCCAAGTCTACATAGTATCACTTCACTATTCAGTATTCAATGTTCTCATTTCTCTAAAAAATCTTCTCTTTTCACATCTATAACTACATGAAGAAGTTCAATTGGTGTAGCGGCTGGGTCCAGTTCTCTACAACCTTTGGGACAATCTGGACCTTCTTGACTAGTTAGTAAATAAGAGGGAACAAAGTGCGAAAATCTGAACATTTCTTCTCTCGGAATTCTTCTGATTTCTCCAACATCTAAATGTTGGCGAAACACGGTTTTAAAACCAGCTACTTTTACCAGGGGAACTACAACAATCCCTAGTTCTTTATCATAGTCCTCAAGAACCTCCACCACATCATACTTCTGTATGACCTCATTTTCCGTCAGCTCATTCCAACGTGGGGACCAGTTTCTGTACAGAGCCCAAACATCGCCCTTCCTGGGATATATATGTATCGACCCATGAATGCCTCTTGTCCACCTAACCTTGTGAGAAAAACAATAGAGAGAGCTATAAATCTCACGTCTCCCTACTTGAAATTCCCCACAAGTTTTTGAGAAGCCAGAACAAACCCAATTCATGGGACCAAATTCACTTGTGGTTCTTGAATTCAGCCAACTAATCCGCAACTTTAGTGGATCCAAGGAAATCACAGCATGGATCATGGCATAATATCGAGGGAACCCTTCATTGTAATCATAGGCCGCCCATACTTGGTTCTTGCCAAAACATGTTTCAGTTCTATTATTGTCAAAATTGTAGAAGTCTGCATCTGGGACATCGATAAACATTGAATCCAACATTTCCCTGTTTATTTTTGAATCAGAAGTAGCAATCTCAAACCCCACTTCTGGATTGGGTGGATCGCAGGGGGCGCAAGGTTCATTTGCATCACCATTTACCACAGAATTTTCAGATCCAGTATCATTTTTTCGACTGTCATTTCCCGTTTCCATGAACAATTCACTCACGGTAGCTGAATTCAAATCATAGAGTTTCTTACTGATGGCATTCCTGGCCTTATCCACCAGAAGTGACTCAATCTCAACCTCAGTGGCATCCCTCAGGTTAGAACACCTTGTGATACCAACAACACCAGTTGACCCACTTCTTCTAGAAGTTGAAACCATTTGATTAGTAACAGAACCTTTGTCATTGTTGAAACTACCATCTTCTGTGTTTCTCCTTCTTTTCCCAGCATGCCCACCACCCATTCTTTTGCCAACATGTTTCCTCTTAAGACTCTCTTCTTTTCTTGTGGCAGCCTGCGCCGCTTCTCGCTCCCTCCTCACCTTTTCATAAGCCTGCTGAACAACACTTGCAGCTTGAGCGGCACTAGATGTAGTACCTGATTTGGAGGAGAATGGAGTCCACTGGTAGTTGATCCCTCCATTTGAAAATGAACTACTGGCATTACTAGCTTTCGTAGTGTTTTTGTCGGAAGCTTGTTGATGTGATTGCTGGGAAAAGTTCCACTCTGCAGTTGATTTAAAACTAGTTGATGATGGTGGAGCCGTTTCGGTAGCTATAAATGGCTCGTGACAATTGGGACAAAGTAGATTATGATTCAGATAAACTCTAAGATACTCATACTGCATCCTGCACTGATGGCAAACAGTCCAAAAAGTCCTAGATTGTTTTGACTTCTTAGATGAAACTGGAGAAGAATAACCTGCTTTCGGAACACTCTTATTAGCCTTTGCAGTTGCTTTGGTGGAAGTGTTGAATCCACTGGAGGAAGGCATCGTAGATGGAGCCTTAACCGAATTTGAGACCTTCCGAAAAATGTTGGTCTTTCTATTCTGGTCGTAAGTTGTCCTCTTTGTTTTGTCAGACAATAAACTCCATGCCATAGATATAAGTTTAAACGCACCATCAGCTCCAACTGACTTATTTTTGTCAGGGTGAAGGACCAAGGCCAATTTCCGGTACTGTTTACGAACCATGTCATCATCAGCTAGTGGGTTAATGCCAAGTATCCCATACCAATCTTCTTCTCCATTTACTTTGTTCTCCGAAGAAATGTAGACATCAAGAGTTGCTACCATTTGAGAAATGCCCTCAAGCTCAGGATACAAGTTCCGGGCCTTGAGTGCAAATTTTCTTGCCCCAACAAGATCCTTCTCGATAAATTTCTTCTCGGCAATCTCCTTCGCTCTAGCTGCCTCATCCCTATTGCACTCCATATTCCAAGTATCTTCTAGTTCCTCAAAACTTCTCTATATTCTAACTGAGTGGTTGCATGTCACCTCTATGCAAGAAGAAATTCAATTACCAATCCACCAGAATGAATGATGTTCCCATCTCAGGCAAGAGTCTGTTTCCGAACGATTTCCTCAAACTCACAAAAACATCTTCCAGAAAGAAGCCATCCTGAAGGTTAAATAATTCATAAAATTAATCCACTTATGCATACCAGGGGAAAACATATGCTATACCACAAGGACAGAAGCAACCCTAAAACAACCTAAACATTAGAATCACTTACGAGAACAAGAAGTTATAACATCTGCAAGCAATCCTGTGACTAAATTAAGCGAAGGGATAAAGAGATGTCCGATGTCCATCAACACAAACCTAAGGTAAATACGAAAACTGAAGAACAATAGAGTTAAGCTCACAAAAGAGAGGACCCAATCAGGAAAGTAGGTTTGATCATTTATTTCATTTCAATTTCAAGTCAGAAAATTTGCCAACTAGAGCTTAGTGGTTCTGTATACCGAACAGTCAAACTAGGTCAGTGAGGCTTGTAAAGAGCAAGCAAAAGAACTATATTGTTGATTTCTGCCTCTTGTCAATTGCAGAATCACAAAATTTCACCAATGTGGAGTATATGGGGCAAAACATCAACTGGTTATATATTCTCTATACCACATGTGTTAATTCCAGGTGCACTGGCAGAGAGGAAAGTACACAATTCTACAGCCTAAACCAACGACTTCAAAAGCAGTAGTAACAATGCAGCAAGTGCAGGGCAATGGAACTGTAAGAAGAAAGCCATAGCGGCAATGGCCCAAAAAAAGGTTGCAAATTTCGTGTCTACAGCACTCCGAAACCGTTCCAACTAACTAGAAATGGAACGTTCCAAGGTAATTCAGACAAGGAAAAGACTCCATGGATTGAAATCACTCGGGGGATTGTATTCAGTGCCAGCAAACAAGACACGTACCAAGGTTTGAACTTGAAGAGAAAAGGCCAGCTCAGCACAGCAAGCAACCTTCTACCCAAAAGTATCGTAGTATTCAGAAACCGCAACAAGCGATTGTCAGGCAAGAATGCGAGATCGAGGCAAAAGAAGTCCTGAAAGTGGAATGGGAATTGGATTTTGAGACAGACCGCGCAAGCCCAAAATCACAATTGAGGAACAGAGAGAGAATCAGAGGGGAAAAGGGGGGTTGGAGGAATCTGGTGGCGAAGAAGAAGGGGAAAGTGTTGAAGTGGAGGACAAGGTAAAAAGGGGGCGAACCGGCGAAGGAAAAAGCTTCTTCCTTTCCTTTGTACAGCGAGAGACGAGGGACGGAGGGAGAGAGAGCCGTTTACCCGAACCGGAAGCCGAAAGGAATGGCTCCGACCGTAAGTCGAGCAATCGACTGGTTTGGCCTGGCCCCAACCAACCAACCAAATACAGTCTCGGTCTGACCATCCACATCGCAGACTTAATATATACTTTGCTAATCCTAATCCTATATGTTTTTCCTTTTAGGTTTTAGAAAGATTGAATTCCTTTTAATCTATACCCAATCTGTTGGGATGTTAAATTTTGTATTTAATTATTTAATTAATTGATCTACAATTAGAGATTTTACGTAGGTATTTAAACGTGACATACCTATTATAAACACGCGATATTTATATTAACTAATTAGTATTAGTTATGAAACTAATTTCTCTAATATATACTAAGTACTTTATGAATGATGTGTAGTAATTGATGTAAGTAATACATACTTATAATTCAAGACATTCAACTATTAATCGAAAAATAACTCTAGATTGAATCTATAGCATAACTATGTTAAAAGAGTTCAATGTTTGATATCCCACTTGTGATGATTCTCTTATCTAATCGTAACTCATGCACGTGATGGAGGGTTACAAAGTTTTTTTATTTTGAAATCGCGGTTATAAAGTATTAATGTTTATTTGAAGTTTCATCCAATCTGATTATCTTAAAAGTGTCTTATATAATATGCATTTGCTAAGAGTTGTATGAAACCTAATAATGCGACTATTAAAATTAGCCGCAACCAGAAAATATGTTCATCATTAGCTAAGAGTAGCATGAAATATGATCTTGAGCTATTAGCCGTATGGATGAGATTGTGACATGAGTCGTCGTTATTTCCTACCAAACCAATCAATTCCTTATAGTTTTAACATTGCACTAGATTGATAAATTTATAAGAGGGATTTTCTATTATTGCTCTCGCTAAGGGAACTTTGAAGTTTGAAATGATGACCCTTAGCGAGAGCAATAATAGAAAATCCCGATTTATTGAATAAAAAAGTCTTCACTCTTCATCAAATCTATTTTAATGCGAATCTAGATTAGATATTTTGTCTTGAATACTTATATGTACAAGTTCATGAACAAGCAATAAATTATCCAACTTATCCCATTTTTATCCCATCAAATACACTAAATTCACGAAATTTTAATATCTATAGATATTAAATCTCACATAATCTACATTTTTTTATTTATGAGATTTTTTTCTCTCCACATTATCTCTTTTTTATCCCATCAAATGCACTTATCAATAAATTTACTAATGATTCTCAAGCCACTCTGATTATTTTGATTAAAAGGAAATATGCATTTTATTCAAAATTAGAATTACTATTTTTCGTTAAATGTTTACAATTGCAGTAACCAGATAACAAACCTTCTAAAAAAGTATCAACAATCCAATAGTTAAGATTTTTGGATTTTTTAGAATCTATAGATTTGCACTCAAATTATCCAAACAACCCTAATTTTCAAAATGTGTTGTACCAACAACTCAATGACCAACATTTATAAATTAGACTATGGTCCTATGTTCATTACCACCCATTTCTTAGCATTTCCTAACACCAATTTCATTGTTGACAAGTTTAATACAAGAAGGATGAATTACCCCACAACTGCCTAATATCCTTCATAGATACAATTATAAATATCCTTCATAGATACAATTATAAAACCATAGAGGCCCAGGTATTGATGTTTTTTCCCCTATTACATCCTTCTCTATCCATCTCCCGTATATCGCCTCTGAAAATTTAGAAACTTGATCCCATACGTAAAGACAAACAAGAAGAGGAGCACAAATCCAATATGAGCAGCTGCAACAACTGCAAGGAAGTCATAATCAAACCCAAACGATTTTTTCAAGAACTGCTTCACTGGCATGCTGCCTAACCCTGCTACTTCCACGAGACTCTCTACATTTCCTAGATGAGAAGCGAACAATCCATAGATTGTCCATGCCACTGAGGATGCCCAGTAGTACCATCTCCACCATATTGAGATTTCCTGCAAAACACAACATGCAAACACAAATATGTCACCCCCTAGAGTGGTAAGCAAGTATGCATTGGGTGTTTCAGTCATGGTTTTATTTGCTTAGTATTACTGTTCTCGGAATAAGGAAGCCGGAGAAGATATTCCATGTGGTGAGGAAGAATGACATCGCAATGGCAGCTATTTGGTAGCATGGAGTGAGGGAGAAAAGCATCATCCCATAGAGACTGAAGTAGAGTAAACTCATGCATATGAAGAAATAGTACCACAAGAAGTTTACCAGATGCCATGGGTAGCCAATCACGAGGAATAATATCACACAATATACGAAAGTTTGGATTGCCCCATAAACCGCTTCAATGGAGACCTGGGCAATTGAAAAAGCCATTTCCAAGTACACCCCTGCAGCTCTTTCCCGGTACAAGATTGTTCTTTCGATGGAAACAACAGGCATCACAGTAGAACATGTACTTATTCCGAGGAACATTATGATAGAATAAGTAGCTCCAAACAAGTTGAACACATCTTGTTGCGTTTCCCTATATAATCACATGTAAAAAACACACATAATGGAGTAAGTTTATGATTTTTACTAATGAAGATTATGTTAATCTTAATCCTAAGTTATGATTGATTCATTGATTCATTCTTTTTCTCGTGCTTACGTCTTTTGTCCTTTCTTCGAGAAGATAAGTCCAAAGAAAATACCAAAAACTATTGTGAGGAAGAATCTTCAAATATTGTATGGTGGGTTCTGCCAGTAAGATCGATGCAGTTTCATGAAGCAAGCTTTGCACTAGGTTAAGAAATCTTGTGCACATTGTGTATGGAAATATAGGTCCTTTGACCCTGGTATTGGAGTACTTAGCTCTTCAATTAACTCTCGGTTCCTCCTGGAAACAAATGATGAAACTTCATGAGCTAAATGAAGAGGAGAAGTTGGATCTAGGATGAGGGCAAGCAAAGATCATCTAGTTTAGTGCTCACTTGTATAGTTCAGAATGAGAATAAATTTCAGCAAAGTCCAAATCCAATTGAGATTCTACAGCGTCGGAGCTAATGTCAAGCATCCATGCAGCAGGATTTGTACCTTCTTGGATCTTGGGAACCCCCGGGACATCCTAATCATAGTACAAAATTAGATAAAAGCATGAGCAGAAACCGTCACATGGTTTGTTTTCCATTTTATTTGAATCAACAGTGAAAGGATATGTAATGTCGAACTCACCTCAAAATATTCTACAAGCTTGTGAGAATGGCATCCAAGGGTGCCTGCATATATTACCCTCCCTCCTCTTTTCATCAGCAGTAGCTGCAAAAGAAGCAAAACATGAAGATGTTGACCAAAGTATCGATGTTTGAAAAAATTGGCAAATTAAGAAGTATTTCTTGTGATGAATAAAAAATGCATGATTTGATACCTCATCGAAAGATTCAAAGATGTCGATGCTTGGTTGATGTATGGTGCATACAATAGTTCTTCCCGTATCCACTGTGTTTCTGACAGTTCGCATGACGATTGCAGCAACTCGAGCATCAAGGCCGGATGTTAGCTCGTCCATGAATATTATAGAGGGATTCGCAACTAGCTCAACAGCTACGGTGAGTCTCTTTCGTTGCTCAGTTGACAAACCATTCACTCCTGGAAGGCCTACTATCAAGTTCCTCAAGCTCACTAGCTCAAATAACTCCATTACTTCTTCAATGAACGTGTACACCATGCAATGAGGTCACTAAATTTGATAAAAACTGAGTTAGGATTAAGTTTCATCACATCAAGAAATACTACCATTCTATCTTGTTTGTTGATATTCTTGGGAAGACACAACCATGCAGAGTGCAAGAGGGACTCGTACACAGTAATTCGCGGACTATGGATATCATTTTGTTCACAGTACCCACTGATTCGAGCAAATGTCCTTTGATTCCTGGGATAACCAGAAATGTTGATGCTTCCATTAGTGTACCCTCCTGTTTTCCTTCCAGCTAAAACATTCATCAAAGTGGTCTTTCCTGCACCACTAACCCCAACTAGGGCTATCAGAACTCCTGGCCTAAAAGCGCCACTAACATCGTGTAACAATTGTAGTTTCTTCTCTTTTACTCCTTGGGACTTCATTTCCTAGTAAGCGACTTGTAAAAACCTTTAGCAAAGAGGCATTTCAATATTGGATTGAGATAATGTTTGAAAAGACAGATAAGTGAAGTCGGGAAGAGTTTCCTTACCATAGGCATATCAACATAGTAGTTCATATTTTTAAATGTCAATGACAAATGCTGGAAGCGCAAAATCATTCCCCTTCTCCTAAATTCTTCCTTAGGACCTGAAAACAAGTGTTTTTACCTACACTTAGTTTAAAGATACATGACATAAAGCTACCACAAGGTGTTAAAACATGATGAATCTGAGTTTAACTATCAAAATGGCCCTTATCCACATACCTTTCATCGGCGTACATGATGTGCCTATGATCATTTCAATGGAACTTGAGTTCATTTTTGAGGTGTTGGATAAATTTTGATTCTGATCATCGTCCAAGATTGTGGATTTAGGATTTTCCAAAGCTACATGCACAAAGTTCCAAACATCTATTGAGCTACAACTGATGCATCATTGTTATACATATCCAAGTAACATTTATTGTTGGAAATAAAAGAGTTTGATAGCTTACGGTCCAAGTACATTAAGGCAAGAACGAAACATATATTATAAATCATAGTAAATCCTATGAGTGCCCCGATTGATATCCAATACCACTTGTTCTCTACAAACATGCCTATTACTCTGAGAAGAGCCATCCCAACTGTTGCCTCTGTGATCCTAGGGCCAGGATTGGGCTGTAACAAGAAAAGTCACATTAGTAATGAAGTGCCAAAATGAACATAACTTACATAAGATAGACAATTCAAGATATCGATCTTACACCATTCCATCGTTTGTCCAGAAATTCAATAATCATGATTGCATTTTGTCCATACATCATTGGAGAAATGTAGCAGCCCCATATCAACCATGGTTGGATGTAATCTAAAAGCAGAAAGATATCATTAGTGTCACGTTTATACGAGTTACTTTAATAAACCAAAAATCGACAAGAGAACTAAATCACCTTTAGCAATAATGAATCCTCCAAGGACAAACACAACTAGCAATGTGAACATACCAATGACTGGCGCTACCACAATTGATCTAGCTACTACCGCGGTGAACTGGAACAAACCTTGAGCCATCTGATTTATACAAACGAACGCAAGAAACTGCTTGAAAAACCTGTCAGATGATGGAGCAAACCCAACAGTGTAATAAGTCAAGGAAATCCAAATGAATGACTCACCAAATGAGATGGGAATTCGGAGAACCCATATAGGCAAGGCAAATGCCCATGTCAGATAAAGCAAAGAATCTCTCTCCTTGTAAAACATAGGAAGTCTTTGTGTGGTCAGCATCAATTCAGAGACTCCATTAAACATAATGTTAAGGAGGCTACAAAACAGAGCACCATAGAACTTGTTCCCGTCTTCCAAGTGACCAACATTCATCTCAGTCCTGAAGAATACTGTCATGCAAATTATTGACATGATGGTGAGTTGCATGGTCTTGAAGATATAAAGAAAAGCATTTCTCTTTATCAATAATAGCTCTCTCAGAAAACACGCCTTCAGGAGTTCCTTGTTGGAGATTATGTATCTCTCTTTCACCAATGCATCATGATGAACACTAGATCTGTCGTAAGGCACTCCAAGCTCCTCGTCTAACTTTATTCCCTTAGAGAACAAGTTGAAAAAACATCAAGAACTTAGGTATTGAGATGTATTGATAAGGTTCGTCGAGTTTTGACCAATACTACTCCTGATCATTTCTAGAAGTAACCTCTTGTAAGAAGTCTGCGACTCCTTTCCTTTCAGGACACTTGAAACCAACATATTCGAAGAAGTCGAGAACATTGTACCTAGGACCTTGGTAAACAATATGGTTCTCAGAGATGAGGATGATGTCATCAAAGAGTTCATAAGTCTCGGGTGCAGGCTGGAGAAGGGAGATGATCATGGTAATGTCCATAATATGGACCATTTGCTCCATAAACCTGACAATTTGGTAAGTCGTAGAACTATCCAACCCGGTTGAGATTTCGTCCATCATAAACACTTTAGCCGGTCCAACCAACATCTCCCCCGTGGTGACACGCTTCTTCTACCCTCTAGATATCCCTCTTCTCATCTCATTGCCGACAATGATATCTACGCAGATGTCCAATCCAAGAAGCTGGCAGCAAAGCAAACAACTTTGTTAGGATTAATTGCATAATCAAATTATAATTTCGTTTTAAATTATTGTTGCTGAAGGTAGGGAATTCCTACGTACCTTGAGGACATAATCTACAACGATGTGGTTATCCTGTCCAGACATGGATGTAGCTTTCATGAATGCATCAACTTCTAGATCCGGCTTGATTCCTGCTTCTTTCTCTCTTCTGAACAACTCAGCCAACAAGTCATACTTGGTCCCAACTCCCAAACAACGACCAGAGAATTCCAGCGTCTTCCTGATGGTCATTTCTCCAAAGTGACATTCCTGCTGGCTGATATAAGCACAAGTTCTCTGAGGCACGAACTCCTGGAACTCATGCCCGCAATATGTCACTCTTCCTGACACCTGCGTACATAGATAAGCATCAGGATTTGCAATCCAAGAAACGTGGGTCATAAAGCTAGATACAAACCCTCAAATTCTTGTCCAGTCTCCCAGAGAGTGATTTCAGGAGAGTAGTTTTGCCTGATCCCTGAGGCCCCAAAGGCAGAGTCATTCTGAAACCAGAGAAACCATAGAAAGTATTCATCAGAAATCGGGGGAGGGGGGGGGGGCTGATGAAAAATTTAAAAACGATAAACACTACTTTGATGGTTTTACAATTCCGCTTATATTATGAAGAATCTTCACAACCCTTTTCTTGGTTGGAAAAACCCGACAGAACCCAAGAATCCCCTGACATTTATTTGGCAATTGTTACAACCTGAATTCATAATTGTCGGTGGACAGAGCAAGGGCCAAATTGAAGCACGTACCTGAATAGAGTTCACCACGAAATTGGGCAGAGTGGGGAGAGCTCTGGTTCCGACGTACGCATTGCCTTCAACAGAAAGGCTCTCAAACCGAATCTCCACCGTCGGAATCTTAATCCCGACGACATCGGTCCTGTGCCGGATCCGACTCAGCAGCTTCTCGTTGTCCTCTTCCGCGACTTTAAGAAACCTTTCAATCAGCAGCTTCCTCTCTGTTCCGTCGAGCTTCCCCACATCAATTTCTTGCAAGCTAGCTTCCCCTCCGCCTGTCAAGAACCAGTTGATCCCAATAACTCGAGTTGTTGGGAGAAGTTCAATCGTGGATCATATACCACAACACTAACACGCCCCCTCAAACGAAAGCCACTCACAAGGGCTTGAAGTTTGCACAGGTGATATGATCCCAAATGGTCCATTATACACGTTTAAATTACTTGTCAAAGAAGCTATCTCACCTCACTTGAAGAATTCTGTTTTTTGGCTGTGTTGAAACAGTTTCAAGTAGCCTACTTTGGAAGCTTGTATCTCACAAATGGCTCAATGGAAATTGGAGATCAAGAGCTTGTTTTACAGATAATGTTTTCATGTTTCCAATGGTATACATTTTGGGTCCAGAAGATGTCATTAAGGTTGTTGTCCAAGGCCTCAAAGTTGCTACCTAAAAACTGGAAAACTGCCAGAAAATGGCTAAGGCAGAAAACTGTGTTGTGATACCAACTTTGAAGGCCTATATCTGGAGTTTGGAGCATGATCTGAATCTGATTCAAGTTGGAGGTGAAAGAGGAAGTTTTTTTCTACAAAGGCAAGGAATTGGTTGAGTTCGAATCAACCTAGAAGATCATTTTCGAAGGGCTCAAAGATGCTATGAAGCCTGTTTTCCTAGGCAGACTTGCTTGCGTTTTAAGTCAGTTTCTTGGCCAGCAAGTTACCTTGTTTTACTCGAATTCTTTAGCCTATTCCTGTTCTAATTAGTTTCCTGGTTCATGTAGGGTTGTATTAGGGTTTATTGTCTTTAAATACCTTTCCAATTCACGTTGTAAAGCAGAGTTGAGTTGAATACAAATTACTCCTACGTGAGTTTCGAGTTCTTTGAGTTGTTTCTCAAGAATCAAATCCTTGAGTTAGTTTTGTGAGGATTCCATTGCTAATTCCAGAAAAGTTTTGTGAGGCTTTTCTGTGAGGATTCCAGATTCGTTTTACAAGTTTTTTATCAATCAATTAATCACCTTGATTGTGGCGAAATTCTACCTATCCATCAGTTATCGTTCAAGAAGTTTGGTTTGCTGCGTATTCTGATCAAAAACACCCCCTGGTGCTTTATCAACAGGTCTGAAGACAAGAATACCATGTGCTTAACAAATGGGGGTCACCGGGAATCGAACACAAGACCTCTCGATTACAGAAGGCTCTGATACCATGTCAAGAACTAGTTGATTCCAATAACTCGAGTTGTTGGGAGAAGCTCAATCATGGATCATATACCACAACACTAACACCGCCACCGTCGGCGACGGTGGCGCCGACGGTGGCGACATGCTTCAGAACCCACTTCCGTAGCCTGTCGTAGGTGGGGAGGCGCTCAATTGCTGCCCATTTCAGCTCGTCCTCGTCGTCCTCCGTCGTGCTCCTCTGGAACTCGAAATGTCCTGCCGCTTGGCTCCCTCCCCTGCCTTCAAACGCCGACCCAAAACTTCCGTTGCGGCTCAATGACGTCGACCCCATTGATCTGCTGCTCGCTAGCCTTACTGCTTCTCCATTGTTACTGTTACAATTAGCGATGTCCGCCATGGCGAAGTGCAGCAATAAGTATTGTGGTAATTAGTCCATTTATATATTCAACACTTGTATACTAATTCTGTAGAACAGGGGAATTGGTCGGAGAGAACATTGTCGTCATTTTTTATGAGAAATTTAACATTTGCATGACTGCGTTGCCATTTTTGGCAGTTATGAACTCCATGGCAGGCATTATTAGTTCTTCTCAGCCATTTTTGGCAGTTATGAACTCCATGGTAGGCATTATTAGTTCATTCTAAGAACCTACCAAGTTGCGGAAGCAGCAAATACCGCTAAAGAACGAGCAATAAAAGCCCAAAATTTGAATTAGCCCACTAGTCCACTTGTCTTAGCCTCATAGGCTACTAGTGTGTGCCCCGGCCAGTTGGCCGGAGGAATGTGAGGTAGGAAATTTGATAATGTAATGGGGTGTATAGCCTTATTGTTGTATAATTTTTTTGGGAAACACGTGATAAAAATAGTGAATTTTAGCTGGAAAGAGACATGAATGATGCAATGAATCAAAAATCGGCCTTATGAACCAAAATCAAGTACCTGTTACCTTGTGAAACAATATTGTTTCTGGTAATATGATGAGGTGGAGTAAGTTTTATAGAAACCGAATTCCAGAAAATTGAATAAAAATCGCCTATCCCGTCGGTTTTCGGGAAATGAGCATCTCACAATCGTTGCTAGCTTTTACTCGGCCCGTTGGTCGATTAATTTGCTTTATAAAACTTTAATCTTGTCGTCATTGTGCTTTCTGGTTTTTGTTAGGCCATGATAAAATCTAAGGAAATCAAGAACGAACAACACGATTTGGGATAGGAACCGTCGTTGTCGTATCCTTAGAAAATGGTGGTAAACACGGACTCACCTGCCAAACTGGTTTGGATTGAGATTTTTATCAGGTATCAGGGAACCATGTGATTATAAATTAGACTTGAGCAAAACGGGCCAAAACTTGAAATTCAGCCTGTTTGACCGACCCATGCCAAATTCTAATTATTCTTTACTTTTAAACTTTCTATTTGAAAATAAAAAATAGTGAAAGAAAAGAGATGACTGCAATTCGCCATTTGCACATCACTTATTCGGGAATAAAACCATAAAAATTCAAAAGGAACTGGAAATGTTTAGGATCGTTTTAATGTTTAAAATAACCAAATAGATCGTTCTGTTTAGTTTTTTACTAACAAATACCAAACGATTCCCTATAAAATACACTATAATTTGATCATTATGATATCAAATAATTATATAATATATATTTGAAATGATAAAAATTGGACTAATTGTGATCGAGGTTAAACCATTGAATAACTTTAAAATACATTATTTGCTCGCCACTAAGATATAAAATAATAGCATAATATATATTATGCCAGAGAAAATAGCTTGTTTTAGAATGACAAACCAATGATGTTCATTTGTTTTACTTGATGGCCAAATCTCGTGTAGGTCAGACCCATTGAACTCTTTTATTTTATGGTTAGCGGTTAGCCCATTAGATACCATGCATTAGTTTATTGTTAAATTTTTCATTTTTAGTAATAAAAAGGAGTATTATTTTTTCCTTTTCATATATATTTTATCACCACGGAGAAATAAGGGCGCTTAAAGAAAAAAAATTGACACTCTTGTACCCGTTTAAATTCGCATGTGTACGGTAAGTTGGCCCGTTCCACAGAGGAAAAAGAAAAAAATGGACACTCCCTATTCTACCCTTCCTACAAACGCTCCTGGAGCAGAGAATTTGAAATGAGGGAATGGTTTTTTCCTCCCTGCTATTATATGCTTTTAATTTAAAAATATACAACAAAAGTGCTTAGTGTGATTGGTTATGATCCTTGTTTTCCTTTGAAATGGTCATGGTTCAAATCCCAGTAGATTATGTGTAGATTATGGTCATGGTTCAAATCCTTGTTTTCCTTGTTTTTCCCTTCGGTGTATTATATTATGTGTAGATTACAACCTTAAACAATATTTAGACACGGCTAACCATCTGTAAGTAAAACGACATAGTTTGATGGTTAAAGGAAATACAGAAAGAAACGTTTCTCATACAGAAACGCCTTGTCTTCTTACAACAATCCTTGCATCTTCAGGATTCATCCTTCTTCTACTTCTTCTTCTGGACAACAATTACAGTTGACATCGGCGGCTGGGTGTAGGTTGCAGCAACTTGTTTAGGGTTTTGACAACAAGTTTGGGCTCAATTGATATACTTAGTTGGGCCATAAGAAGACTTCATTATTTATCCGCTAGTTTCTATGGACTATGCTTAATTGGGTGGGCTTGTGTTGTGCATATAAAGTCTGTAAATTTTAGAATTTTGATTCTGGCTATTTAATTTGGTTTCACCTTTTAGTTTTAGGTAATTGAAAAAATTGGGAATAGATCAGGTCAGTAACCTTATGGTGAGTAACTATGAGTAACCCGCCCACATCAGCATGACATCAGCATCTTCTCTCTCCTGGAATGCCTTTAATTTTCCCCTCCTTAATCTTTGACGGATGATTTCTCACTCGTTTTAAGTCGAAATTTAATTTTTTTTCGCACAGTTAGATCAGATTAATTGTGCTCTTCAAAATGATATCCACTTTGATATATTTTTCGAACAAAAAAAATCGAGTCATTTTATACTAGTCTATACCATATGGTATTGACTGGTATTGAAATAAGAGCATACTTATGGTTTGAAAAGCGTACCATGATGGTATGACACAAACCAAAACTATAGGATGGTTGAATACATTATAGTAGAAGTATATTAATTGTCATTTACGATTTTTAACATTGTATACCATAAGATACCATAAAATACCACCCCGTACCAGGGTGGTATTATATGCTATTGTGTGGTATTTTTTTGTCTTGTAATTTGTTCACCCAGAAATTTGTAGATCCAATAGATCATGATGAACTCGTCCCTACTGTGCAAACGTTTTCAAAAACGAATTAAAAACGAAGAAGATACCATATGGTATGCAGTTGGTACCGAGAGGCCGGAATTTTTTTTCCTCAAAAAATATTGAAAATTGATCTCATTTTATAGAGCACGATGAACTCGTTCCATCTGTGCAAAAAAAACTAAAATCCGAGTTAAAACGAAAAAGATATGAGTCAATTAAGAAAGCTAGTGAAAATAAAAATAGGCTTTAATTCTCCATCCTTAGATCTGGATTTTCTAAATGAAGGGTCCAGATTTGGTTATTGATAGGTGCATAACCCATGGTTATGCACCCTAACTTGAGCCGAAAAAATTGGTCATTAAACTCTTATGCTTCTTGTTTTAGTCTCATTTTTCTGATGACTCGTGAGAGTAATTTGTCAAAATCTGATTTATTTTAAATAATATTTAATTAAAACAATATAATATTAGCGATTTCCCGACACTCTAAACTTATAATTCTTTATGAATAAAC